CATACTTACCAAAAGTTTTATAAAAAGAAATGAAAGAAGATATAGCTAAAAAAATAAATCAAAAAATAAAGAAATTATAATAAAACTTTTCTCATTCAACTTCAAATTTGTTAGTTTAGCATCTGAAGATTTAAAACTATGCTCCTGGGGAATATATATATCACTAACATGAACAATAATATTGTTTTTGTTATATTAATTAGGGAGAGGTTTAAATTAAGGAAGAACAATCTTAAACTCAAATATAAGTACTAAAGCAAAATAGTAGTTTTAATGAATATTCATTTTTCACAGAACAAGCAACTAAGAGCAATGCTTTGAGTATAGGCTTTACGCAAATTGTAAAAATTAATAGAAGGGCATTTCTATCTATCCTAAAGGAAAATTAAAAAGACTTAGAATAATTCTATAATATAAAAGATACTATGCTATTGTATTAGGATTATTCTTTACTTTAGAAAAAATGTTTTTATTGTGGATACATCAAACATGAAACTATTGATTGTCCATTATTAACATATCAACCTAAAAAGATGAGTGTAATTTAAAAACATCATAAAAATTCTTAATTGCAATCTAGAAAGTATATACAAAGGCATTATCATTATATTCCGTCGAGAAAACAGTACTAAGAAATTAAAAATACAATTTCATATGCTCGAGAATATTATTTTTCAGATTTATAAATGAATGACTCTCAACAATTTAATAAAATACAATTATTATAAAAAGAAGATACTAACATGAATGAGATCATTTCACCTAGCCAAAAAAAAGATGAAATTGACTAAAATCCTTAGAACATATCTAAATCAAGGCTTCCAAGTGTTTCAGCAGATGCAAATAATTTAAGGAGAATTAGTAAGTTTTAAATTCCTTTCATTGCAAATCCTGATGAAAAGAGACAGTCAAAAACTTAGCTTGAGTTTTTTTAAATTAATTTTTCGGGATTAGAAATTGATTAAGTTTAGAACTATGAAAAATACATGATTCAAAACAATTTAATCAACATTTTAAAAAGTTTCTAAAAGTACAAGAGAAAAACCAAAATAGCAACTCGAAAATAGAAATTGATTGAATCATTTAACAATGAAGATTGAGTTTTTTTATTATTTAATTATTATAATTAATTAGTTGAAGATTAAATTTGGATGACGGAAAAAAAAGGTGAGTCTTTGTAGGATTAAATGAAAAACCTATAGGGGGAAATCAATAAGCTTCATTCTGAAATTGATTCAAAGAAGCGAGAAATTACGAAATTGAAAAATGATAATACGTTGAGATTAGAAAAAATAAATTGGATTCAAGTAGATATCTAATATTATATAGACAGGAAAAAGTGAGGAAAATGTAAAGAGAAAAGAAAGTGCTTGAATTAAATGATTAAACATTAAGCATTGGACATGCTACCACTAAGCATTCGACTACCACAAAGGAAGTTCAACAATAAAACGAAGTTTAAAAACCCCCTTAACAAGAAATACAATTAGAGAAGATGCAGATGCTAGAATTTTTTAATTAGTATTTGGATCAAACAAATAAACAAATGGTGAAATTTTAAGGAAATAGGAATAGAAAAAACGGAGAGAAGGATGAGTATATCAATCCATATCCTACCATTAATCTCAAATATACAATTGAAGGTATAGAATAAGGTGAAAGTTCATCATTTCGTTTGGATTAATAAACAACATTTTAAAATTTAAAAGAATTGGCCTTTTATTATTGGAATTTGGCTCCATATTTAAGAAAATTTGATGAAAAGGATAGTGAAATTATGGATGACTTAGAGTTGACTGATGAGAGTCATGCAAGAATTGAATTAAAAGAGAAGGTTATTGAGTTTTTTACAAATAGAGGAATTTCAAATATTTCTTAGATTACTTTGTTGCTATAAAAGAAAAAGACTGTGAGACCAGCTTTGAATAGTTTATAAATAGATAGTATCAGAATTACTGGTGGAAACAAGGCAGCTAATTATTAAGGAACATTTGCTGTTCATAAAAATAGAATTAAAGCTATTGATACATATAATTTATTTTTTGAAAAGTTTCCGGGTTTAAAATATTACATTAGTGAATTGTAGATTTAAAAAGAATTTTAAGAATAATAAAAAGAATTAGAAAAAGGTAATTAAGAAAAACAAGAAGAAAAGAAGTTTGATTTGGATGATATGAATTGTCTTATATTAAGTTCTATTGTCGTCATTCTAGTATTAGCTCTTCTTAGCTATACAGCTTATTTAAGTCCTAAGTATGTAAATTTAAATTTCACTTTCATTAATAATTTAATTGGAATCACTTCAAATGGAGAATATAACAAAATAACTTCGATTCCTGAATTTTACTATTATATGGAAAATTTCTTGGGAGCAACAATGTATAATTCTGATAAGGGAGATAATCCATTTCGATCTAATTATGAGATGATAGGAGGAATCTAACTTAGAATTTTACGAAGTGATTTATATGAATGTGAAAAATATGTTAATGAATTGCAAAGATTTAGTTGTTTTGATGTTGTTTATGACTCATCTAAAGCAAATAAATCCTAATTCTTAAATTATACATATCAAACAGCAGAGGAATTAGGAATTATGTATTTCCCAAAAGGAAACTTAACAACATATACTGATGGTGGTTATGTGGTGGAATTCAATAGGGACATGACAACGGAAGCCTTTTTAGAGAAGATAAATGGTTTAAGAAAAGAATAGTTTTTGGATGCAGCCACTGCTGCTATCTTCCTCCATTTTGTGATTTACAACCCTAGTATCAATTTATGGATTTAAGCAAACTTTTTATTAGAAAGAAATGCTTAAAATAAATTAACACCTTATAGAGCAGAATTAACAGGGTTTATTCCAAATGTTTATTCTGGCTAGGATGGTGAAAATTTATTTTAGATTGATATAACGAAATTGATAATGGCTAGCATTTTGTTAGCTTTTGTTGCATATAGATTTTATAAGATTAAATTTAATACAGGTAAATTAGGACCTGCATTCTTATATATAACAATGGAAATAGGATTTTTTAATTGCGGAGTTGGAATTTTAACTATTATTTCTGTTGCAATGTCATTGTAATAATCACTTTAGGGTAGAGATCCTTAGGAACTAGTGAATTCAGAAGATTTTGTGGTAGAAAATTTAATTTACTTTAATAGCATTTGGAACTAGAGGCAGATTTATATAAAAAGGCCGAATTGTTTTTAACAATCAGTATAATGTTTTTGTTCCTGAGATTATCTTATATTTTGAAATTGAATGACAGAATAGCAATCATCTTTTTGACTTATAGTAAGAGTTTCAAAGAATTGCTACCTTTTTTGGCTATTGAATTTCCTTTATTTTTAGGATTTGTTATGGTCTTTTAAATTATTTATGGAAATGTATTTCCTTAATATTCCTCATTTACCTTAGCAATTGCCAGTTAATTAACTATGGTATATATATAAATATCTATTTTAGATATAAGGGTAATTAAATATCACACAATTTGTAAACTATTCTCCGATAGTTTCAATGATTGTGATTCTTTTTTACTATTTCTTTATGTTATTCTTCATTATTTCATTGTTTTAAGCAATTTTGATTGAATGTTTTAGAATTGTTATCATGAAAAATGGATATCCGTAGGACAAAGACTAAGGATTGTCAATTGGAGACTTATTTAAATGGATGTTTTCTTGGACCCAGCTATTTACTAGTAAAAAGAATACTACAGAAGAAAAATAAAAAGCTTAGTAGTAAATCAAGCCTCATGCAGACTAAGAAGAAAAGTAGGGAATAAATTCTGCAACAGAAAATTGAATTAATTTACGCTAAAATATTAATCATCTTTTTTATTAATTTTTATTCCCTTAAAGAATTCCATGAATTAAATTTCTAGGCCAATTATGATTTCTCTGTCTCGTTGGCTCGAATATTTATGGTGGTGGCAATTATTGTTATTAAATTTCTGGGATTGGAGAAGGGGAAGAAAGCTAAATTTCTTCTTGAGGCTATTTACTTAAATGATCTGAAAGAGAATCAATTTATAATTCACATTCTATTAAATTAGATTTTGATTCATTGGATAGAGAATCTTATCTAACTATGATTTATTGAGGAACAATTTAAATTAGATCTTCTTCCGAGTATTTCTTTTTGTGTTTTTTCTTTTTTTCTTTTTTTTATTTTTTTTCTTTCTTAGATTTCTTTTTTTCATGCTTAATTTTCTTTTTTTCAGACACATCATCAATCAAATGATTACTGTCCTTCCTTAATAATTTCTCTAGTTCTTTTTACCATTAATTTTCTTCCTTAGGATAGTGCATAACAGTCTCAAAATCAAAATAATCACATTTTGTTATCAACTCTTCTAAATACTATTTGTAATGTCTGTAGATATCAATGATTGCTTCATTAGTAAATATTAAATCTCCTTCATAATCAAAGCTTTAAAAAATCAAAGCTTCCTTCTAGTAATCTAATTCTTCAGGTAAGCACTCGGAAACTGAACTTATTCCAAGCCCTCCATAATCAATAGGAATATTATCCTTAAAGATTAATGCTTTTTATTCAGTAATTCTAGCAGTATATTCTTTTTGCAATTTACTTAAATTGAGATCAGTTAATTTATTCAGCTTTTGGATATATAATTTTAAAGTAGCATCATTAAATCCATAATTAAAGTAATCTGTTATATCAATCCCTTTTGTCAACCATTTTTTTGAATTTGCATTTAAAAATTCCTCCTTTAACACATGGGGTGTTTGTAATTTATAAAGTGGTGCAGATTATCTCACTCTCAATAGCTTCTCTCTAATGCTCATTAATTTTTGAATTATATATAAAATTAATATTATATTTTTATACAACAATTTTATCAATTTTTTCAGATGTATCGTCACAAAAGCACATTTATGAAATACAATCAATATTCTCCATTGTTTGAACTTCTTTTCTCTAATCTTAGTATTAAGTATGAATAATGCTAATTATATGTAAGAAATATAATTTCAATTGAAATTCATGTAGATGTAAATAACAATTAGTCAAGGTTGCAATAAGGTTTTAAGCATATTAAGTTAATTATTCCATTTTTCAGCCAAGCTTCCTTACTTAGAAACCTTTCAAATTCTTTTTGATGAACTCTTAATATCATCATAAACTAGATCCAATCTTAAATTCTTTTGGCTATAATTTTGTTGTTCACATTGTGTATTATATGAAACTGAGATTAGGTTTCATGAAAACTATAAAAAAATATTGAGAATATCAGCTATAAATCTTATATACTTAACTTTTATATTGATAAAATTAATAAATATAAAGATGCTAAAAGATTAATACCTTTTATAGATATGTCAATACTAAACTAGAGTTTATTCTTTCTAATCAAATTAGTTTTATAATAACCAAATATAACTTTGATATAACATATTAATAAATAGAATTTTAGATTGTTAAATGATAATGCTTAAAAGGTTTTGTAATCAATCATAATTTATTCATTTATTATATACAAATTTCAGGATAAGTTAAATTTCGTTGTATTTTTGTTGCTTTTTTAATATATAACCTTCAAATCCTTTAGCTTTAAAAAACGCAATTATTTCATTAATAGGATTGTCCTATATTACAAAGAGATAACTAAGTGTTATTATATTTACTATACATAATTCCATTCGCATTCATTAATTTGGTTACTTTCTCTAGAATCTTCCAGGTAACTTCCATACCATCCTTTCCTCCTGAATATGAACAATCAATTAAATTAACTTTAGCTACTTCTTCAATTAGATCTTGACCTCTCAAATTATTTGCATAAGCTTGTGCGAATAGTTACTACTTTTCTTTAAAGTATTTTTTGCATCTTTCAACTTCCTCATCTTCAGTTGGAACATAAGGAGGATTGAATATAAAGATATCTATTCCTGATTTGTCTAAAGCCAATCCTTCAAATCCATTTGAATTTATACAATCAAAATATATCTAATTTTCTTGCATAATTCGTGATGAAGCAATGCAAGCATCATAATTGATATCAATGCCAACACACATTAAAGCTCTGTTATTTTATTCTTACAAGAGTTTGCTTACATTGCCAATTAAGATTCCTGATCCACACCCCATTTCTACAACGATTGCATTTTAAGGAAAGTATTGGATCTCTTCCTTTAAAGCATCCAAAAATAAATATGAATCATCATTTGGAACATATACATTTTTGTATTCTGTTTTATTTAAAGTGATTTTCATTATTTTAATATTATGTAATTAATATACGTGAATCATTATTTCTTTCCTTAACCCTTTTTTGGTTATTATTTCTTTGTTTCTTTAACTTGCTCTTTTGGTTTATCCTCTTTTGGTTATTATTATTTTTTATCCTTCTTTTCTTCTTTAACTTCTACTTCTGCATCATCCTTTAATTTCTTAATTCTCAACATACCTTATTTAGCAGACAATCCAGCAGGAGTACTATAAAAATCGATAGAGTTATTACTTCACTTCCCAAGCTCCACCAGCTATTTGTAATCCAGTTTAGGTGCATCTCCAAATACCAATTGCTTATCTCTTCAATGAATGCTAAAAAATAAATCATATGATCATACTGCTCCAGTAAAGGTATTAAAATATCTTTAATGCTATGAAATTTCAAATTTCTTAATAATCTTTCTTAATGATGCACCATATCTTGTGCCATATTTTCCTGTGATTCCTACCTTCTTTGTCTTCTTTGTCATTTCAAATAAAAAATAAAATCTTTAATTTATTTACTCTTAATCAATATAAAAAAATGCCTAGAATTATTTTTTGTTTCTTGAATCTGTAAGGTAATATATGTGTATGGAAAAAAAAGATAAAACTATTTTAGATATGATTTTAATTAATATTAATTTAGGGCGTGATACATCATTCTCAAAAATTAAATTTATTTGAAATTGTTGCATTTGAAATCTGGGACATATTATTTTGATTTTGTTAATATGTAACACTTTAATTACGAAAACTTCTCTACTAAACTAATATCATTTATTACATCCTCTTGTAATGGTATTGGAGATGTATATTTCGCAAAAGTTTGACTTTTTAGGGACGTTATTCCAGGCATTTATGCAGGTGCTTACACTTTGGTTTCATTCAAACATTTATTCAAATATTAAATCATTTAGTTATTCGATTCAAGTAGTTTTTAACTCTCAGCCAATTTGTTTTTTAAATCAAGATTCATGTTCTCCTGGTCTTTCAATCTAATTTCTAAAGAGTCCTTTTCTCTTCTTACTAATTCTATTAAGAATCTTTACGTTCATTTAGTTATTTATGATTTTAATCATTTGCATCTTATAACTATTGTACAGTTTACTCTTGTTAAAGAAAAACCGTATTCTTTAACTTTATTTTATCTTTTTATTTACTAAGCTCATTCTCCAATTTTTCTATGATTTGATTTCCTTTATTCACTTCTTCACTCATGACACTGATTCTGGTTTCAAGTTTTTCTATTTGTTTTTTTTAATTTGCTACTTATTCCTCAAGGATAGACTAGGAAAATTAAAGAATATTTTACATTCTATTTTTTCTCATTATCCACTAATTGTTATTTATTATTCAAATATTCTTCCTTATCATGTATCAACTTTTCGAATCCTTCCTTTTAAATTCTTAACTCAATCAACTATCTTTCTTAAGTAAACTTTAGAGTGTCCAATTCTTTATTCTGTAATCTGAATTCTTAGTTCTCCTTTTAAAATTATTAATTTTCCTATTAAAGTATTGCTAATTTGTTTTTTAGTTCTCTTTCCTATTGAATTAATTATGACTTTTAATCAGAGATCTCTTAATTAATCTATTAGAGTTGTGTGTACTTATTCTATAATTCATAGACTATCTTATCGTATTTTTCAATAATGAATTGCTTTTCATTTTCGCTTTCTCTTTTAAAATTAGTTTCTTTGCTCAAGGATTACTCTCTAAAATCATTAAATTTCTTCTATTCATCCAATAATAATTATTGTATTGCTGTATCTTTGTCCTCTGTGAATTTCCTAATTTCAGACTTTAAATTTTCTAGTTCCCAATGTTTCTCTTCCAATAATTCTGTTAACTTTTTGTTTCTTTTTTGTTGTTCATCATTCTCTTGTCTTTCTAAAGCCAATTTATTTGCTAAAAATGCCTTTATTAAGTCATCTGTTGCACTGCGTAATCTCAAAGACAAATGGGTCAATTTTTTAAACTCATTATTTTCAATGACTGCAAGAGTTGATTCCCCATTCTTAGTCTCCAAACAAACATAAAAACTAAATAATCTCACATTTTATACTTCACTTTTTCATCTCTTTGACTATTTATGCATAACTATAACAAATCTGCAAGTTTCATTGGAAAAGTGGCAAAATCAACATGCAAACTTTATTCATTTTTTAACGCCAAAAATTCACCTTCTGTCAAATCAAGGATCTACAAAAACTATAAATTGTTATCATCTGTCAACTCAATCCTCAGTGTTTAACCATGAGCTTATTAACTCTATTGCATAATCATTTTCAAAGTCAATTATGTATTCCAATCATCTGTAACCTATTTCACTTTTACAGGAATTTACAAGGTGAAAAGCTCTTTTGAGACAGTTGTGACAGGAGCATTAACAAAGCTGACATTGACAGATTAAGGTCTATTGCTCATTTATTCGTATTTCAATTTTTAAGAGGATTGAAAATCATTCATATTTGTTGTCGATTTGGCTGGAGTTTATTAAATGCCAAATTCAATTCTTTTGAAATTCCCCCTATAGTCTTACATTATTATATTTTAAATTTTAACTGTTAATTAAAGGAAAAATTTGTATAAATCAATAACAAAATACACTAATCATGGCCTTCGTATTATGGATAGATCTACTTTTGAGTTCGAATTTAATTTATTTCTACAAAAATTCTTTTTATTTTTGATATGGAGATTCTTATTACATCGATCTATAAGTAGAATTGACAGCACCTTTTGCGATTAACAATTCACTCAAACAAGATTGTAATTTGATAGTTTATTTTCTGCTTTTGACAGAATTTATAAATGGAATTGAGCTTAATTTTATTTTTCTGGATTTCGAATCATTCCTGAAGCACGAAAACTTTTATTATTGCCACTCATAAGAACTACATTTAAGAGAACTATGAAGCGATAACTTTTAACTAACTTTTAGAGTTTTATAATTTTAAATCGTCTTACAAGTAGGAGGTCTTTCCATTGTATCATGTTCTTAAGAATTATTATATTAATACCAACAACAAATTCCTCTTGAATAATCTTGTTTTTTGATGTAAGACATTGAGGAGAGTTCCTTTGACTCTTTTTTAATAGCTATGTAAAGCTTGAAAGAGCAAATTCCTTCCCATTTATTCTCCTATGCATTTCGATGACAGTAGGTAGATGATCAATTTATTTTTATTGGATATTACCAAACAAAGAACCATAACATGATTTTCTTCTGGGATTGGCGTTTTTTGTTTAGGACGATATCTTTTGAACAGCCTTTCTGAATGGAATTAATAAGGAATTTTTGGTTGGCAAATTGTTTTGATTTTCGTTATTGGATATTTAAAGTTCTGAAAAAGAGGACGGTGTCGATTTAGACCTATAGTGCTATTTGGTTGCTGACTTAGACTTTGTTATAGGTATTTAATCTGTTTGATCCTAACAAATATCCAATACTTTCATTGGGATTCTTTTGCCATTGAACATAAAAGGAGGATATTTTTCTAGTTTCTTAATGATCACACTATTACATATAAAACTGCTTTTATTCATTCTTTTATTAATTTTGTGAAAATAAACAGATATCACTATACTTATATTAATTTAAATTCGTTTGATCGCTATTAATTCGGAGTATTAATATTGTTGTATTTTTCAATTAATGGATATCATAACTTTGTTGAGAATTATAAAGAGAATAAAACTGTTTGAAATTAGAAAAAGTAAGAATATTAAATTATTAAATTTCATAAGAATATTCATCTCTCTTTGCTAATTGAAGTAAAAACAATAAAAATGATAGAAAGAGTACCAAAATTCAGATCAATCTAATAGTATCCTACTTAAACAAATATAGATAATAAAGTGACTGCTCCAGGTAGAACCCACATTTCTATTGATTTCTAGGCTTGAATCTCATTCTAAGCGATGTAGGCAATCATTTATAAAATAGTCATGAAAGTTATTTCCCTAAAAATAAACCAAACTAAAAATTACAGAAAATAAGCTCCAGAAAATATATTTTACACTTCTTATGTCATAAGATTTAGTAATATGTAAACAGGTAGACCGAAAAGACTTTAGTATAGCATCAAAGTAAAGAAGGGAAGTTATTTGTTCATCAGAAATTTAATCACGTGAGAGAATGCCAAACATGCTGGTTAGAGAAGGCAAACGAGAACAAACAATAGGTTTTGACCAAATAACAGGGTTGATATGGTTTGCACTAAGGAAATGAGCAAGTTTATTTGATTTCCTGCTGAATATAGTAAGTGGTTGAAAACCTAAATATAGCCTGGAGTCAATTAATGAAAAGCACATATTTCAGAAAAGGGAAAGTGAAACCTAAATTAACTAGCATCATACATTGCCCAAAATCCAATTAAAGATGCTATGACTTGACATCCTGCCATTGCTCCTATCACTCTTATACATGATTGGTCTAGCTGAAAAAGGCGTTTGTCGAAAAATTGTATATACATCAAGGTTATGATTACATTAACGATACATCTTTAAGTAGCAATAGTGATTGCGTCAATATTTTAAATTAATGAGTATGCAATCATTAATTGCAATAATTAACATAAGACATATATGGCACCCAATGCCTATGGAGGTAGTTTTGAAGCATAGGGTATTTATTCTTATGTTTCATTCAAGAGGTTAGTATTGTTAACAATGGCATGAAAGCTTAAATTTGATTATGCTCTACTTAATTTTTCAGACAATTAGTCATCCATTTTATAATTATTAATATTAATTGTATAATATCAAGGTTCAGGAAAGAAAGAACTACAATAAAAATATACATATGTCATAAAAAATCAATATTTGTTCTCAATTATTATAATAATGAATATTACTAACTAATATTAATTCATCCCAAACACGTAATAAATTAATGAAAATATCAATCAGATGATTATTTATTTAATTTCACTTTAGACATCCATTCTTTAGAGAAAATTGATTTATACATATATATATTAATATTTAATTAAATGTCGCTAAGTTAACTGTCAAGCAAACCAAGAATAAATTATGCAAGTATCGTATTTAATAAATAAATTCAAGAGAACTCAGACATAAAAAAAGCCCAAATGATTAATAGTCATTTGGTTTAAATGATGAATTGTTTAAGGAAAATTTATAGAAAATTCAATCCATGAAATAAAGAAGGAAACCAAGTGTAGACTAGAAGCATCAAAGGGCCAAATCAACCCTTGAAAACAAATAACATTCTTATAGGCTTAATAAACCAACAAATGATAAAGAGGAGTAAGATGGTGAGAAGTTATTTGACCAATTTTTTAAACTCAATAATTCAAAAAGTGATAGTGATTTTATGAAAGATTCTATGTAAAGAGAATCCACTAACAAAAATTAGGAGTAGCCAGATTTTTTAAAATTTGTTGAAAATGCCATTGAATATCATAAATCATCAGAGGTTCGATTTTTTAAACCTTCTACAAATAATAAACATTCTCATTTGGAATAGAAACTAAAAGAAGCATCTTTATCAAATAGATTGTTAATTAATTAGTTAAACTAATACAAATAAAAAGAAATTGAACTTAAACACAAGTTGAAATTGATGCAGAAAGAGTTTTCCATCCAATATAGTAGTTTAATATAATAAAATGCTTGGTTAGAAGAATTACTAGCAAAATAAAAGATTGATAATCAAAATTCGTTGTTAGCTGTGAAAAAAGCTGTAGAAATGCTTTAAATAAGGTGTAAATGTTAAAAAGGAATGCAATTGTGTGATAAAATCTTAAGAGATGTAAAGAATTAGGAGAAATTACGTTAGTAGTATGAGTGGGAAGAAGAATCCTAAAGAATATAATCTTCATCAGAATTTACTAATAGTCATGAAGAGGAGTAGAATAATGATTTAAATTTTTAATTGTTTGATAAAAATAGAAAAAAATCAATATCAAAAGCATAACATAATTCAATTTAATCAACTGAAGACTAATAGGAATAGATGGTTCATAGCTATATTCAAGGGACTAGCAAAAACTTGAGAGAATACACAAAAGACTATTTTCAAAAGAAAAGATAACTTTAGGAGCCATATTACATAGAGGAAGAAAATACAATCAATAGTAATTGAAAGACTTTTATGTCAATCCCAATTGATATTAAATTAAATTACAATTACATATTTAGAAAATTATATATAATTTTGGTTAAAATTCTATGTTTTCAAATAGAATTCAATTTGAAAAAAGAAACAATTTATAAAATAGATTATGTTATTTCTTAATATGTATAATTTCATTTTGGTTCATCAGAACATTAAGGTAATCAAAATGGACATTGCGTATAGATAGAATCCATGGCCAGTAGTTGTTGGATCAGTTGTATTGGTTTGATTGTTATCTACAGTAGTGTTATTGTTGTTGTTGTTAGAAGCTCCTGCTCCACAAGCAATACACTTCTTTGTACTGGCATTCCAACTATAGGTATACTAACTCATCTTATAACAGTTATCTTAAGTCAAGGCACTTGGATCTCCAGTCACACATTTTCCTCCTTGAACTTAACAAACTGTGTATCTCTTGCCATCGAAGCTGGGAATGGTGACACATTTATTTGTGCCTTTAGCAGCTGAATCACATGTGTGATTGGAACATGAACTAGCAGTAGTTCCAACTGCAGCAGTCCATTTACAAGTCAATGATTTTAATTGGCAAGCATTCTGATCGGAATTGGCATCTGAACATTGTGAGAATAGTTTGCATGTTCCAGTTGTCGTAGATCCTGAGGCTGGAGTAAATGCACAAGTGCCATCTGTTCCGCCAGCACCGCAAGCTTCTTTGGTGGTGTAATCTGCGCATTTTCCTTGATCAATGCATTTGGTTCCATCTGATATGCATCCAGTAAGGGCAGCAGCACATTCAGAACTCTTAGTCTTTTTAGTATCTGAGCAAGTCTTAGTTTTGCATGTTTTGGCAGTGGTATCCCAAACACAAGCCTTGAATGAACTATCAATGACACAACCGGCTTATTTAGTATATGAGGCACAATCAGCCAAAGAAATGCATTTAGATCCATCAGTTGTGCATTTAGAAGTTGGATTAATTTAGTATCCATAACATCCATTATGAGTTGATGTAGATGTACTTGCATCTGAACATTGTCTCAATCTGCAAGCTGAAGTATCCTTATCGAATTAACATGTACCATCAGTACCTCCAATCTTACAGGCAGCTTCACTATCAGCATAGGTAGAGCATTCAGCCATATCAATACAGTTAGTTCCATTACTAATACATTTAGTATTGAAGGCAGTACATTCTGAACTTACTTTAGAGACTAAGTCTGTGCATTAGGTAAAGAGTTGGCATTTCTTGGTGGAAGTAACCCAACCGCAAGTACCATCAGTACCGTATAAGCATTATATTTATTTGGTGTAATTGCTGCAAATCTTTAAGGGAGTACATTTGCTTTCATCAGTAGTGCAATATTTAGAGGCAGCTTAACAGGTCGTTACTGTTTTCAATGATAAATCGGCACATTTATAGTATTACTGACAAGCATTGTTGTTCCAAAGACATGGTTACAATGAAGAGTCTTGCAGACACTTAGCCTAAGTCTTATACATGTCACAAGTGAATGTGGACTTCATACATCCAGCACCATTGCTGACACAACCTGATATGAAAGCATCACAATCAGCATCATTAACTAATGTGACTGCAGCATCTTGGCAATCCTTAGCTCTGCATCCTTTAATTTATGTTCCTGTGACTATGGTTTCATCCCAAGTACAACTTCCAATTGAATCTGTTGATTTTGCAGCTGAACAAACTTCCTTTCTTGTGTATCCGGTACATGCTCCCTTGGTAACACAACCATTTCCTGCTCCAGCAAAAGTACAAGTATTTGAATATCCTGTGCAATCTGTTTCTGAGCCAACAGTCAAGGGTAGATCTTCGCATTTAGCCTCTGTGCAAGCACTGTTCTTCCAAATACAAATACCAAATCCTGAAGTTGATTCTGATGAAGCACAGACACTCTGACCACTTGCAGTGAAACTACTGCATGAAGTTTGAACATCTCTGCATTGAGAAGCCCAAGCACAAAGAAAATCATTTCCACTCTTAACAGCAGTGCAAGATGAAGATGATTATACATCAGCACATGCAACTGAAGCACCACAACCATGACCATTTGTCTTACATCCTGTTTTATATGAATTACAGTCAGCATCAGTGGTTAATGTAATTGGAGCATCTGAGCATTTGGCAGCAGTACAACTTGTTGGTGTGTCAGTTTAAAGTGCTGTGCCGATACATGGTCCATCTGAAGCTACATATTAGGCACAAGTGATGAAGTTGCCCTTCAATGAAGAACATGTCGAGATGACATCGCATTTTGATCCATTATAATGACATTATATTCCATAAGCCTAACAAACCGATTCAGTATAAGAATCAACAGCCAACTTAGTGCAATCTTTCACTTTACAAGATGTTGTGGCAGTGGCAGTCGAATCATTGGTGCATGACTTACCATTGCCCACAGCCTTCTCACAATCGGCTTGGACTCCTTGATAGGATGAACACTCAGCAGTGGCCTCGATACAACCTGGTCTCTTTGTGACACATCCTTTCATGAAGGTGGCACAATCACTATCGGTAGTAGCTGTTGTGTTATGAGCACAAGTTCTGTCAATACATGCTCCTTTGGTAGTTAAGGACAAACTCCAACATTACTTACTATTTCCGGTTAGTTGCTTACATCCATCTTGATTTCCCCATTAACCAGAACATGGAACTGTAGCACTAATGCATCCTTTGCCAGTTGTAATACAACCATCCAAATATTTCTTGCAATCCGCATCGGTTGTGGCTATTCCATTGTCTTAACATCTTCTAACAACACAAGTACCATTAACAGATGTATTTCCTTGGCATTTTGATCCCAGTACTAAACCAGTAAGTAATTAGCAACTCTCTGAAGTTCCTGTCATTGATCCACATCCTGTCTGTATATCAACACAAGCTTCTCCATTAGTCTTACAAGTTGGAAGCCATGCCTGACAGATGGCATCTGTAGTTCCATCAGATTTTTAACTACATAATCTATCCGCACAAGCAGCTGTGCCTGCCGAATTATGTGAATAGCATAATCTATACTCCCAAACATTACTGGCATTTTTGTATTTACCTGTTAAAGTCAAACACTCCTCTTTTGTACCCTAAACTAGAGCACATCCAGAAGAACTTCCATCAGCATTATTTCCATTGACACAAACGGCACCAGTAGTTGGCTTTGAGTAAACGCATAAATCAAAATATGTGTTGCATTATGAAAATGATGAGACAGTAACTCCAAGATGTGTATTTGCACTTGCACACGATTTTTCGACACAAGCACTTCCAGTATGGAAACAATATTAAGCAGTTGCACTGCCTGCAAAAGCGGTGGCATATGCTACCTTTTTAGCCTTGCAATCTGTTGCACTAGCATTATAGGCAGAACAGACATCATCTATGCAAGGATTTCCAGCAGTTGTATTTGCTTTGCATGAGCCGCCATGAGCAGTGATGGCAGTAGGACATGTACCAGAAGATGATGGACTATATGCACCACAAGTAGCTGCGACAGTACAAGCATCTGTGTTACTTACCTTACCAAAATGGCATAATGGATGATAGTTTTAACAGCTGGTTTCAGCAGTTGGGCTAGTAACATTTGTGCATACATAATCTTCACACACAGAACCATCTGACTTTCTGGCACAAGTAGATTTATGATCTGTACAAGCCTTCAGATCTGCTGGATTTGCAATCTAACTGCATGCTCTATCTGCACAATTACTACCAGTTGTCCAATAACACTTTGCACCACTTGCATTGTATAGATCTTTACAAGCAGCCACTGAACTACCAGAATAAGAACTACAAGCTCCTATTATAACACAAGAATTATTAATAAAGAGACATCTATTTGGTAATACTGCATCACAACTTGCTTAATTAGTAGCTCCATTGATACTAGCACATGTAGCTTCAGCAGTGCAAGCTTCTCTTCTAGCGCATCCTTTTGATAAGGCAGCACAACCTGCTTAATTCATTGCTGGATAATCACCACAACTCGAAGCGCCTGCAATACATCCAGCTCCTGTTGTCACACATCCCTTCAAGAATTTACCACATAAATCATCAGTTGTATTGGTATTATCAGCATCAGCGCAAGCTTTATCTACACAGTTAGCTCCACTCTTCCACCAACAAGGATTTGCTTAATTAGAACCAGTAAACTTTCCACAAATATCTGTGCTTGTTCCAGGATAAGCAGAACAGGCTGCACTAGCTGCTATACATCCAGTTCCTTTTGTTAAACATGTTGAATGGTATGACTTGCAAGCATCATCAGAGGTAGCATCGGTATTGTCTGTGCATACGGGATCAACACATGCAGTAGTATCAGATGCACTGTTAGTATTAGTGCATTTAATTGTGAATCCTTCACAGGTAGCTTTAGTTCCAGAATAACTACTACAAGTAGCAGTTGATGCAATACAGCCTGTCTTCTTAGTCAAGCATCCCTTAAGGAAGGCATCACATAAAGAATCTGTGTTATAAGTGTTAGGTGCTTGGTCACAAGTTCTAGCGACACAAGTACCACTTACCCACCAGCAAGTATTTTTGTTCTATAAAACAACTGTCTTACATAATATTTCGGATTTGAGATCAGAACAAGCCACATTTGATACACATTAGGGTGTCCATTAACATGTTGATTTACCATCACATTGGCTGTTATTTAATAGAGTACTACAGGCACCAGCATCCATACAACCTCCAGTGCCAGTTGCAATACAGCCAGTTTGATAATTGTTACAATCCTCGTTTGTTGTTAGGGAAGCAAGAGCATCTGAACACTTCTTTGGGAAACAGCTACCACTACTAGCACCTCCTGCACACTTACCATCAGTTCCTATGTATCCATCACAACTTGTTGAATCTCCAGTGTAGGATGAACATGTTGATAAGGTAGAGACACAACCTTTACCTGTTGTTTTACATCCAGTTTGATATTCGTCACACTTAGCATCACTATTCAATGAAGCATCGGCATCCTTACACACCTTGGCAGAGCAAGCAGCTTCAGCATCTGAAGCTCCTTTGCATTTACCATCAGATCCAATGTACCCATCACATGTTGAGGAAGTACCTTTATATGATGAGCAAGTTCCTTTTGAAGTGGCACATCCTTTACCAGTTGTCACACAGCCACTCTTGTACTTACCACATTCAGTATCTGTTGAATATGTTTCTGGAGCATCTTTACAATCTACCACACTACAAGTTTTTCCCTCAGCTACTCCCTTACATTTACCATCTGACCCTGTCTTATTTGCACACACCACGTCGTCACCTGTCTATGTAGAACATGATCCCAAAGGAGACTTAACACAACCATAGCCGTTTGTCACACAACCAATTTAATACTTAGCACAGGCAGTGTCTGAGTTCAATGTTGTCTCGGCATCTGTACACACCTTGACCACACATTTGTCTTTTCCATCCACACCTTTACAATAACCATCGGATCCCTTCAATCCTTCACAACTTTCAACATCTCCACTATATGTTGAACAAAGTCCCAATGACGTTACACATCCTTTTCCAGTGGTCACACATCCCTTTATGAAGTTATTACATTAAGCATCTGAGTTGAAGGCAATATCTGCTTCAGTACACTTTTATTCTCGGCAGGATGTATCCCAAACACAAGTGCCTGAGCCACCACTACTACCTTTTCCAGTACAATCTTCGGCTGTTTTGTATGTTGTACAAGTTCCAGGATCAACACAAAATGCTGTTCCATCTGAGTTACATTGTTTGGAGATGGCCTAGCATTCAGCGTCAGTTGCGCCTTTGTAAGCAGAACAACCAGCAAATATTTAACAAACAGAATCTAAATAGGCACAACCCTTGGTTTTAGCACAAGTGATTGCATCGGTTATCAACCCACAGTATCCTTCAGTGGAACTGCTGCCAGAATCCAGCTTAGAACAAAGAGATGTTGTTGTTGACCAACTGCATCCTTGTTTTGCTTTGCAATCAGCCTGAGAGAGAAGTTTCTCACAATTGCATTAATCTGAGACTGCTACATCTGTTGTAGATGCAGCCATAAGTAAAATACTTATTGTTATCAAAACCTTCATTTGATAATTTTTAAATAAATAATGAAATTATACAAAAATCTGTTCTCCTTTTGAAACAAAGATACACCCTTTCATTATAAATTTCATAATCTATACTTTTGAAAATGTAGCTCAATACTTTTATCGATAATAATTACAATTAAAGATATTATTTTTAATTGACATAGTATGATATTTTGTTTTTAAATCGAATCTTTTTCTTCTAAACTCAAATATCCAATTAGCAAACTATTCCTTATTCTTTGAATTATTTGTTTTAACATTTTTACACCTTTAACGTTAGTCACTTATTCTATCTGAGATTTTATGAATTTTATTTTATCTATTCAAAACTTATCAAATAGCTAACGTTGTTTATTTCAAAGCCTAAAAACCAAACACTCTCTCGCTACTCTTTATTTCTATCTTGGGCTAACTGGAGAATAATTTCAATACATCTATGATCATGAATGCAAAATCACATTTTCGGATTATCTTTTGATTGACGATTGATGAAAATTTATTTTTAAAGAGTGTTTACTCCTGTAGTATCTAATCCTTTCAATTATCCTTCCACCCTGTTTTCCACAATTTTTTCTAACATTAATTATTTAAATCCAACTAATCAAATACCAGTAAACTATTGGACAGCAGGTGCTTGAAATACATGTGAGAAAAATAATTCTTTTTCAAGAAAACAGAAGAAGTTGGATTGAATGATTATGACAATCAATAATTGATACGGCTTTATCAATAACTAAAGAGAAGAGTATTCAAGTACTTTTATTATAATGTTTATATATTTATTTAAAAATATAAAATTTTTTTGATGAAATAGTTGGGATTGCTAGAAACGTCAATTAGATTCCAAATGGCCTTGTGATATAATTAAATTAAAACATTCCACTACACTCAAATGTCGTTACGATGTATCAAAAGTGTATTTTGATTTTCAACAAAATCAATATTTTAAATTAACAGCATTAAGATAATGAAAATCTCCTTTATAACCTTTAGACCTAGATAAATTGATGAATTCATTGCCGAATATTCAATTTATTAATCATCATCCTCTTTTAACGTAAAAATTAAAAAACATATATATTAAAATAATATATTGATAAATTTGAAAAATTTATATATTATAATCTTCATATTCTATTTTGAAAGATGTAATCACTATTGCATTATTTCTTTACAATCATGCCTTAATAAAGGATTTCGTAACTATCCAGCTTTCCTATTTCATCATCATGAACAATGGATTGATATTAGTTTGTTTATGAAAATAATAGAAAAAAATGGTTTTGTCGTATTTTCCTTATAGTCATTCTTTCTTAAATTATCATCAGAAAGCTAGATAAGAGACCATAGCACACTCCTCAATAAGAATATTCACACAGCTCGTATAAATAATGAAAATCTATAGCCCTACCATAAATATATTATATGTGATAAATGCAATTGTATGCTATTCAATAATTCATATGGAAATATTTATTATTATGGTAATTAATTTAAAAATCTATTATTATGTCTTAACTTGAGTAAATTCTTCTATCTAATTCTTCTGGTATTAAAACACAATTTTAAATTGAATCGGAGGTATTTAAATAGTGTAATAGTAAAGAAAATTGAGGATCTAATAAATTAGCTAAAATAAATTAATGATCAACTACAAGCCACCTAGATCACTGAGTAGTAATTAAAATGTCCAAATAAAATAGATAAAACTCTTAGCTTATGCCTGCTAAATAGAATTTTAAAATGAAAGCTGAAAATATTAAATAAATAGTAACATCTTTGGAAAAGAGCATTCGTGGCAATGAACAAAAGAACATTCTATCAAAATTAAAGTAGTCGTTTTAAAAAGAAGTTGAAAGACAAAGGAGGATTCTCAAGAGTTCCATAAATTCTTCATATGAAAAAAGATTCTCCAGGATTTCAATAATCAGATAATCGAGAATAAAAGGCTCAGAGATTTAAGCAGAGCAATTAAAATACTTTGTTGAACATAATTATGTGAAAATTGGGTAAAAGGATGAAAGAATAGAATAGGAGAACAAGAGACACTCGTCAGTCAAAATTGAAGATAACTCAAAAATAAAAACAATTTCAATTGATGAAGAGTTCAGAGATTAAGAATGGATTGATTTAGAGAATATTTTGATTGAAGAAAGGCAAAAAGAACTAGATGATATTGAAAGAGAAGCAGTTTAACTAAATTTATTAGCAAATTAGATGGGCAGCACTCTCGGCTAATAAGGTGTAAATCTAAATTTTGGATAGTAAAATATAAGTTAAGTCAAGCCTAAAGTAATACAAACTTAGAACAAAATAGTCAGTGTTGATAGGTAATAGAAAAGCCGATTCAAAAAGAAATATTATATTATTATTGGAATTCTCATTTTAATAATAGTTGTGATGATAATTTTACTTATCTCAATCTATTGATAGATATTAAGGGTATATCTAGAAAAATTGTTTGAATCATGGTTTCTCAAATATATTTTTTAGTCATTTTAATCATCTATAATAGTAATATTCTTATATTAGATTTAATATTATTTTTATTAAGAACATGTAATCATCTTATGATTAATTATGCAAAAATAAATAATTAGCTTTTACTATATTTTCTAAGGTTAAAGATCCTTTTCCATTGATTGAAGTATTATACAAATTTAAAAAAGCAAAGTGATATAGCTGAATTTGAGTTGGCAAAACAAGAGCAAAGATCAAGATTTTAAACTACTTTCTATAGCTCACTGCTATCTACATGTATTTTTTGCTTGATTTTGAAAATGAGGAATCCTATTTATGCATTGACTGCAAGGTATATCTCATTTTATAAAATAAGATCATCCTTTTATGGATTGTTAAAGAAATACTATATTGTTCCTATTTTTCTATCACAACCATTCTATAATTAATATAGCCAACTTTATGATGAAAAAGTGAATAAAATATTGAAAAAATATGATTTCACTACTCTTTAATTTCAATAGGCCTTTAAATAGATTGAAGCTGATGGAGGCATACAGAAATTTATGAAAAAGCACCTTTCAGAAAAAGATGAAGAACCGTAAGAATCAGTCTAACAAACATAATTATGAGAAATATAAATTTATTTTATTAATGTAATTTTCAGAGCAAATAACAAAATATATAATTTGAATTAAATAAATTATTCTCATCGTTAATGAAGAAAATTAGTTAATAGATGTTATCATTAATGAACAAAAATATCTAACTAGATTAACCATATCCAAATGACTTAAAAAAAAATAAAAGCAAACCTAAGACTGCAAACACAGAGAGAACTCAATCCAAAACCTAGAAAAATGATTTACTTGAGTATTTCAAGAAAGACAGGAACACTTTAACTTAACTAGTAAATTCCTCTAAGACCAATTTATAGGGAAGCAAAAGCATTGATAATTTATAGCAAAAATGTTAAAAGAGTGAACCTTTAAAAAATGGCTAATTTAATGTATATTCAAATATATCCCCCTATTAGGCTGACACACGTATTTAGACTGACGAAGGAAATAGTACTAAAAGATAGATTTTAAAATAAAAAAACTTATCATTAGCTACCATTTCATTAGATGCACAAAGTATTGATAAAATGTTGAAAAATTAATTGTCAAAGTAACCGCAGACAACAAAGTAATCTTACAACCAATCTCCTTAAAAATTAAATTAAATCGCCTACTAAGACATAAAAAGATCAATTGCTATTTGACATGCATTTAGTAATCTATTAATAAATATATTATCTAGTTAAAAAACACAGTATGCAATAATGAGTATTAGAATTATTTAAATTTAAAATTGAATAAATAATCCATTTAATCCAACAATTCATTAAATCATAGATAGTCAATTGAAGATATGCTTTAATATTAAAAAATACTCAAAGGATCCTAATAATCTTAACCAGGGAAAACAAAAAAGACTGAAAGTGAATCTAAGTCAACCAATTTGAGCCAGATTAAAACCGAATATTCTTCTGCTTCTAATTAATAATTCTTAAAATAAAAGAGCAAAGAAGAAACGACTTCATATGATCCAAACAAATAAATACTCATAATTCTCTATTATAAATAATAAAAGTAATATATGTTGTAAAATCAATAGATACACTTATTCGTATGAATTTAAAAATTAAACTACTGATAATTTATATAATTATTTGATCCAATAAATAGCATGCATAGAAAGGTCATTTACAAAACTTGGAAGTGGAACAGGCTCAACTGAAGGAGATTAAATATAATAAGGTATATTAAAGAACCTATATATTTTTAGAATTAAATAAAATATGTCAATTTTAAACAATATCAAAAAATATCCCATATGATTACTATTTAACAATCTCTGGCTAAACTTTGGACGTTTTCAAAGGAAAAACGTTGCAGATTTAGCCATTTTATTCATAACCAATAACAACAAAAAGAGTTGGATTGAAGGACTTTACATTAGTTAAATGTATAGGCGTTGGAGGATTTTCAAGAGTATATATGGTAAGAAAGAGAGACAATGGGAAGTTTTATGCCCTGAAACTGATTGATAAGAAATTCATTTTAGACAATCAAAAAGAGATTATCGTACAAAATGAAAGAGACATTATGGTTAGGATGGAGAATTAATTTGTTACTCCATTGTAGTACGCATTTGAGACTAAATATTACATTGCATTTGTTCTGGATTATTGTGCTGGAGGCGAGTTGTTTTATCATCTACGCAAATTGAAAAGATTGAATGAATAAGATGCTAAATTCTATTTTGTAGAAATTTGCATTGGTATGGCTTATCTACATTCCTAACATATTGTATATCGAGACATAAAGCCAGAAAACATTCTGTTAGACTTATAAGGTCACTTACTTCTAAGTGATTTTGGTTTATCAAAGCCTGATATGACACCAGATGATTTTGCCTATTCGTTTTGTGGATCTCCAGAATATATGGCTCCAGAAATGCTGATGAAAACTGGTCATAACTATTTAGTGGATTGCTATTGCTTAGGGGCCTTGCTTTATGAATTAGTTACAGGGTTGCCTCCATTTTATTCTCATAATACTCAAGAAATTTATAATTCTATTTTGACTGAAACTATAGAATTTCCATAATATGTTCAAATATCACCTGTTTTAAAGGATCTCATATTGTAACTGCTTTAAAAAGACCCTACAGAAAGATTGGGTTAGAATGGTGGCGTTGTTGAGATTTTAACCCACAAATGGTTTTAGGATGTTGATTTTGAAGCAATTGCCAATAAAAAATTGAACACTCCCTATAAACCAGAGCCTCTTAAATATAATTTTGATGAGGAGGAATTTAGTAAAGGAGATTCTGAGTTTAGGAAGTAATATTAAACCAATATGCAAAAAGAATTCCAAGTATTGAATTATAACTATTTAGAATGTTGACACTGCAAACTATGTATTGAAAAACTTTTATTACTCTCGAGAATCCTAAGTTGGACTTGATAAAACTATAAGAATCAAGGAGGTCAATCTAAATCAAATATAGAATTTAGCAATTCCTACTTAATCTTCATCTCCTTCCAAAATTTAACTATAATCTAAGGGAGAAAAACATCCTCAGTAAGTAGTTGCCTCTCCTCAAGAGGGAAAAAGAATTAATAGACAAGCTGGAAAAAGTGAAGTTTATGATTACTTTAAAAAGCATGATTTGTCTTCAAAGTAATCTCAATTACTACATTAATCTACCAAATTAGGACATTCTTATTCAAAAACAATGCAATAAGCATAAAGTTCTTTATAAGATTTGAAGGTAAATAATGTAAAAAATATGATTGTAGTAATTTAAATTATTTGTTGATTAATCAAAAGCTTTGTTATGCACAGATAGAACTAATACCATGCCAGATTAAAACCTGAAAAATTTTACAGAGAGACTAAAAACTGAACAATTTGGAAATCTATCATCTCCTAAAACCATAACTAATAGTTCGTTGAATAAATTGACCAACTTTTCCAAACTATTTACATCTGAGAAATAAAAATAATGAATGATCTTAACTTATTAATTTAATATTATTAATGAAATAAAATTATTATTAATCATCATCCTATCATATTAGTACTAGAATTGATATGATATATAAAACTAATAAAACAATTATACCAGAAACTATTAATTTTACAATTTTATCATTCTGCTCAGGAAGTGCAACTTATTTTTGCTTTTGGGGACTGAAGTCTTAAAATTCATGAATGTCTGGAGAGTAGTTATTCTATCCTTAGTTAGGTTTTCTCTACTTGATTTCATCAAATTAAAAATGGAGTGGAGTATTATTATCTTAATGCATATCTTTGAATTCCAAGTCTTCATTGCTGTTCTAATGTTTGTAGTTAATTTAGTTTTTTGAATTCTATTGAATGCTATTTGATGGCTAGTGAGTCACGGGTTATTCGATTTAAGAATTTCTTGATGTAGCAGTATATTTTGATATGATCTTTTCTACTTCTGGATCTGGCCTATAAGGTTAGAAAGTGCTTAGGGCTGATTATTTTAATGGCTAAGCATTTTGAGTATATCGAACATTTGAATATGATTATGATGGTTATATGTAGGACTGTGCTTAGTAAATTAAAGGTATTGGTTGTGGATACATATTGGTAGGATATCCAGATGGAACAACTGGGATAGTTTTGATTGGTGAATATTAATGAACAGGGGCATTTTGGTTGTAGTACATTAAATCGTTATAAATTTAATATGAATATTAATAATTATGTGCAACATTAATGTATTGCTGTATTAATAGATAAATCAATTTAAGAGGATATTCAAATTAAATAACACAAACTATAATAGATCAAGTTAAACAAGAGCATCATTTAGTTTTGGTTTTAGTAATTATAGTATATAATCTAGATAAGAAGTTCGTTACTGTTTTTTTAATGATAATATTTTAATATCTAGTTTTTTTATTATTTCTTAGTTTTTTAAGCATCAAATTTAGGTTAAATAAGAATAGTTACATTTACTATTTTAAGAAATCAATTAGGTTAACAAATCTCCAAAATAAAAATTTGTTGTATTCTATGTACTAATATGATATCATTTTTTCTTTTATTCAATCTTCTTTATGTAGAATTCTCACTCTTTTCCTTCCAAAATATAACCATCAGCTCTTCCTGATTAACCTGGTCTCGAAGTTATTCTAACCAACAATCTTTAATTGGCGAATTGTTCTTAGACTAATTAATCAATAACATTCTCTTTAGCTCTTTGTTCAAGTTTCTTAATGAGACTTTTCGACTTTTTTTGTTTATTCAACTGGTGCATCCTATAATAAATTACAATTAAAACCTTCTTCTTTTTTTATCCTAATTCCACATTATATTTTTTGGCATACCATTATTTAAATGTTGTTGCATCAATTTAGACAATTACTCCTCTTGTTAAGGTTTTTGTTCTCACTAATTCATTATTTGATGGATGATAAACAACTTCAACTATTTTTGCTTTTTTAGCAACTCCTTAACTTCCCCACGAGATGTTTCCATCGGATAAACGAAGTGCTCTGAATTTAAGGTTTCCTCCTCTCACTCTTATTCTTCTAACTCGCTTTTCTCCTGACACTAATTTTGTCATTGCTGCCTGTCTTCCTTTCTCAAAAGCTCTCTTCTTTTTGTGAATAGGCATACGACCTCCTGTGAGTCTTCTCTTATGTCTACTATCCCTTGATATTCCCATTAGTTAATAAAAAAAGATTTTATTATATTTAAAATAATAAACACCACCATTCTCATATTCATGCTACATTACAATTTTATTGTGTCTCCACTTTGCTGTGTAATTTAGGAAATTAATTCCTATACTTGTATTTTGATCAGATACAACATTATCAATAAAGAAATGTTAAGAATTGAATAAAAAATAAATAATATTTATATTAATTTATTTAATTATGAATGTTTCAAATTTCGTTCTTTGTTCATCAATTTTAACTTTATTACTAAATCAATTAATGCGAACAATATATTTGAATTTGAATGAAGACAATTTCATTTTATTTACCTTAATCACAATATTAGCATTAATGATTGTTGTTGTAACAACGATCATGATAAAAAAGTCAGCATTAAATATGCAGTACTTATAATTGATGATGATACTATATTTTTCCATAACTCAATTTGAAAGCTTTTATTATTAAATTGGCAATTCAACCCATTGTATTTTAACAATTTTACTATTTTTTGAAATGTATTTTATCAATACTTTAAAAACCAAACCTACTTAAATTATCACCTTTTCTACTGTCATAATAATGATGTTAATATCCTCCATTAGCTTTTAAAGTGTTAAGACATTCAGCCTTGAATTTTTAATGGATCTTATAAATTAAAAAATCAATATTTGCATTTTTATTTTCTTCATTTACTAATTCTTAAATAATCAGCATGAATATAGAGCATTGGATCCGTAATCATAGAGGAAATCCAAATAATTAACACTCGACTAGGTATTAGTCCTCTAAACACCAATAAATAATTCTATCTATGAATTATCGCATGGAATTGATATCAACTTTGGATAAAAAGAATTATTAGACCACATCAATGAAGGAGTCATGATGGCCAAATTGCTATCTCCTGACGACAAAATCAGCAACTTGTAATTTAAATTTTAGAATTCAGCTGCTTAAGCGATGTTCTGCAAGGAGAATGATGAATTGCCTTTATTTTCTAGATTAACTGGAATGTGAAATACCAATGGAATCATGCTAATCACAATAAAATTATGCAAGCACTTCACCACCTCATTAGGATAAATCAGATTATCAAAAGAAATTATTTGTATCTTAATCTAATTTTGGATTTAGTTTATAAGAGAAGAAATCATTTTCACCTAATTCCAAAATCGCATTTTTCTAATAGCAATAAAATTCTGATAGTGTAGTTCAAGTAAATAAATCGAATATTTCTTAGTGCAAGACTGTGTATTAACATTTGCTTTAATTCGCAAGGTCAAACAAAAATTGTGTTGAAAACGAAGCATAATGTGAATCTCTGAAATTGTGTTGTACATTTGAAGATAATGGAAAACAAAAGTCAATAGAGTTTATTTGTTTATTAGGTTTAGGCAAGTAGATTATTATAATTACTCGAGATATAATTTATTTGAATTAATTAAAGGAGTTACTTTAAGTGAATCAGTAAAAATCTAATATGCTCAATTATGTTAGCCATGAATTTAGAACCCCCTTGAATTGCATTATCAATATTTTGTCAAGTGTTTTAGACAAGGTTTAGGTCAATTAAGATCAATTGTTACATATAGCTTTGGAAAGTTCACAGCATCTTTTGAATCTGGCAAATGATTTACTTGATTTAGCCTAGATAAAGAATAATGTATTTAATTTATCAACTGAACAATTCAATGTCTGTCTATTAGCACAGGTGTGTTTAAATTCATTCCAAATTTAAGCTGATGCCTAAAATGTGAAGATATCCTTAGCAGCAACTTCAGATTCATTATTTATTAAATCAGATAAGAATAGAATAAAATAAATTTTAATAAATTTGATTGGGAATGCTCTCAAATTTACATATGATGGTAAAATTGAAATAGTATTGAGACAATACGATTAATTTATTGATATTGGTGTTAGAGACACAGGTATTGGAATATCTTAGGAAAACATTAGTAAACTATTCAAGGCTTTTGGTAAAGTTGACAATGATAAGTCCAAATCAATGAATTAATAGGGAGTTGGATTAGGATTACTTATTAGTAATAAGATTGCCAAGCAATTAAGTGCTGACAATCAAGGAATCAAGGTTTAATCAACTGAAATGAAATATGAGAATCATGGTTCATATTTCTACTTTACTGTTAAGATGGAATCTCATAGGCAACATAAGTTATTAAGTTATAAGCCTCCATAAAAATAAATCAATTTATCATCTCCATTTATCCCGTCAGAAGGAACATAAAAGAAAAAATCATTTACGTATACAAGCATTGAGTAAAGATTAAGTCCTGAGAGAATCAAAGAAACTAAATGTTTCCATATTTTGATAGTTGATGATAATGTTTTTAATTTAGCTGTATTAGGGATGATGATTAATGAATATTTTCAAAATGAAATCTATTTACAATTATCAATAGAGAAGGCAAACAATGGAACCCAAGCAGTTGGTTTGGCTTTTTATAAATGTAATGAAAATTGCTAAGGTTTTTCATTAATATTTATGGATATGGAAATGCCAGGATTAAATGGAGTAGATGCATCAAAGATTATCTTAGCAAAAAATAATTAATAGAGAATCATAATTCTAACTGGGTATATTTTAATTTGATTGTTAGCAATAACTTAAGTCAATAAGAAATTAAAGAATTAAAATCAATCGGAATATTCGATTACATAATTAAGCCTATACAAAAATCTAAGTTACAAAGTATTCTTGAACAATTTGTTACAGATTGAGCTAACTTTATTATATTTAGTAATAGTATTAATAGTTGTTTTATAATAATATCATTATTATTAAGGACTCAGTTTGATGTATTATCATTGATAAGATTATTTGAAATTTAAATGTCTTTGAATCTGAGATTAAAATAACTTATTCAAGGTCCAATAAGTTATTTTTAGATATAATATTAAATTATTTAGTATTCACTATTTTCTTTTGGAAAAGAATGTATTAATCAAGATTTTCAAAACATATAAGCATCAATGTTTATCTTGGTTTCTTATTGATAATGACAGAAATACATAATTATTTATTAACATTATAAATTATATCTGTCTTATGAATTAAATTTATTTCAAATTAAAAACCATTTCAAAAAGTGAAATATGAGTTAAAATGATGATAATTCAAGTCTCTCAGAAATAAATAAAACTCTAGAAGATAGAAAGGATTTTGTATTTATTTCAAGTATTTTTATACTCACAAGCTCAATTACTACTTATTTTTATGCGACATTAATCAAGCAATTTTTATCTCTTGGTTTGATGCCTTTTGAGTTAAAGTTATTCGAATTGCTCCTTATACCATAATATCTCAAAATATTAATTTGTCCTATATTAGATACCTTTTTCATAAGAAAATTTGGAAGAAGGAAAACTTATATAATTCTAATATTATTTCTGTTAGCAATTTATTGTATCGTACTTAGCATAACTTATGAAGGATTAATTACAAATTTAAAATTGCAAACTGTTCGTAATTTAGCACTTCTTCAACTTATTCTAGTTTTAATTTTAGAAATTGCAGCCGAAGCTTGGATTGTTGATTATGTTTATGATGATAACTATAAATTTGCTGCAGCCATCAAATACTCAGTCACTTTCATCAGTTCTACAATAACAACTGAAATTTTCCATTCTTCTGGAACTTACTTTAGTATAGTGTCTGTATTCTCAATTATTATGCTCATTTACACATATTAATACAAAACTGAAAACGATTAGTATTAGTCAAAAATGAGGATTAAGTCATTATGCAAGAGACTAAAGACTTTTTATGAATAGATTTTCGAGAGGAGCTATTAAATTAAACTCTTTTTTTTATTTTCATCAATGATTGGTTTTGGATATGCAGAAGATATAATTGAATAAGTAATTCTGCAATAGGATTTCATGAGCTTGAATCAAATAAAATTTTAATGGACGATCATAATTTGCATAATTTTATCACTTAGTGTCGTAACTTTAATATTAATGAAATTCAAGATAGCTCCAATATATTTAATAGTAGTAATCTTAAGAAATTTAAATAATTTCTTTTTATCAATTTGTTACAACTACTTTCCTTCGAAATTAGATGTATATTTATGTTTTTATAATAGAATATCATTTCAATATATAAATTAATGGAAGAATCATCTAAAGCTATGCATTTCACATTGCTATATATTTTGATTTACGATAGTACTAAATAAAAATTGAGTGCAACTATGATGATTGCTTTTTTATTGGTAGTAAAATTAGGACAAGATGGAAATCGATTACTATCAAACTATTTATATAATTCATTTGGATCTCCAGCAGATGCAATAATCGGAGTTATTATTTAGAGCTTTAATTTAATATTTGCAGTAGATTATCGCGATGCCATATTTTATAAATGATAATCATTTAGTAAAGTTTGATTTAGCTATACTTAATAATTCTTACTACTTTTAGACTTTTAGGTTTTTTATTTAATATTAAATTAAATACATCTTCTATGTTCACCTTATAAAAGATCTTATATCAATTATTGTGAACATTTTTTGTTCATTTTACTATTCTTATTTATTCAATTAAGAAACATTAGGAATAATTGGTATTACTAAACTTTACAATAGAAATAAGTAATTATTTTTCATATATTATCTCTTCTAAAATTAATGTTCACTTCTGAAGTAGACTTAATTTATTACATATAATCTTAAAGTGCAACTTGATTAATTAATATTATTTAACATAGGGTATTTTTTTTAAATCAGAAGGTAGTAGATTTTTTTATTAAATTCATATTCATATTCGTTATTATTTATTATTTATTATGAATTTAAGGCCATTTATTAAAACACACATTAAGACTATAATGACAAATTTTGACGTTTAGAGGGGACCCTTTGATTCCTTTTTAAGAGAATACTACAAAAATAACAAAACTCTTGGACCATCTGAGCGCTCAATAATTTCTTAAACTGCATTTGATCTCGTAAGAAATGATCTTCTTCTCTCTCATTTTACAAAAGATGTGGATAGGAAATGTGATTTATTATCACATATATCTAATTATGAAAACGACCAAAATATTCCACTGTAAGATTATATTTTGATCAATTACAAAGGAATATTCGATGTAGCTGTCCAGAGATGTAAAAATACATTCTATTTCAGACTCTTCCAATTGGTTTCTGATTAATATGGCTAAAAAAGAGCATATGAGTTCTTTATGGCACTTAACACCAAGGCCCCGTTGACAATACGCATAAATCCAATTAAAACCACAAGAGAGAAAGTAATTTTCTTACTACTGAATATCTTTAGTTAATGTAAGAGATGAATCACCTTTATTTCAAAAAGACCTTAACATCGCCGTATGGGTTAATAATAAGCAAGGAAAATAATGTAAATTTGAGTGATACAGATTAATTTAAAGAAGGACTATTTGAAATACAAGATGAGGCCTCATAAATCTGTGCCCTTAGAGTCTAATGTAGGCCTAATGATAAAGTGCTGGATTATTGTGCTGGATCTGGAGGAAAAACTTTGGCATTTGCTCATCAAATGGAAGGTAAAGGTGTGATTGAGATCAATGATACCAGAAGTGAAGCACTATCTAAAGCAAAAATTAGATTAAGAAGAGCAGGTATCATGAATTATAGTTTCTTTACAAAGAAGTTCAAATATGATTGGATCTTATTAGATGTTCCTTGTACAGGTTTAGGAACTTTGAGAAGAAATCCGGACTCAAAATATAGATTTTCTTAGGGAAGATTGGATGGTATATATATGAATTGAAGTAGATTTAATAAAATTGCAATAAGACATATTTGATTAAGCAATAAGATATTTAAAATAGGATGGAGTTATTGTTTATACAACTTGTAGTTTTTTGAAGGACGAGAATTAGAATCAAGTGAAGCATTTTTGCAAGAAATATAATTTAAGTGTGGTGGATAACGATTACTTCTAAAGCTTGCCTGAAAAAGGGGGAATGGATGGCTTCTTTAGTATTAGTTTGAAAAAAAATTGAGTATGAATATAATAATATGATGCTGATTTTAAATTGATCGATGTTCCCTTAGATATTGAGGGGGAGTTTATGGAGAGTGGAGAGAATCTATACAATAGTTATTAATACAAAATTTAAAATTATATTTAAATCTTTTTATGGGTAAAAACTATAGAAACAGATCAAAGACATCTGCCACACCACGAAAACCATTCGAAAAGGAACGTCTTGATAATGAGTAATATTAATGAATAATTAGATTGCAAATCATTGGTAAGTATGGATTGAAGAATAAAAGAGAAGTTTGGAGAGTTCAACTTACATTAGCCAGAATCAGAAAGGCTGCCAGAGAATTATTGACTCTTGATCCAAAGGACCCAAGAAGATTGTTCGAAGGAGAAGCCTTGATTAGAAGAATGGTTCGCTTTGGTTTGTTGAGTGAATAAGAGAGAAAGTTGGATTATGTCTTAGGTTTGACTACATAAAAAATGATGGAGAGAAGACTCTAAACCTTTGTTTTCAAAAGCAATCAAGCATCATCAATTCATCATGCCAGAACCTTAATTAGATAAAGACACTTTAGGTATAATTGACATTTGATCATATCATAGAGTTGGAAAGAGATTAGTAAATTCCCCATCATTCCTTGTTAGAGTGGAAAGTGAAAAATTAGTTGATTTCGCAGTCACCTCTCCATTTGGATAAGGTAGAGAAGGAAGAAGAAAGAGAAAGAACTCAAAAAGAAAGCAACCAAAAGAAGAATGATCATTGTTATAATATACATTCAATAAGTACATTCTTATATTTTTCAAATACATTTTTGAATCAATCTGCTTGCAAATCTATTGCATATAAACCTGGATGGATGTTTTATTGATTTACTAATTTCTTAACCACCCAACTTTTCGAAGGTTTCATCACACATATCAAACTACTGCTCAAAACTCTAATTACCCAGTGAATAGTTTTGTCTAATCAGCACTGCATCCATTAAAACATTAAGAATTTTTATTCCATTGTTCTTGGGTGAGAATAAAGCCGCAACATTGACAAGCTCTCAAGTCCTTCGTTTGCTTTGGAATTGTGAAAGCCTTTTCATCAGATGACTCCTATCCTGAATCAGATTAATTCATTCTTAGATTTTATATAAATTAATTACATAATTATGTCAATCTATGATTTTTTAGATTTTCTCATCTATTATTGTTTCTGATTACAAATTAAATTTCAAATTAGCACCTTAAAGTATAACTGTTGATTTGGAAATAGTCAAAGTATGAGCAACACTTAACTATTTTTAGATCAAAATTAAAATGGCATTTAGATTTCCTTTACTTGTTGTTGTTTATATTAAACAGTTCATTTGTATTTATTTATTTTCATGATTAAAGTGTTATAACAAACATAGAAGTAATCATTTTTATTATTATATTCAATGATGAATCCTTATACTCTTCACTTCTTAGATAAATAATTAGAAGAATAATATCAAGAGGCCAGAATAAGGTAAGTCTTAAGACGAATTTTTCAAATTGTGGTGCTCGGCACATTCCTTCTTCATGGCATGAAAATTATTTATGATTTGGCTCTCGATAAACCAAATAAACCCTACATTAATATTGGATTTATTGTTTGGACAATTATTGCTTAGATCACTATCAAAATTAACAAGAAGTTAATAAAATTAGTCATAACTATCTCTAATATATCAACGCTAGTTTTACAAATGAATTTTGATACAAGTTATTCTCTGCCCCAAGATTATTATCAATTCGGATGCAATATAACTTAACTTTAATCTGTCCTTTATTTCTTAAGTGACTTTTTATATGCTTTTGTTTCTGTGATTTTTCACACAGTAGCCAGAATGGTGATTACTTCATATTACACTTAAAGAGTTGATGTTTAGGATTATTGTTTCTCAATTTTATGCGTTGCATTTGTCGTATCTATACTCTACAAAAATGATATCAATTCTAGAAAGCACTTTTTATTACGATTAAAAGAAGAACAGATTGACGACAAATTAATAAAATTAGTAAAATCACCATTTTTCTAATTTGATATTAAGTGTGATTTATAACAAATAAATTTGTAATAAGTTAAACACATAGAATAATTTGAGTTTGGGAGAGAAGACTTTTGCGATGGATGTAATTTCAGAAATCTACTTAGAGACATCTTCATTGATAAAAACACAACTTTGGAATAATAATTATTATAGAATCATGAACAAGAGCAAATTTACAAAGTCAAATATATTCACAATCATCAAAAAATGTCGATGGACATTTATTTTTGTAATTTAGGAATAGAATGCTCTAAGTATATTTTGATTTTGGAGAATATCAAAACCAATTAAACCATCAGAAAACCATAAACTCATTCCGTTGAAGATGCTTGGAGTTAGATCAAAGCATAAATTAAAAGAATTTCTAAATAACATTTTAATTTAAGAATCTTTTATTTTGGTGTACTTTCTACTATTAAGATAAATGACACTCTGATAAATTACTTAAATTTAAAAAGATAATTTAAAAAATTTAGTTAGCTCCTCAAATGCCAAGGCTTTCTAGATATAAAAGGAGAGAACAAAATTATTGTCTAAACTTATGGAAATTAACTCAATATTTGGATCATCTAAGTTTTACTAATTATATAACAAATTACAATAAATAGAAAATAGAAATCTTTTATATTTTTAGAGATGCAAGATGATGTGATATTAATAAAATTCATATTGAAAGATCCTTCCTCTTTTATACTGAATTATTATCGTAATTTTTTCATCAAATAGATATCCTCATAATTATTTTCTTATAACTTAAACTCCAAATTGGAACTTAATTTGATTAAAAATATTTAGCAAGCATTTGATATAATATGAAATTTATAATTTATCATTTAAATAATAATTCAATAATAATATTAAATTGGAGTTTTGAGTAAAAATGATATCTTATTTTCTTATATCGAAATTCATCAAAATTATCAAATTCTTTAAATAATTCTATCTCTTAAAACAATATCAATTTAGGGTTTCTCAATTGTTTACCTACAACTAAAGTTATTTTATATGAAAAGGTTGTGTTTGTAAATTAAGAGCAATTTTCAATAATTAGATATATATATTATTTATCCTAATAATCGAATAATATTCATTTTTATTAGAAATTAACAGGATTGAAAGGTGGTTATAAACCTTGTGGAATACCTGTTGGAAAACCTAGCAAAGTTGTTCGAGGATCCTAATTAATATTAAATAATTAAACTACTTTTGGCTGTTAAGGCTGTTAAGGCTGCAGATGCTGTTAATTTATTACTTTCAAAAGGTCTTAGTCGTCAATTTTGTAGAGTTCAAAGTATTCAATATCAAAATATTTTCCATTAGCTAAATAGGATTCAGAATTGCCGATCTTATATTCTTATCCTTTTAGGTCAAATGCTTCCCCTAAATTTGATGAGCATTTTAAAAAATCATTTGGAATTTGTAAATCTTATCCAAACGTCAGAGTTGGTGATTATATCTCATGTTCTGCCATTTTTAACTCAAATCCTTATTTAACAGGTAAAAATATGCCTTTTGTTAGATTAAATAAGAGCGACTTGCCTTTTTGTTTCGCATTGTAATAAAATCCTATGTTCTAATAAAAATAATAATTGTTTTTACTTAATCTGTAGAGGTTTTAATTAAAGCAATAATGACATTATTTTTTAAATCATCCTTAAATTGATAAAGATTATTTAGCAAGTTCAATTTTGAGGATTAAATTAGGGGTTTTAATTTATCAGTTAATAGATGCTACATTTTTTGTGGTTCATTGTTAAAATCTTTATCTTCTTTTATTTATTGGAAAACCTTAAATATGAAACCTTTATTTGCAATTTGAGTTTGATTAAAGGAATTAACTGTAATATAAGACTCTTATAATTCAGTCAAGGATCTTTCAATCATCTATTAATAAGAGTCCCAAATATTTAAATTAATACTTAAGTTATTAATAATATTTACTAAAAGGGTTGACTTTTCCTCAAGTTATCTACTTTTTGTACAATTTTATCATCTTTGAATTCATCATTTTTTTAAGTCACAACTACTTTCTTGACAAATGCTGCAAGTGATTATTTTAAATTTTTTTTAGATTATTCATCATTGCTTTAGTATGTTGATAAACAATTTTTAAAATTGTCATACTCAGCTTTTATTTTTTATTCTGGATCAATAAATGTCACTACTTTTTCCTTATAATGCTTTTAGTGCAATTCAAGTTTCTTTTTCAACTCTTCTTTAATTTAATCACATTTATAGATAATTATTTCTTTAAGTTTTTCTACCATCTTTGTTTATTTAATAATCTATAAATACTTCATCTATATCGTCTGCCTTAATATTGAAACCCTATTCCTTTATGTATTTACAATAGTAATTAAGATTAGAGCAATAATCATTCTTAAAATTTTCATATACATTCTTCCAATCATTGAAAGTCTAATAATATTAATAATAAAGTTACATCATGGATTTTAAAATAACTTATCTTATCTTTGATTTCATTTAAATATTTTTTCGATGCAAAAATTGGATCCTTATTAGGAACCATTACAACATATTTTGCTTTCTTTTTTTTATGCTATTCACACCAAATCGTTTATGGCACAGGCTGAACTTTATCTAATTAGTCCATTTTAATAGAATTTGAATTTAATTTATTTAATGTATATTTTCCTGATTAAAATAAAATAAGAAGCTCATTAATAGAATTACAACTAACTAGACTTAGATTTAATCTAAATACGGAATCTCAATGTTTAGTAATTACAATAAAGTCGAGCATGAAAGTGTAGACTATCATAATTGATATAATAAGGAAATGAAAGAGTTGATTTTTAAATTATAAAAGACATTAATTTCATATTCTGAATGATCTATTATTCACAAAGCTTTATAACTAAAAATAATGATTAAAATTTCCATGTACAAATTTGTACTTATTGATTAAAAATGAGACTGAGTATAGATTATTCTGATTTTATTAAGGGTCAACCCTTGATATTAATATTATTTATCTTATAATTATTATTAATGACTGAGAAATTGTAATTGCCTCTTTAATAACTTTATGATCCTATCATGATAATGTTTAAATAGATTGAGGGTTATGAACAACTTTTTTAAGAGTTAGAAGCAAGATAAAAGGAATCTAGGAAAAATAAATTTGTCATCGAAAAGTTGATAGCTATGCAAGATAAAAAATAAGTATCTGTATAGAATTTATTCAGTAATTAGAAAAAGAGAAGGTGGAATTCGATTCATTATACTAGAAATCTCATTTGACGAGAGAATAACATAAGCATTTAATTAGTCAAGATATTGAAGTTGATCAAGAGTTTTACTAAATTTATAAAATCCTAGATGAATAAGAAACCCTAGCAAAAGAGCTTGTCAATTATGATGATCCATAAGGACAGGGACCATCACCATTGAGAGGATCTTTAATTGAGAATATTGACATCATTAGATCAGCTGCATTAAGTAAAATAATAGCACATCTAAAGAAACATTATGAAATGATTACTATTGAAGAGTTAAAAGAAATTAACGAGCTATTTTACAATAAAGTGAATGAATAAATCGTTTTTGTATTGAGGTATAAATTCAGCAATCATCTCATACCTCTGTTAGCAGGCATCAATTCAACCGATGAATCATCAATAAAGAACTTTTTCAAAACACTCGACTATGAAATACAGTAAAAATAATTGCTTAAACAAGATAATCCTTTAAACATACAGAGCAAATCTTTGAAAAGGGTGCTGCTACAATCTTTCCCTAAATAATCGATAATATATGTTCTGATTACGCTTAATAGTTGGATGCAACTTTGAAATTTGTCGAAAGCTATTTTTTAAGTAATAAATCAAACAATATGGTTAGTTTATGAGGTAAACATACAAATCTAATAAATCATCAATTTCTTGAAATCTACAAATGCTCAAATGCAATGTATTAATGGATTAGTTAAATTGCAATAACTTTGTTCTCAATTAAAAACCAAAAGTGTTCAAATTATGTCCCATAACTTATAAGTCATTAGGTTTAATATCGCATAATTCTCATCTTATTAGCCTCTAAAAGATTAATTAGAATAATTGTATGATTTTTTAAAGAAAAGCAATTCAGAAGAAAGACAAGAAATATTATCAAATCTTTGGTAACCATTTTAATAGCTGATTCAGATGAAATTAAATCAGAATAGTTATAATAGATCATCAAAGATATTTTCAATTAATGCCTTATAAATTTATATAAGTCAACTTCAAGGGATGAAAATTCAAGAAATTTAAGAGACTATTGATAACTACATTAAAGAATGCCAATAACTTTTGGTTGATTTAATTTAAAAATTAAAGACAGAAAATGTTTCAGAAAGTGCTTAGAAATTTAAAGTTCAATAGAGAGAGAAGAATAATTAATTGTCAAAGGATTAGTTTAAAAAGTTCTTGAGATAGATAGTGTAATTAGATGAAAATGGGTTTAGGAATGACTTATTTTATGAAATTGATTTGATTATCAATGAGCAAATTAAGTCATAGATATAACTGGATATTGCTGAAAGTATTAAATTAATATAGTTTTTTAAATTAGCCTTTACAAAAGAGTACTATGAACCATTATATGAGAACCTCTTGAAATATTTAAATAATCAATAGAGCGAGTTTACGACTGAGGTCATTTAGCAACTATGTTCATAATATTCAGTCACCACCAAGGATATATATAAAATACCAGCTTATATAAGAGATCCTGTTTCTTATAAATTGAATATAATGAATTTTTAGAGTTTATGATGTATTAAGCATATAAAATGTGACAATTTTAGTAATTTACAAATGGATTGATAATCTCGATTCTTGCCTTAATCTTTGATTGTTATAAGGATGGGAATAGACGTATGGGGAAATAGCGGGAATAAATAATGTTTATTCTACTGAATAATATTTATTAGTGTTTTCAATTAATTTTAATCGTTAACAGATGAATAAAGAAAATGAGGGATTTAATTTACCTGAACCAATTTGCAAAGCTCATCAAAATAAGAAGGTATCAATAGCTTAAAAAGTAGGCAAAATATAAAATTGTTGGTGTTCCATACCCTAAACCAAAGTTTAACTTGACTGATTTAGTTTGTTCCAAATGTGCCATTGCTCTAGTTAGTTAGGGTTACAAAGTAAATTTATAGTCGATTATAGGTTGATGACATTGAGTCAGATTAGACATAAGTTAGATAGGAATAAATACAACAGTTTCTGGAAACTATTTCATAAACATTTTTAACAATAGATCAAAGTGAGCAAAGTCTTTTAGAGAAAAGAGAGGATTTGATTCGATTTTGCGAGAAATAGAAAGATAAAGTAAGAGAGCATTATCATATCATGACAACCACCTTGGATCACAAACTTAAAGAATAAATTGACTACTTGAATGAATTGTAAGGAAGAGCATTAACAATGTTTGAATAAAAGTAATCTGAAATCAAGGAGAGTCACAATGAATTACTTTAGATGTATAGTGACATCGAAGTCAACCTTGATAATATAATTCTACAAATTGAATTGCTCCCTTACAAATAGATTATGGGTCAATACAATAAGAGAGTCTAAGATATCTAATAATGTCTTGGTAAAATGGAGACTTAGAATGTCTATTTGGGACGGGTCTATAAAAAGGCAACAGATTAAAAAATACTGGGAGGCCTATTTGAAGATAGTGAGTTGGAGATAAAAATAGTTTAAACATCTCTGCTGAAAACAGAATAATAATAGGGTTAATCTGTATCAAGACTTATGTCCCCTTAATCCACTCAAGTGACAACGCCAACAAATCAAACTCCTGACAAACAAAGATCGAATAGTTAGCCTAGTAAATTCTTAGAGATTTTGAATAAGGTTAATGAGAACTAACTTAAAACTAATAATTTCTACACATAGTTGTTGAGAAGAGACTCTTCATTTGATCTGAGTGAAAAATATTGTTCACCTTCATTCAAAAAGTGAGCTTTTATAACTATATATAAAAATTTTCATTTACTTGTATTATATCAATTTAAATTATAAAATCTATATGATTTATTTAATATTTTTATAGGGTAATGATTTGATTAAATTAAATATTGAAAACTATCCAAAAAAAAAATAAATTAAATTTATTTCATTTGTAACATCTTCTTTGACTTTAGTTTTTCCAATGAGGTGATAATGGGGACCTATCATTTATTGATTCATCATTTTCAATCCAATTATTAGAATTGTATGGTTTTGGATCAATTAGTTTAGGAACGATTTCTAAATTTTTTTTTATAACTAGAATTGCTCCTTTATTTTTATGTTTGCCACATTCATCAATAGTACTATTTACAGTTAATAATTGACCACCTAAATAAGAAGATCAAAATACCTGCGAATCTTTCGAATCCATCCATAACACATTCATGAGAACGAATTATAAGATTGAGTTGATTTACTAAAAGAAACTGGATGACTCTATCAGGACCGAATTTTACAAGATTCGAATTGCCATTCGGATCTCTGGTTAAGTTTGGCTATATTCCAAAATCAGCATCAGAATCTGTAGGATCAGACCATAAAATATCAATAACAATTTATTCTTCATAATTTGTGACTTCATGTACGATTTCAAGAGGCCTCTTTATATTTTCAATCTATGTCGCATAAGCTAAAAAACCACCAATACCACCATGTACACAGAATGCTTTACCTTCAACAATTGCAGCCAATGGTAGCCATTCAAATAATCTATTAACTCTTGCAAATACAGAATCATCAGCATTTGGATCTTCATTTAATCTCATAGCACACTCTTCTGAGAATCCAAATTAATTATTAATCTATTTATCTTCATGATTCCCTCTAATTAAATGGATCGAATCTGGATATCTAACTTTCAAAGCCAATAGTAAGCAAATGGTTTCCAGCGAATGGCTACCTCGATCAACAAAATTTCCTAAAAACATATAGTCAAATGCTTCAATATCGCCATCCTTACCATCTAAAAATGGAGACCCCCATAAATCAAAGAACCTCATTAAATCTGAATATTGTCCATAAATGTCCCCAAAAATTTTAATAGGAGCATTGCACCTTAGGAGAATAGGTTGTTCTTTTATAATTGCTTCAGCTTAATCACAGAGCAAAATAATATCTTACGCTTTAAATAAAAATTTAGTGTTTTCTTGAAGGTTTAAAATGGTTTTTGGTTATAGCAGTTTATTAAGGAATAGATCAGCAATATTTTTAAGTTGAACAATTTAAGGAGGCATCGGTTTTTTATTCTAAGATTTTGATTAATTGTGTTCTTCTGCCACAATTGCTTAATTACTGAATTTAAAAGAAGGTTCAACTTGATTTTTAATATAAGGCTTCTGAGTAATAATTTAACAATTTTGTGTTCTACAAGAAGCAGTTGAACGAGGACTAGTTTAAGATGAAAGAATACTTTTTTAATGCATATTAGGCTAGCTTATTGCTTAAAGGTTTGCTTGGCAATAATAAGTTGTTTAAATTGATTAGAGAAATGGCACCAGTAGGGATATCAGGAGAGCTTAATCCGAATCCACCATAGATAAATATATTCGTTTCAACTATCCAAGAAGAATGTTTGAATCTCTAAATACTTTTAAATTTAGACCATTCCTAAGTTTAAGTGTCAAAAACATTTATTGTGAGCATCTCATTTAAATTCCCAGTCTTGCCTCCAATTATAAATAGCATGCTATAGAAAAACAAACTAGTATGTTAATATCTACCTTTTGGTTACTCTTTATCAGGCTTATATATAATTCTCATCCAATCCCATCTTCCATCTCTATGCCTTTTCAATGCCCATGTATCATTCAATGCTTGCTAATCCTTTGAACGGCCTCCAAAGATTATAAGTGTTTCATTTGCAACATCATTTGTACAAACACTGGCGGAATGATAAACTCTAGCCATTGGTTATTCAGATTAGCATTCTATTTTCACCCAAACAAAAGGATTCTTTTCAACATTAATACACCCTAATGTCTAAATCATGCATTCATACAGCAATCATTAATTGGTTCCTGCCCTGTACTTCCTCCAAATATAATCAAAAATGGTTTAGAATATGTTAGTGTATGTCCATACCTCCTTCCTGGAGTTATTCCAACTACTGATACTACACTCCATTCTCCAATATCATCTGCTGATCTTAAATCTAACAAGTATAAATCATCTGATGCCAAACTACCACCTAACATTATTTTTCAACACTTTTACCTCCTGTCTCTCCTCCGTAAATTACTATTTAATTTATCTCAATACACACTGCTGCATGTGCTGCTCTTGGCTTAGGCACAGTTCCCTACACTAAAATTTTATATTTCATCACCTTTAACACTATTCCATTATTTTGTCAGAATGTCTAATGAGAATATGTCTTCTGCAAATCTGTATATCCCAGTACTGTTTGTAGTATCTTATATTTAACACTCCTTGCCACCAAATAATATTGCTTTTCCTTTCTCAATATATGTCATTGTGTGTCCAAACCTCTCTGATGGCAATTATCCATACACTTTGACCTTTTAAAAACTATCCGTCATATTTATTATTTTTAAATAAAAAATAAGGTCTGTAAATATTAATTAATCTTTTCTCTATTTCCTTCAATTACCAATTCTTAAATCATTTAATTTCTTGAATTCTTTTAATTTTATTTCTAAAAATCAATAAATTCTACTTTCGAAGCACATTCTTTTTGTTCCTTAATTGGTCACCACTTTATTTGGGAATATTAAAATGACTAATTATTCTAGTTGAAATAATCAATATAAAAGAAAAAATTTTATAAATTATAATTATCTAGTATTATTAGCGCATCAATTTTCTATATACTTGTGGAAGAATGGATTCTAGCTTCTTAATTAAAAAATTAGGAACTAATCTCCACCAAACAAGAAGTAATGATAGAATAGAACATAGAAGACATTAAATTTATATATATATATTATAAATCGATAAATAATATCGATCTAAAATCCTAAATTAAACTTAAATGGATCCTGATCTGTTCTCATGTTTTTACTGCCATTTGAACATTAAATCTCGAGTATCCACCTCAATCAATTTATCAGTTTTTATTAATTAAATATAAGTAGAAGCTAAATTCATTCAGATTTTAAAAGAAATTCCAACATCGATCCTGGAGCCTACGAGATGTCGCTAGAAGGAGGGCTGAATTTTGATAATAAATACTCGTTAGTATTCACCCATGAGTCTAAACAGTCTTCCTTAATAATTTATATTACTTAGATAATGCGTGGGTGAGGCTTTCTAATCTTATGATTAATCATTTACCTTATCTTTTTTTGCTATTTCATATTGCTAATTTAAAATTTTATTTTTAATAATGAATTTGTTAGAATTTACATTGATATGAACACAGAATATTTATTCTCATCTTAATTTTAAGAATAAATTAATTACAAGCTTAAACTAGATATATATAGTTTTCAACTATTTAATAAGAGAAAGAGAAGATATAGTAAGAATTGATTTTAGAAATATAACTTATACTTTTTTTGCTTTTTAGTAAGTAGAAATCCTCCTTATGTTAATACTTAAATAATTCATGGTATTACTATATTCTATTGATTGCATATTATATAATATCTCATTTTAAATTTATGTGATAAGTCTTGTTTGTTTAAGCATAGTGTAAAATTAATAAACTGCACAAATTGCCGATTAATTGAAATCCTCTTATAAATTGTCATTTTCATAGGTTTTTATAATTTTACTATCTGATTTAGGGATAAAAACACCTATAACCTCATTCCTGTTATTATTCTGCTGGCAAATATTAAGTATTTTTTCATCTCATTTTTGAATCTTAAATCAGTATTCTTTCTGTTAGAATAGTTCTTTATAAATCAACGTCGTTAGTTTTACTATATTTCGATATTCAGATAAAATGAAAATTACTGTTGCATGAGATTTATAAATATATTATTTAAAATTCAAAATTAAATGGGATGCTGTTCTTCATCTAAATCTACAATTAAAAATGTTAAAAAACCTATTTTCAAATAGGATAGTTTATAATCTGAAAATAGTTCAATATTTATTGAATCTCAAGAAAAAAATAAGGAACAATCATAAGAACAAGAAACTTGTGCAAAACCAAGTTTAAATAAGAAGAAAACCAATTAATTAATATGTTTTTAAGTTTAATAAGACAATATTCAAAATAAGGATAATCTTAATGCAGTAGATGATGAATTTTTTGAATCAAAAAATTAAAGCAATATCTATAAAATAGAAAAAAGAAATTCTGACTCTGATTATTGATATATAATTTGTAATCTTTATATGAATTCAACCCAAATAAATTTAACGAGGTTTTCATATTTCAAATTTAATTTTAATTAACTCTCATTTAAGTAACAACATCTAATTCAATACTATATCTAAATATTTAATACAAACGAAAATGCCTTGGTTTCCTTTTAGATTATTTACTTTGACAAATATCGTGATGATGAATATGAATTCCTACAAATCATTTTGCCACTTGGATCATATAAGAGAGTTTAAGAATTTGGAAAAATTATGACATTTAAACCTCATGTTTTAAAGCCGAGAATATTGAATTTATATTTTATTGATTCGATATTTATCTTATACAAAAATAGTTTGAATACAATATAAAAATAAGGAAGGATAAATCCTCATCAAAGGTTAAGTTCATTGAAGCAGTGATGATTAAATATTCATTTAGATTTAACCTACAATGATGAACTTCACATTAATGAACAAAATTGGCCATAAGGTGAAACTCTTTCCGTTAAAATAAAGCCTATTATTTATAAGCAAAAAGTTCCTCAAAATTTTTTGATCCAAACGCAACGAATAACTAGTAGCTTAATTTATATTAATAATTTTTTTAAATAAGATTCAAATCATAGAAAATCTTTTCAATAATTATATTTTCTCCTAACATGACTAGACTTTAATTAAATAAAGAACCTCTCAATCTAAAATAGATTTATAAACCTAAACACTGTATGGAAAAGCTATAGAAAATTTAAAACCTTGGGAGGCAAAAATTATTTAAACTAATAGATTTGTTTATATTTCCTTTCAGTTATAAAAGATATTTAATTTTTCTTTTACCTTTTATTGCCAATTCTAAAGTAAGCTAAATTAACTTGAATTCACCTTAACACACTCAAAGATAGTAAGGTTTCTGATTAACACAGTACAGAGAGTATCTTATTTTTTGGCATCTATGTAACTATTGTGATAAAATATCAAGCAATGTCAAAAACTATGTTGTCAGAATTGGTTTATGCTTTGGTGAAAGAATGCAATGAAATTGGGAATAATAAAATTGTTGCTCCTTTTTGGCTCTTTAATTAAGATATTTAGATGATTAAGACTTTTATATCTATTATATAGTTAATATAATTTTAGTAAAAGAATATATTTAAATTTAGAAAATTTAAACCAAATTGAAATATAACAAAATTTAATAAATATATTGATTTACAAATTCTATACAACACAGTCTAAAATGAATTGAGATATATATGATATGGTTTTGTAAATTAATTATCATGTCAGATTTTTCTAAAATTACACCTTCTAGTTTAATCATATTTAATTTCATCAGATTGAGGTATTTTAGTTTTTCGATTAAAATATTCATTCATGTTTGAAGTGATTTAGTTTTATGCTATAATTTATGTATTATATTCCTATTAAAAGTACATAAAGGATAGATAAGAATCGTCTTCCTAATCGTAGAGGTGAAATTTTTTTGGGATTATATTCACTTCAAATTGTTAACCATTATAATTGATTGCTGGCATTGAATTTTTAAGTTATCGATGAGCCCCTTGAAACATTCCTTGAAGTATTTTCAAAAATTATTGATTTTCATTGGGAAAACACCAGGGCAATAAGCCTGTCTGATTAACATAATCCTGCAACATCTCTTCATTGATTCCAATTAATTACAGATATTAAGCATTGATGGATTTTATCAATGTTGTTATTCTACCTTTTTGCTTCTTTTAAATATATACAACAAATGAGTTTTTAATGCTGTTTTCGTATTCTTACACTTCTTTCTCATTAGAAATGGGCAAATTATCGAGTTTCAATATATTGAAATGAAATAACTCAAATTGTTATCCTAAATTTGGATGATATTATTCTAATGTATTTTTTACAACTTCGAGAGGAGTGAAGGGCCTATCGATTGGCTCGAAATAAAATATATAGTTGTTTTGATGTTTGTCATACCTAACAATTCTATAATTATACAAAATTGGATCTATAGGCAAAGCCCCTAACTAGAGATAGGGATCCAATTGTAATGGAAATAACATGTCTGATTCTAGTCGAAAATATACGTGTAGGGAAATTTAAGCTGGGATTGATTGACTAATTTGAATAATTTACTTGAGTTTCGAAACATCTACATCACTACCAAATTTGAATTCTATGGTATATTAATTTCTTCTTTTTTCCTTCTTGATCACTTTGGATAAGGAAATGGTTTTTTCTTCTCTAGCCTCTTTTTGTTATTTTAGAAAATTAGACATCTGAAATGTGTATAATTTTAATGATAATAATATTTGTAAAGGAATTAAATCTTAATAACAATAAATTTGGTTGAGAATAAATCTCAAGTTTAGAAATCAATATATTCAGTCAAATAAATTAAAATAAAATTAGATTACTGTAGAACTTTCTTAAAAAAAATTAGTGAATCTCCAAAGAGTAATTTAGAAGAAGATATAAATGAATAAGTTAATATGTACTTAAATACTCATTCTTGGGATCTCACCATCATAGCAGGAAGAACAGGTAACTGATTAGCCATATCTTCCTCTAAATCTGGCTGAAAATTGGACTTTGGAGATTCAATATCAGAGAATTATAGTTGTAATTTCATAGGACTATCTTAAAATATGTTTTCCAATTTTTAAGTATTGCAATACAAATTCTCGAATAACTCCAGAATATCCTCATCAAGAATGTCGAGGATTTTTTTATCAACTTCTGAAATTTCATGTTTTTGCTAGATTTTTACATAAGCAACGAAAGCCTCTTATAATCTCATAAATTCAGGTTTTTCATCCTGCAGAATAACTTTATAGGCTTATTTTTATTCAACAACTTTCATTTTTTTTTGGAATTCTTCTCCAAACATAGCTTCCGGAATAATTGGCTTAGGCAAATAATTAAACAGTTTTTATTATTGTTCATTAAGTAAGATTAGTTTTAATCTATCAATTTCATAAACTTTTGAAATTAAATTTGCAATATCTAATTTATTCATAAATTTTTCAGTTGCATAATTAATAAGTTACTTCTCCTTCTTTTTGCACCCAAAACTCATCAAAATAATATCTCTCATAGATAAGTTAAGAGATTATTTCCTTTTTTTCAATAGTTAAATCATTTGCTTATAATTGTTGACTTTATCAACACTTTTAACGAAAATAGATTTGCTCATTGATTTTTGGCCTTGAAGAGAACGTTTACTTGTAAAAGATTTCCGACTTTCAACATCTAATTATTAGGAACCTAAAACATTAACTTTTTATGCAGATTAAGATTTTTTGACATCTTCTTTGACTTCATCAATAGAATCTGAACTGTGAAGAACCTCACTATTTGAACCTTCAAATCTAAATAATTTGTTAGCCATCTGTAAATTCATGAAGGTTGAAGTTAATGGTTACAATAATGCACTCATGGCTAAGAATAAAATCTACCAGAGGCCACCAACGTTTCCAAAGATGTCTTATAGTTTTTAATATTCTCTATTATAAAAACCTTATCTTGAATCCAAGTTTATTACATGTTAGATAATAAATTAATTATTATAATTATCCTGACTTTCTCGATTTTATGATTAGATCAATCCATACTCTGTCTTTATGTCTTCCATAATATATCCAGTATCTGTATCAGATTCAATAATTTTGAAGTTCTAGAAAATCGATTTAGAAGTTGAATTTGAGAATGTTGTGTATTATAAGTTAATTATGTCTTTGAATGGAGTTCCAGGATTTTTCATTTAAATTAGATTATCAATTAGATGAACTGCATAATATCCTGTTTACAATTCCTTCCATATTTGCTCTTTTGGAGCGCAATCAGTTTTATTTGTGGTGTTCTTACATTAAGCTATTGTAATTTGTAAATATTAATATACTGTTCCTTAAACTGTCCCTTGAAGTTGCTAAAAAGTTTTTAAATAATACTTACAGGGGGATTTTCTTGCCATTATTTTACATTCAAACATTAGACAAAACCAAGTTTTATTTTTGAAAAATAGGCTTTTTGCAAATCTGTTACGAAATGTTAATCACCGCAAGGCTCCGTTGGGTATATGGTACAACTGTTTAGACTGATAAAAATTACTTTTAAGATATCACTGTTTTATTAGTAGTTGGGTCTAATGATCTAACTCTTTTGCAATTCTAAACCGACATTGTAAAGTGCGTTCCTAAAGTTTAAAGAGAGCCCAATGATATGTTAGCCATTGTTATGCCAATAGTATAATTTTTCATTTCCAGAGGGTATGCCTGAATTATAATGAACACTTACATTTGTATCCACAACTTATTCTTCAGACATCGTTACTCTAGGGCCTGTTTGAGCATATAAATCCTCCAATTGAATCAATGTATAAAGAACACAGACAATTGAAAGACCTATCGTAAACAAAAATCCCAAGGATGTTGTAAATTTTTCTTATTTTAAAATTTTAAAAGCAGGAGGTGATCCAAACAGGTCCAAACCTCCATACATCTTTCTGAAACAAGTCTAGGTTTAATTTTTATTCTTTTTTTGATATTTGAGCATTTAATTTATCAAATCTAAATTCTTTAATTTCAAACTTTTAATTTGTAGTTATATTCAAGAATTTTTGATACATCCTGCATCAAGATGTTAAAATATGATATCAGATTTATAATAATATTGCAAAAATAATTAAAGATTAAGATAATTATTTATTTCATTTCATACATTAATTATATAACTATTTATTATTCTATAATCGCAATAAATTATATTATTTAATGTTTCAAAAATTTATTGATCGTAGATCATAAATAATCACATGATTCGAATAATCTTATCTAATGGAAAGTGTTCCACTATGGTAGAATAATAAGATAAACAACAATTCTAATTTTAGTTCAGAATTATATATATATTTATATTGAAACTATTATTACGGTATTTCTATTATATCCAAAAACCTCTATAAATATTAAATAGTCAATATAATCTAAACTATATTAAAATTATTCTTTCTAATTAATAACTATTTATAAATTGTCCAGCATTTTTTATTAAAAAACCTCATTTAAGTCAGTTTTTAACATAATAATTACTTGCAATTTCATCCAGGCCTAACATGTTTTATTTTTGTAATTTTTAATCAAATATCATTCTTTTCTATGTTATTACCTAATTTTTTTGCATATTTTGTACGTTGGTAGTTCAAACGTTTTTAATTAAATTCATAATGTTTTTTACTATTGTGTTAAATTTTTTTCAGTTTTAACATAACTATCACTCAAAATATAAGTTATAAACTGTCTAAATTTTTAGAACTTCTTAGAGTGTATAGTAAATCAAAAATTAAGGATTGTAATACTTATTTTTATTTAAGCTTTTCACAACTATTCCACCATCCTATTAGATTGTGTTACTTATTATATGTGTATTAATTATTTGATTCCTTTTATAGTAATAAATGTGATGTAATAATTGTCCTCTTTAAATCACTCGAAGAGCATTATAAATATAATAATAAAAGCATTAAGCATAATCTAAGTTCCTGGTTAGATTCAAAGCATTGAAGGCGGCTTATTTTAGACAATTTCAGATGAAAATTGATTTACAAGCTTCAGGTAAAAAATCAATTTCCATTGAATTGGATTTGCTTATTTTATTCCTAATGTTAATTCTAAGATGTTGATATTACATGTGGGAATATTTTAACAGTTAGATTTAAAGTTCCTTTTTTTCATATTGTTGGAAGATTCAATTAAGTTTCAACATAAAAAATTAGATAGAAATTGGTCTGATTATTTATAATTTATTTTTTATCATGATAGTTTTATAAAAAAATGTGTTATTTCTATGAATTTAAAGAACTCCTCTAAGCATTCTCTAATTAATCAATCTGTGGATAAATTTAGAGTTAAAAATAACTAGAAGGGGAGACTTATTAACAAAATAATTTATATATAAATTTATAAGTCAATTTTCATGGAGTAACTGCTTGAACGATATCAAGAATTAGAAAAACGTAATTCCGAAGAATTAGAACATGATAAATCAATAACTCATTTATTGTACATAGAAGGATTTAAGTGGGACGATTTAGAAAAGATAAAGAAAATACATAAAATTTCACAATCTAAGGTAGAAAAGAGAATAACTTTAGTTTAAGATGTAATAATAAAAGCATAGTATAGTTTGGGTTATTGAGAAGAGATGTAGAGCCACATTCAACAGAAAATGAGTATTGCAAAAAGTTGCTGAAGGACATTGACATGCATATAAATTCGATTATGTTTGAGATTGACAAATTGGAACAGTTGAAACAAAAATCACAGAGATTCTTAAGATTATAAAGTTAACCCAATTTAAAACCTGAGACTGCTCCAACTGATGTAATGACCCAAACAGGAGGCTTATTATCTAGTACAAGTGATGGCTAAACTCGGATGTATAAGAGCAGTTTTCAGTTTTATCGAGCCTAAAGGGATTAATAGATTCAATCACATAATCAGAAGTGGATAGAGAAATAATATAGCATTCAGAGAAAATTAATTGAAGATGAAAAAGAGTTTTAGAAGTTTCGTTTTGAGATTGAAGCAAAGTAAGTGAGGGCTGAAATGAATTTGGAGGAATATTAGTAATGGCAGGCTCGGTAATTGAAAGAACAAGAGGAGTTGAATTCGAAGAGATTGCAATTGCACAAAGATCGAATGTTAAAAGATCAATAACAAAGGTAGGCCATATTGGAGGACAAGATGTAGAGAAAAGAAAAATAATTAAAAAAGTAGATTTCGTTGCTACAAGATTTTCATGAAGAATAAAAACAAATAAAAGAGGAACACTTCTAAAAGATTCTGTAAAAGTCAATGGGTGCTTTGAATGACAAGGACAAATTTAATCAATATTAGAAGGAGATATCGGAAAAAAAAGAATAGGAAAACTTAAGGAAATTGAAGTATATAGAGGAATCTAAGTAATGGACTAAGCAATAGTTGCAACAACAGGCAGACTTAAAGTAATAGAAGATAGAGAGAGCAAATGTATATGATGATTTTGTTATAATCATAGTTAATTTTAACAAGATAGGATATGCAAAGAAGAGAGAAATTCGAAGAGAAGGAAAAGAAATAATTAACATACATGGAGAAGTGTAAGAAGACGTTTTCAGAGTATTAGCACATGATTAATAAAGAGAAAGAAGATAAAATGCACAATTTTTAGATTGTAATTTGTTGGGTGATGTTTTAATTAGAATAAAGCCATAGAGGATGCGAGCAGAGAGTAACTGATTAAGTATCAATTCGAGAGGAGATCAAATAGTTAGGCCTAGGCTTAGAGATTGATGGAGAGGAGATTGAAGATATTCTAGGAGGAGAAGGCAGGAGAGCATTTGATAAAATAGTTAGAGATTAATCAGAGATTGAATAAATTGGAGTGGGAACAGGAATTAAAGAGGATGAAACAATAGATGTTGGAGGAGGAATAGAGATAACGATAATTGATGATTGAGTATAATGATAGATTTAGATTGTAGGAAGGATGCGAGGGAGACGATGAGGGAGAGGGAAAAGAATACTCGAAAGTTGGAAATAGAAAAGGAGTTGAGAGAGAAGGAGATGAAGACTTTGAAGTATTAGAAGGTCTGAATGAATTACAAGTGATAAGAAAATTAGTAAATTTAATTATTTATATTTGAATTTAATGAATAACAAACAAGACATTGCCAACTGTAAATTCTGCAAATTCAGGTAGATCAGAATTATGGAGAAGGAGATACATGAAAAGTATTCGATAAATATGAAGGAATAGATACTTTGAGTAGTTCAACTTCTACTTTGCTAAGCCGATAACAGAAATATTAGCAAATGTTCCTGTGGATCATGTCATTCTGTTTAAAGACTAATTGTACTTGCATGATGAAAACGAATATATGAAGCGGTTTTATTAAAGGGAAGAGTAAGATCCGAGGTTAAATTTACTTTGCAATTTCTACTTTGAGTAACATAAAGTAAATCATGAAACATTATACAACAATAGATGATATAACCAAATCTATGTAAAGTTAATGCTCATAAGTTTATGGAGAAGAGATAGAATAAATTGCTAAAATTACAATAAAAAGCATAAAATAGTTAGAACCAACAACCAATTACTAAGAAGATGATTCCAGATCATATTTTTAGTGAAAATTATGTTGAATCCGTATCTGAGTAGTATCGACATACTTATTTAGTTCCTATCCGAAGGAACAAATTTCTTGGGACAGCAAATCTCATAATATCTATGAGGTATCATAAGTTGAAGCATAGAAATCAATACCAATCAACAAACCAACATAATAATGCTAATGTTCAATTGTCAATATATCTGGAGATCATAACAAATTGTTTAATTGTTAAAATGACCAAGAACTAGATAATGTCTTTAATGATCTAAATGGATAAACATCAAGGAATTTGTCAGCTGTAACTAAGGTTCCACTTAAGAAGAAACCCCCCTCAAGTTCGAATGCTAAGAAGAACCCTCCATCTCAATTATCTCAATAGCCTAAGATACCAGTTCCCCCTTTGAAACTACAAGAAAGTGCCAAATCTTCAACTACAGCATGTCCAAATAATAACAAATCCACGAGCATCCAATCATTAATGAAGAAATACGATCAAATATTACAAAAGCGATTCTAAGTCAAGGAAATACTCACAGAACGCAATGACACTCGCTATGGTCCAGGTTATGGTACAAGCTGTGGTGTTGGTACTGTTAGAGGTGAAGGTGGATCATCAAAAAAGCAAATAACAGATGAAATGCTGCTTAAACTTATTTAAAATATGAAGAAATCCAAAAATAAATCTGATAACTACCAATTTCATGCATCATACAAGAGTGTCGTCTAATAAGCATAAAGTGGACCCACTCAATCATGTACATTTGAGAAGGAAAATGAGAAGAAGAAAAAATATCAAGTTTATTTGGTATAGTTTAATTATTAATAGGATAGCCGAAATAGATAAAGAAGAATCCTTCGCAGATGTCTTCACCCACCACTGTTTAGAAGTAAGGGATTTAAGTTATGTTAGTACTTGTTCTCCTTCTATGTTGTTGAGGTCACTATCAAATCCATCGATGGCTCCTTCACCGTTGCGGAGACTGGAAATAAAAGTCAATCTTAATAAGTTAATTCAATAGTAAGAACAGGAAATTGGGTATTGGACTTAAAGATGCAAAGTTCGTTGAGTTTCATTTAGTCGATTAGTTGATTAAAATACAAATTGTGTTTTATAAATTTATTTTAATATACTAACTACCTTAAAATCAAATTAAGGATGAGCATTAATTATGCCTGTAATGTATTTTAGCCATATTTAAAGAGTTAAGAAAATCCGGCAGAAGACAATCCGTAAACACAGACTTCATGCAATATCACAAACTATCTTAAGTATTTAATTGTGAAGTATATAAGGATAAGACTTTCACAGAATCCTTTCCCGTATCGCTTCAAAGAACTAAACCCAACTTCAAGAATCAACTATCGTAACTAGAATTGTATGATTGATTATAATAATTAAGCGATGATCATTAAATTGACTTCAAGAATCACCCATTTACATTTTAGGACAAGATCAATTAGAAAACAGAAGTAACCAAAAAGAAATTCGTGTTTGATGAGCATCAATCAACCAAACAAGGAGAGTTTAAGAATTTTATGAGTGCAATGGATGATTATATTAACCTTTTAAATGAAAGTTCTGATTGCTTAACTTTGAATTCAGAAAATTACAGTTAGTTAGAAAACATCCTATTTGCCAAATTCAACATTATCAGATAGAAACACGAGGAGTTGAACAAAAAATACAAGATGGCATAATAGAATTTTAAAGCTCAAAGATACTAAAATTAGTTACTCAAAAAGTAAATTGTGGAGATTCATTCTTTATTGGAAGAGGAAAGATAGAAAAATTATGTGTTGTAAGATGCCAACGAGAAATTGAAAAAGAAGTATAGAGATTTATAAAATAAAACGCAATTTGTTCAAAATTCATTTATTTAAGATAGAATGAAATTCGATCATAAACGATAGAATTAATTTTAATAAAGCATATCAGTAGATGAAACTGATAGAGGTACAACATAGCAAACTTATGAAACAAATGATGATTAATAAAATGTAACTAAATTCTTAAAAACTTAAATGCGAAAATTGAGATAGAACAATTAATAAATTGATGATTATTCTCGTCTATATAAAAAAATTAGTGAACATAATAATGATGACTTTTGATTAATTTAATTTATTATATAAAGCTGTATTACTGTATTACTTGACTATAGATGAACACTTAACAATTGATTTTTATATACAATTTAATTTATATATTATATCAATTCTACTAAAGAATAGCATCTTCAAACTCAGGATAATTATTCTAAGAACTTTATAATCTCTGAATTATCAAATCTATGTGATTTATTGTAAGATTGAGATATAGATGAACAAATATGAGTTGAGAGTAGGAAAGTTAAAAGTAATTCTGAAATTTTATATAGTTCATAAATATGAGGAGGAGGAGTAATAAGAATAAAAATTAAAATAGGATTCTTGATTTATAGTTAGTTTAAATGATATAATTATTAGATGAAATATTTTATAAAACTTTCGTAGTTTTAAACTCTTAAATCAAGCATTATTATATTATGCATCCAAAACTTATTAGATTTAGATTGATGAATATGATATTGAAAGGTAGAAATTATATAAAAAGAATAGGACAAGGAAACAATACAATAATGAAGATATTACAAAGAATATGCCTGTATTTAGATACAATTTAATGAGATACTCTAATAGAGTGAGGTTAAAAATAATTAAAGAATGTAATCATAATACTTTGAATGAATATATCATCATTATAATATGCACGTAATGAATATTAAAATACTGATTAAAGGTGCATAAGACTGTGCTGGTTGATTGTACTCTAGAATTAATAGTTATGTGTCTTGATACTATTGTGAAAGACAGTTAGCCTAAATAGGTGAACTTGACCATTATAAAAAGTATTTGAATGAAGTACTATTGTAAGGTTGTACACTGAATTGATAAGTCGATTCTGCATTTTGAAGTAGAATAAATTATTCTAATTTAATTCCATTTCCTGTGATACCACGTCTTAAATTGATGGGAGATGAAAAATCTAATTGCGAGATGAATTTTTGAATTCCAATAAACACAAGCGTGTTTTTGTTATTATTGGTAATACTAATGTTGATATAATTCTATGTCATATTGGCTGTAAGAGTAATTTAATTTTATGCAGCTGAATAACTAGCTTCGGTGTAATTGACAATCGTAATAAAACGAAGCAAATATGATATTTCTGGATCTGCAGTCGTATTCGTTATTTTCTTGGCAAGTTTTTAAATAGCCGTTGTATCATTAGCTAATTTACTGATGAATTAATATGTCTTAGCTATTACATCTATGTTCTGTGATGTTAGATAATTATTTAAATAGAAATAATAGTTGATATTTGAAGTGGATTCAACCAAAGTCGTGTTTGCGATTCCCTCATAGGATTCATTTAAACTAAGGACATCAGACCATGATTTCTTATTGTAATACAGTAGATTAGGATTACAGATTTGACATTGTACATCTGTAACATGATGGATGTTGAATAGTAGCAATTCTTTGATACTACATATGAGATTGTTCACCTGATTAATAGAAATTTACCTTGAGAATTGCATAATGACGAGAGAATGATTTCTCGTTATTATATTATTGGATTTAGATAAATCGTGAGTTTTTATACTAGAAATCTTGCCATATTGATTTTTACAAGCAATTTATATTTGCATATCTTGTTCTACTTTATTTAGTTTGATGACTTTATTTGAATTCTTCAGAATACTAGACATGTAATTAACTTTGTCTTCCCCTATGATTCCGTATAGTATTTATCTAGAGTACAAAGAAGATTGATAAGTAGGTGACACAGTACTTTCCTTTTGTTTATAATACTATAGATATTAATTCAATGGATTTAGATATTGATACAATCTATATTTGTATAAATTGACATCAATGGAGTAATCTGCAATTATAATTTGTCTGTTCCTCTAGATATTGAAGGTGTTAGTGAGAGCACTCTTTGGACATATAGACCATAATAGTTATCCATCCATTGAACAATTGACTGTAATTTATGTTGAATTAGCATCGATAATAGAATTAACCACTAACTCCTCAGTATTGCTATTCTTAATAACTAATAAGGAAATGGAATCAATTGAGAAAATGTTGGCTTCTTATCCTGTTAATTAGAATGTCACACTGATTTCATCCCCAATTGATCCTTGACTGGAGGCTTCCAATTGCATATAATAACTTAATTGTTCTCGTGGATTGCCAGAATAGAATTGTTGAAGCTGTTTAATACTCATTATAATAGGTGCAGGAGTGATAATGGGATCCTTCACTATAGGTTGGATGTAAAGTTCTGAGGTTGGAATACAGGTTGTTTGGAAATAGATTGGTTATGATTTGCCTTCTAAGGGTATTTTGTCACTTGAGATGCTGACAAATATGTGACATTGCTTTTAGGTGTCAATTTACAATGCTATTGTAGGTATTATGGAATAATAGTCTATGATTGAGTAACCTTCAACACTGATGGTCTCCTTTTTAGTGGTTCTCTTATCAGTAATCTCTCTGTCGAAATTCAGATAATAAATCCCACTTCCTACGTCTTGTTTGGAAGATATATGGAAATAATATCCATAGTCTCCTATCTCTATAGTCATGGTGTTAGTGAGTAACTTAGTGATCTAATATGTTTCTTTGGTGACATCCTCTTCCAAATTTGGATCTACCAATTATATGTAATTGATTCCCAAATTATTATATTTATAAATATTGGACACTACTTCATTTGTACCGAAAATGTTTATAGTATTCTAAGTTATACTTATGTTGACTTGTCTATCAAATTAGGTTTGCTGAGTGTTCAAACCCAGAAACAAATAAATGTCTTATTCGACAACTCCTTTGTAGATAGTGAAAGTGGGATATTGAGTCTGTCCAATCAACGGAATCAACTTTTCATATGAGTTTTCCTGTTTATTGTAGATGTACCACTAGAATTGTTACTGATTATCTTGTTATTTGAACACTAATGGATTAGGCAAATACTAGATGCAAGGTGGAGCAATGTAGTTGATCGTTTGCATATTCAAGTCAGTAATAAAGAATTGCACTTCAAATGGGAAATATTGTTATAGGGTATTCAATGACACCAAGTCAGGAGTGATCAATGATCGGATTTCCAATTGATATTATTACTATTACCTTGAATTGACTGGATCATAGATCAGATTGATCTTAATTAGTTCTTCTCGCATAAATATACAAGAACTGGTATAATTAGTTTTAGTATTATCATTCAGTCGATACAATCTGCATTCTATTGTCAAATTGCTCACTCTTTTTTAAGGGACTCTAAACTCCTCTCCCAATTATATTACTATACATTTATCGAAGTTTATCGTTCTGATTGGAGCAGTAAAGTTCACTTTTAAATAGACTTTATTGATTCTTGAAATGTACTAAGAAAACTAGACACTGGCATACGGCAACAACCCTGGCAGAGTGGTTTGTATTGGTATATCAATAATATAAGATTGTTCTGAAAAAACCTCCTTGTTGTTTGCCAATTGCGATCCTATCCAAATCTTGCCAAATCCATCCAAAGATTTTGGTTAAATGATTGGTCCGATGCTTATATTATACAATTTGTTTGGGTTCATACGAGAATAGAATTATTATTATGGCAATAAGATGATCCTTCTTTTGTTCATGGTGCACTCTACATTGACTTCATTGATTGAACAAAAGAGATGCTGAGGTCTAACTACTTATCCTGCTGATAATTCTATGTAGATTTGATCATTATAAGTCATGTTGGTTCTTGATGGTGTAAATTGAAATTAATAATAGGCTCCAATACCTGCCACGTTAAGTAACTTAACCAATTTAGGAATCGTTGTGTAAGTTTTCTCAGAGATGAAGTTTAATGAGCTGTATTCGATGTTTGCAGATTGTAATCCTGTATATTTGTTATCAATGGAAGCATCATAATAGGCCCATATCAACATCAGATCTTCAGTGTTAGTGCCATCTGGATTTCTGATATTAGTGCATTTAATTTGGTACATTTGCACTGAAGAATAATACAAGGTTTTCAATTCAAAGACTAGTTACTTATTGGACGAATCATATTTTAATGAATTCCAATGATGATTCAATGATCCATCATCATTATAAAATAAACATCTGTGATTTTAGGCAGACAACAATTACAAATTTGTAGATGCCATAAATCCTAGTTGTAATTGCATGCATTGGTGAAATTACAGATTGACTCTGTTATTAATCTAAAATTTCATCTGCATAGCTGATTTACTATTCTAATATTGATTTTCTAATTTGAAATCAACCAACATTAGATTTTTCAACAAAGTCTAATCTGAAAAACTTAATGCCCCATCAGTTGCACATTACTCTACTATGTTTGTGTCAGTATTGATAGTCAATCTAGCTTAAAATGATTACACATCTGTATCTAGTCCAGAATGAGAAACATAAAATACTATCTAAACCGAATCCTATATTAAGTAATAATCACTATTGTCATCCGTAGCAATGATCTAAGACTTAAACTTTATGATATTCCCACTACTTATTACACTGCATGCAATAAATAGATGTCTATTGAAATAACTACAAAATGAATCTATGCTCAACCCATTTGGTAATGCACTCAATTCCAAAATCACATAGAATATTTAATTCAAGGTAAATTTGTAATTTAATGTTGTTTTAAATGTGATACTCTATTCTTACACTTTGCTATTTGGAAAGATCGGTACCCAATCGGTAACTGTGCAACTCGTGATGAATGCATCATTCTAACTAGATTATATCTCATTCTAAAAAGCAACCATATTGCCAACATTGTTAGAAAAAGCATATTTAAAATCAGATAACGCTGTTCCACCACCCCATTTCGTGGGTACAATAAATGATCCTGTAAGTGACCCAGATGCTTCAATATAAGTAACTTAGTCATAAGGACAAAATATGATGTCTTAAGCCTTGATGCACTTACCTCCCAACCAGGTAGTTGGAGTGAAATTCAAGGCATTTGACATCAAAAACCCACATCCCCATAATTGTAAACTATTTGCTGTTACTAAATTACTGGAATCAGTATGTGATGTTTAGATGGTAAGATCTATGGTACTACCTGGTTTAATTTTTGTGATATCACTAATTTTATAGGTGGCAACCACATTGCCACCAGCTAATAAAGAATTCCAATCGTTGTTGTTATCCCAATTGCTTGATGGAAACTATATTCCAAAACTTTTATAGTATGTACTACCAGTAGCCATATTATTAATAAACCATGCTCCTCCAAATATTCTTTCAGCATATACCACATCAAATCCATTAGTGTCTGCATTTAATTACAATGAACCTACAACAATGGATTCTGGTTTGATTCCATAATTACGTAATCCAACGATCAAATCAAATGCTGTTGATCCTGTAAAATCTTTAAGCAAAATCATTCTTTGATTACTGTATATATCTGAATAAGTATGTGTTGTGCCAGTTCCTCTGTGACCATACCAAATACAATTATCAATAGAGCATAACTTCTTACTAGTTGTAGATGTTCCTAGATCATCATTCTCTTCTTGCAGTTGCATTGAATCAATCAGAACAGTTTCAACAGATCCGTCCAAAAATATACCAACATGTTCATTTGATTATGTAACCTATCCTAGCAATCGTAGAAATGTCGGAATTTTTTCACCCTTATTTTATCCAGTTATCGTACCAGCTCCTGATCCAGCTGTGATGTAATTCACATATGAGGCAGATAATGTTTTTGAGTCTGTCCCTATGACGTAACCATGAATTAACTATTAACTCACTAGAGTAGCCATTGATTCTGAAGAACCAGTTGGAGCCTAATAGAATGCTACTATAAAGTCTAACAAAGTATCCGAAGGGTATAAGGATGGATACTTTTATATTTCAGCAATAAAACCAAATCCCTTGCCTCCGTTGAGCAGTTGAGTACATGAGTTATAATTCTTGGAGCATTTCATTGATAAATAAACATCATTGTCATTATATTATTTTAATGACGAAGTACACTAGGTACATGCACTTGATTATTCTAATGAGACTGTGGCTTCATCATATTTGATGTTTTTTTTATTAAATAGCACTTTCATAAATAATTCTGGTTATTGTCCTGCACTGCAATAGGAATATGAAGATGAGCACATTTAATTTGGTAATACTTTGAGATAGAAAATGATTCTCTGTGATCCAGTCTTCAAACCAACGGTTCTTGTGTTGCCAATAGAATATGCTGTTGCAAATGTTGCTGTGCTATCTCCAAAGGCTACAAAATTGTACCCCCAATTGGTTAGACCTTAGGCAGCAGGATCAATAAATTCCTAACTTGTTTGCACTTTGAGATTTTTACCTGTTGGTCCAGCTAATACGTAGGTTTTATAAGGTTTTGTATCTCTTGTAACTGATTTTATCGTTACTCTTGCAAAATTAGTTTATGTGGATGTTGCTGTTGAAGTGAATGCACATTTGAATGTCACAAAATAATTGAAATTGTCTTTTAGAGAAGTAACATGTTTGCAGTAGATTTATTATTCAGTTTTCCTGAAATAGCATTTTACAGCTGAACCTAAATTATGGGCTATTGATGCCTGTAAGACAGCATCTGCATCTCCTGTGGTAATAGTTATCAGTTGTTCTGAGGCAGGAGTAGGAGAACTAAGTGAGAATTAAACCTTCACACTATTGAATGGATAACCCACAGAGCCAGTGGCTGGTTTATACAGAGTTATCAATTGATCATCCATAGGAATGCCCCAAAGTAAAAAAATATCGACAGTTAGTGACAATTTGGTAAGCTTAATTTGATCTTTCTTGACACCGTATTCAAGATAGCCATTTCCAACTATGGAGTAGACAGTAATGGGAGTAGATTAAGTAGCACTGAATAATATTTTACTATTTTCAATTTTTGTAGTAATAGTTGATGAGAGTTTTTCTTTTGCCAGATCAATACTGCATTGAATACTCATTATATTAGTTGATGCTATTGTACAAGAACAACCACTGGAAATTTCACATTCAGTTATTTCATCCATCATCAAAAATTAATAGTTAGAGTCTATTTCAATGATGAATTAAGACTTTTGACCAATAGAAACAGTTGGTGTAATTGTAATAGTAACAAGTTAAGACAGGCCTATTTTGGCTGGTTCATAGGAGAGATCCAATTTTAAGGATTAAGGGGGCAAGGCTTAGAGTGCCATTTAAGCGAATGCTGGATTTTCATCATAAACTATAGATTAGGAATGCATAGAGGAGACACTCCAGAATTTAACTGGATTTTTATAACCTGGTGTTTGAACACTGGGATTGTTTGAGTGGAGGATAATGACATACCAAGTTTTGGGTCTGATAATTTGATTAAAAGTGAAATAATAGGTGTTATCGGTGTTTCCTTGACTTTAAGCGTCTGCTAGATCCTCAAAATTAATGGTATTATCTTCTCCCAATTAACCCAGATCCCAGTCTCCAAATTATCCATCAGATGAAGTTGTAATAGTTTATAGTTTGGCCTGAATGGAACCAATGTTGAGTGGGAAGGGGAATTGAATTTTGAGATACTCGTCTGCATCTAATCCATTCTCAAGAGCAAATTGAAGTCGAAATTGTAAAGCTTTAGTGGCTATAGGGTTGGTAATGGTGAGACCACCAGAGTAAATGTGTCCGGCTTGGACATAAAAAAGTAGCAAAATAATTATCATTTATAATAATATGCTTCAATTATTGTGAGAGTCATGCAATATATTTAACAACTTGATCTCTCTCGTTACATTCCTGGAGGAGAGGCTCTTAAAACGCCATGTAACCAGAATAAGCCGGATAAAGTGAAACTATGGGAATTGGGCAAATTAAGATGCGTATCATACTGTTTCCAGTTCACAGGAAGGATGGCACGCGAACAAAGATTCAACATGTTTTGCACCTTCTTCAGATCCAAGTTACATGTACTTCATTCTAAACTAGCCTCTGATATGCATTGTCGTAACTTCATCAAAGAGATGCTTGATACTACAATCTCCATATTTCTACTAATTGTCAGATACGAGTGTGGTGACGAACTCTATCAAGAAATGAGGAGGTACTTCAAAATCCTAATTGATGCTATCGACTATCTGGTTACTCATGACTCTGTTGAACAAGTGACAGAAATCATCACATCAGAGGACTTCCATAAAATTGTATTCTATCTCAAACTGCTCAACCTGATGCGGAACATAAAACAACGCAAGAAATTCTTAGAACATTACCCTCATGCTGCTATCAAAGCCATTCAACAAAGTTATCTCTACAATGTCATCATAAATGGTCCAGTCAAACACATCAAGTATCGCTTTGCAGTTGCCAACCAAGATTACGCCAAATATGGATTGCAATTCAATATTTAGAGCTTCAATAAAGTAGTAAACAAATAAAAGGCAGCCGAGATCTGTTGGCAAACCTTGTATGATCTCAACATTGCAGCTGTAATCAAGGAGGGAATATGGGATGATTTAAAATTGTATTTATGACATTTATATATCAACAATTACCCACACGATCTCTTGGGATGATCTTCAATTCTGAACCATGTTTCAAAAACACATTGCCCGATGTCTATTGAAGTGACACTCCTGTCCCTGCATTTGTTATTATGGCACTTGTTGCTGGATTCACTTTAAACTATTCTTTATTATGTGATTCCAATACCTCTTCAGCCACATATTTGACAACCGCACTAAATGGAGCTTCCTAAGGCACGCTATTGTCATTAACAATTATAAGTACGATACTGTTCTGAAGGCCAAATTTGGGTCTGAAGTATTTACTATCTTGAAAGTCACCTTATTTTACATATAATTTATATTAATGCAACACGACTCTGAAAGCGAATAATAATATTTCAATGATGCTGATGAATACTTTCTCAATCTACCCCAGAAAAGTTGGGAATTCAAACGAGTCAGAGTGCCGAATATCCTCCCTGGAGCCAAAGATATCTACGTCAAAAAGTGGGTCAAAGTCAATACTCTTTATGACACCAAACAATATAAACCAAGAATCAATTATTAAGCCTCCATCAATAGAACACATCAAGAATTGCAGAGACTTTTAGACAACAGCACCACTAACCCTCAAGAATTGAGTTCATTACTACAAAAAATGACCCAAATGAAAAAGGTATCACCCCACTTTATCTTACTCATTAGTAGGCTGTAGCTTAATAACCTAAAATAAAAAAAGTCGCAGCTCCCAAATTCTATGTTTGTCCTGTAACCACATGCAAAAAAACATTCTTTGACAATTCCAAACTCAGAAGACATCAATTGGTACACACTGGAGAAAAACCTTTTAAATGTGAATTGTGTCAAAAAGGATTCTCCTTAGATTTCAATCTCAAAACCCATATGCGTACCCACACTGGAGAGAAACCCTATGTTTGCAAATATCCCGATTGCCAAAAGCCATTCAGTCAGTCAAGTAATCTCACAGCTCACTTGAAAAATCACTAGAATCCTGATTATGCTGGTACTCATTCTTATAAACTACACATAGCATCGGAGAGTGAAGAAGTTATAGAGGAACTTGAAGATGAAATTGCTGAAGAGGATGTTGATTAATGAAATTTTATAATAATTAGTTGGTAAAATTATTTTATCATTAATAATGGATACTAAGGCATACTCAGAAATCTCTGAGAAGGCATTGATTACTGAGTTGTATAGAAGATATCGTTGTCAAGAGGAAGGATTGAAGAAACGTATTGTATTGCTGGGGATGCCTGGAGCAGGTGAGTATAGAGTTTTATATTTATAGGAAAGGGTACGCATTCAGCAAAAATGCTGGCCCGTTTTTGTATGTGCCATCTATCGACAGGAGACCTTCTTAGGGAAGAAGTCAGATCTGGCAGTGATTTTGGAAAGCGTCTCAAGGGGATTATGGATAGAGGGGAGTTAATTGAGGATGAAGTTATGTGTAATTTAATCAAGTACCAGTTAGCCAAGTATTTATTAACTGTTATTTAGGCCTGCATGTGCAAATGGAGCTATTTTGGATGGCTTCCCAAGAACCATACCTCAAGCTTAGAAATTAGATGAAATTTTAAAATAGAGTGGATAATAGATCGATCAAGCTATCTTCATGAACGTCAGAGAAGATACTGTTATCGATCGTTTGGGAGGTAGATGGACCCATCTAGCCTCTGGAAGAACATACAATTACAAGTTCAATCCTCCAAAATAATACGGAAAAGACGATATTACAGGAGAGGATTTAATACAGAGAGAAGACGACAAAGAGAGCACTATCAGGAACAGATTAAGAGTGTATTAGAGCAAAACATCTCCAATTGTCGAATATTACAGATAGTATACATTGATATCTATTATTATAGGAGAAGCATTTTGCATGAGATCAATGCAGAAAGATAAGTGGATTAAATTTGGAGAGAAATCAAGAACATTGTTAAATAGAAATGATTAGTGTATTTTAAATCTTAAATATAATTGAATTAAAGCAAATCTTATATATTATTTTCTAATAATACGTACTTTCATTTATATTTACTTTGTGTTTAATAAAAATAATATAATAATGCTGATATTATTAATTATTACTGTAACAACTGGACGGCTCATTACTAATCTAAATAAGGGATGGAATTTCAGAAGATCTGATAATAGCACTTGGTATCCTGCGAATGTTCCATCCACTGTTCATATGGATTTAATGGACAATAAACTAATAGACGATCCTTACTTTGGTAATGTGTTTTATTGATAAATGCAGAGGACAATTTGTTGAGTATGTATGAGTTGGAATTGGAGGAATGGGAATATAAGTTGGAATTCACAAATAAGGAATTCGATTATGACATTAATGAGTTGGTATTTGAAGGAATCGACACTCATGCTGATGTGTATCTAAATGATATCCAAGTATATTTATGCGGAGTAATAGGAAGATATTAAAAGCCAATAATCAACACAGAACTTGGAGAGTGATGATCTAAAATTTATAGGCTTAAAACACCCTTAGAATATACTTTCATTCTGCTGCCAAACACGATCTGATGAAGTAGTTATAAGATAGTCCACTCAACTTACCTTACAATTATACATATTCGAGGAAGGCAGCCTATCATTATGGATGGGATTGGGGACCAAGAATTGTAACTTGTGGCATATGGAAAGATGTTTATCTTGATTAATATGATTATGGAAGAATTGTGAGCATGCATGCCAAAGCACTTAAAATATATGAGAAAAGTGTTGTTATCGAAATTAATATCGAAACTTTCTTAATAAACGTTGGTACTTACACTATCGAAGTACAATTCAAGGGATTGGATGAAATTACAATCAACAATCAATACCCTTTAAATGTTGTGAACACCAAATTCTTATATAATATGACGGATATATAATTGTGGTGGCCAATTGGATAAGGCGAACAAAAATTGTACTAATTGTAGGCATATTTGATTAAAAATGAATCATATGTCGATTATTTGAAAATTACCACAGGCTTTCGAGTTGCACAGTGGATTCAAGAAAAGGATGGAGATAACACTTAGACCTTTAAATTTAGAATCAATGGAAGAGTATATAATCTAAATATTAAAAAAGGATGTGTATTTGAAAGGTGCCAATTACATACCACCAGAAATGTTTTTACCTCGAGCCTTGAAGAATTCAACAATATATGAGAGAATATTTTAGGATTCAATAGATGCTGGTTATAACGGTTTAAGATTTTGGGGGGGAGGATAATTTGAATATGACATCTTTTATGAACTTGCTGATAAATATGGGATCATCATTTGGCATGATCTTATGTTTGCTTGTGCCATGTATCCAGGAACTGATGATTTTATTGCCAATGTTTAGGCAGAAATAAAAGATAATGTCAAAAGACTAAGAATACATCCCTCTATTGTTTTATGGAATGGAAATAACGAGGTAGAAATAGGATGGAGAGAATGGGGTTGGAAGGCGAAGAGAAAGGAATCAGAGATTTAGATGCTTCAGATATGGTACAATACATTGTTTTTGTAAGCTATCCCAAATGTTCTTAATGAAATACATCCAGAAATGTAAATTACTTTTATATTCTAGATATTATTGGCCTACATCTCCATCTACTTCTGTTAATGATGTAGAGCGTTTAGGATTTGGAGACATTCATTACTGGGGAGTCTGGGCAGCTAAGCATTAAATTGAGAATTATACTAAATTCATAGGCAGATTCAATAGTGAGTATGGCATGTAAGCCATGATTGATGTCAATAATTTTAAGAAGGCCGTCCCCAAACAGTATGATTTGAACTTCGATTCCCCAGTGTTTCAGATTCATGAAAGACATGTAAGAGGGATTCCATTAATCAAAGAATACTTAAAAAACTATACTAACTATAATAGTTATTCCCATTCCTTTTTACAATTAACCTATTTCTCTTAAATTATCCAACATTTAGCTTTGCAAACTGCCATTACATCCTTAAGATCTGCCAAACCATACAATATGGGTACCTTCTATTGGCAAATTAATGATGTATGGCCGGTGATTTCTTGGGCCTCGGTAGATTACTATGGTTGCTGGAAAGGAGGACATTATGCTGCAAAGAAGTTCCACTCAGATCCAGCTCTTTCAGCTATTTAAAATGAAGATCAGATCCAAGTCTACTTAATAAATGATAATGCTATTAATTACTCTGGAAATGTGACTTTAGAGTTGAGACAATATAATGGTTTTATTGTTAAGTCATGGGAATATAAGTTTCAAGAGATCTCTTAAAATGCTTCTAAGAGACTTTTGAATTATTATATTCAAAATTACAACTAAACATACAGATCCTTATATTTGTAGATGAAGTAAGTTTTCTATCAAAATAATAGTTTTTATTGTGATCAAAAAAATTGTGATTATCGTGGAGTGTACAATTTTGGCAGACCTAAAGAATGGCAGCTCTAAAAACCAGATATTTCTTATACTTTAAAAGGTAATACAATTACTTTTATATCTAAATCATTGGCTAAATATGTTTATATATATAGTAATTCGGAATGCATCAATCTCTCCGACAATTTCTTTGATTTATCCCCTGATGTTCCTTATATGGTAATTATGAAGGAATCCAAAAAGTTTAGTTTCTTCAGTTATTATGATATATTGGTTACTGCAATCAATAATGAGCTTCTGTTATTGAATGAAGGAATGGCAGCACTTATTTTGTATATGATTTTATGATTAACATTAGATCTGAAAGTGATTGAGACATTCTTTTATATTAAATAAATAAAAATGATTGATATCTTAATTAATTGTTTTTTAACTTTTCATTTGATTGTTTTTCTAAGTAAATCTTCTAATTCTTACAACGGATGTCCAAAGATTCTTTTATTAAATTATTTTATCTAAAACTTATTTTATTCTTAATAATGGATTCTCTCAATAGTAAGGATGATAAGTGTACAACCATGACTGACAGTGCTTAAATGAAATCATTTATCTTAAATAAAAATATCAATATCAAAGAAAAGTCTAAATTTGTGAAGATTACTCCTCAAAATATACTTAAAATCTCATCAATGCATCAACTTAAAAAATAATTAACGCTGACTTTGCCAACTGATAGATCAAGTAATTTGTCAAGGGAGAACGAATAATTTAATGATAAGTTTTTGGTAGAGAATATAGAAAAAAAATAGTAATAACTTAAGAATAAGACCTCTCGATTTAAAAATCTTTTAAATGGGAGAAGAATTAAAACATCAGGAGATCACTTTTAGGATTATAAAGAAGAATATAAAAAGGTTGTGGAAACTGGTTATAATGAAATAGAAGAGAATTTCCAATTGTAAATTATTATAAATATGTATATGTTAGTTGCTAAGCTTCCTTGCATGAATAAAGATAGAATTTAATGAATGCAGAAATAGAGTTGCAAGAAAACCAAAAAGAACTAGAGTTACTTTAAGATCAAATTAGTACCTTAAAAGAAGCAATTTTTTTAACTTAAGGTTAAAGTAAAAAGTCATTAAATGACATTTTGTTTAGAAACCGGTTGAGATAAAACAAGGAAAGAAAATTGACTTAAGAACTATTAGAATTTGTCAATCATCTTTCTATTTAATATGATTATCACATTTCTTCTTTGAAAGAATATTTATAAAGTTTCAAAACAGAATTAAGTGAAATATTAATTGAAAATGAATACACAGAGAAATCTTGATTTATTTGAAATCTTTATTTTTTCAATGATTAAAATAAGATTTATATAGTAGTGACTATTGCTTCAATCTCTATTTCATATAATTTTTTTCAGTATCACCAAATGCTAAGCTTCTTCATATAACCAATATATTAATTTGGTTTAAAAAATTACAATAACTTAGAATAGAATACAATTATAATTTCTATATGATCAAGCAACGAATTATTAGACTTCGTCATCATTAGTATACTAGGCTACAACTACAGAACTTTTAGATTTCTTTAATTTTTGAAGACTCCTCTTGGCATTTTGTTGAATTAAAACAGCAGCCATATATTGACCACTATCAAATTCAGTTTCTAAATTAGAAACAGGAGAAAAGGCTTTTTCAATCAATGGCTGAAGTTTCATCTTAATAATGTCTTTGGAGATTTCAAAACTAAAAATTAAATTAATTTTTACTTCGATATAAATCCACTTGATTCTAAGAAATCTTGAGCTGCACAAATTAGTGCTTGATGGTAAAAATACATATTCTTGCCATTCAAATTATATACAGGTAAGTTCAATTAAGCCATGCGAATTCTCTATTGGGCTGCTGAATATTTCAATTTGGACCACTAAAATATAAAAGAACACAATTACTCCTAAAGGTTGTGGTAATGCAATCATAAATTATGTGAAATATTTACATTGCATAAAACCAGTAGCATTCTTGTCATAATCCTTCCACTATTGTTGAAAGTTCTCTACATCTAGCTTTTTAATAGGAGCATTTTCCTCCTTGCTTGTATTTTAAAATCCCTATTAATTAATAATTAAGAAGACTTACTTCTATAATGATAGCAACAAATAAGTTCAACATAATCAAAGAAACTATGATCATAAATATAATCATTAATAATATTCCCCCAACATTTCCACATCCCATAAAGCCATATTCAGCATAATTAGCATAATCATTAAAATCAAAACAAATATCATTTGGCTATGCAGTTCTAGCCGTATCCATCATTACTAAATTCCAATCTTCTCCAGTCGAACATTTAAATAATGTAAATAAACTAACTCCAAAAGAACTGAAATTAGAATTACCTGTAACTCCTTCACCTCTTTTTACATAGGGGAATAAATTCATAAAAACAACAGCGAATATAAATAACATTATTCCTAACAGACCACCAACACTCACCAATCCAGGTAAGGTTACCAAGAATGTGCCAAATATAATTCTTAAATTCTTAGCACTCTTTATAAGTCTTAACACTCTGAAAATTCTGAATGTTCTTAAAATAGATGTGGCTGTACCAACATTACTCAAGACATTACTCTACTCCAATATTACACCTAGAATTGTGAGAAGCACAACTGTGAAATCGAAAACATTCCAACCTGATGTGAAATAAAACTTTCTATAAACTATTAACTTCAGTATTGCCTCTATTGAAAAAATAGCCAAAAATATCCAATTCAAAATTTAAATCGCATCTGTTAATTCTTAGGGAGATCTTAAATATTAGATCATCATAACGCAAGTGTTCAAAATTATAACACTCAAAATAAATATCTCAAATTTATCAGAAGATATAATATCATTGAGTTATCTAACAGTCTTGTGTTTTGAGATTTTGAATTTCTCGATTGGAACACTTGAATAAATCTTTTGTTGTATTTCATACCATTCTAATTCCTATTTACTTAAATCCCTCATCTAGCTTAACCTGTCTTTTTCACTTTAAAAAGCTTCAACTATAACTCCTGCAAATAAATTGATTATAAAAAAGGAACCAACAATTATAAAAAATACAAAATATAATGCCCATGCATATGCATTATTTTCCTATGGATTAAGATCAATGCCTCTGCTATCAATTCCATCAGACATTAAATTAATCCATCCTTCAGTTGTTGATATTACAAATAGAGTAATCATGGCATTCAACACATTATCGAAATTGAAATTTTTATTTGACCAAGATCCCCCTTTATCAAAACATTCTAATTTATCATTTACATCCTCTACATCACAATGGTAATAAGCCCCTTTAAATTAAGTTACTCCAAATATCCCAAACAATAAAAAGAAAATCAGACAAACCAAAGCAATATTCATCATCTAAGATAAACTGTTGAATAAAGCATTGATAGACATTTTTAAATCCTCATTTCTAACTATCAATCTCAGAGGTCTTAGTACTCTAATGACTCTTAAAATTTTGATCTTTGAAAATGTTTATGCTTGACTTTCATCAAAGGCTAAGGATGAAAAAATGATAACAACAAGATCTAAAATATTCCCTGGGGATCTAATATAACTATCTGGTCCATTTAATATGAATCCCTTGCTTATTATTTTTAGTGCAGCTTCACAAATGAACAAGGCTGTAATTATTTCGTCAATTACATTCAAAGTTATATTATTAGATGACGAGAGTGGATCATCCAATGCCAATAAAATACTTGAGATTATGATAATAGTTAAAATAAAGAATTCAAAATACTTATGATTTATTAATTTGCTAACTCTAATTCTAATTTTATTTTAAGGTGGAAATATAAACAAGGATACTCCTTCCAGCTAAGACTAATTTATGGTGCTATTAAAAACTATTGCCGATGCCATGAATTATGATGATATATTCTTAAATCTTGTAGCCGAATTGTTGTTTGTTTATTGGTTAGATGCAGATTTAATCACTTAAAAGGATTATTACACCTACTCTGGTGACACTTGATTTACTTTAATACTTTAATGATTTTCTGCCATTGATTAATCATGTCTACTTGATTGAAGATTATTGTTTTCTTCTATAGATTAACTCTATTCTACATTGGCCTCATGAAAATTATTAATCAAAATAGCAATGAATAGCTTCAATAGAATGAAGTTTCCAAATATAATTACTACCACAAAATAAATGACTGGATATATTGATTCTAAGTCATACATAAAAGTATAGGCAATCGTATTCCAAGACTCATTAGTCAGCAACATAAATACTACCAACATTGAAGACAAATAATTATTAAAGTTGTATCTGTATGGTGTTTTGTATGCAAATAATTCCATCCCCAAAAGAGCTGCAACAGACATAAATAACAATAATAGAATAATAAAATAAGCAATGCCACCTACTGTTGCTGCAATAGCAGATAATAATTTTCTAAAACTGCTCCATGTACGTGCTAATTTAAATAATCTAAATAATCTTAATGTTCTAAATGCCTAGATAGCTGAGAAACTACCTCCACTTGAATTATTGCCTGCACTACTAAGTATCCATTCAATCAATGATAGAATGACTATTACAGCATCAAAGATATTCATTGAATCCTTTAAATAATTAGTATCGAATGCTATTAGTTTCAAAGTCATTTCAATTGTGAAAATTACTGTGAATACTTAGTTTGCTATATCCAAAATATCACTTTCAGTTTTAGTAATAGGATATCTGTCTAAAGACAAAGTAATTGTATTTAAAATGATAATGGAAGTTATAAAGGCCAAAAAATACTTATTTTCTATGATGACAATTAAAATTAATTGAAATTACCTAAACTTAGATTATTTTAATTTGAAACTTCTTTTCTTTGATTATCTGCGTGACTATTAAATTTGTTCAAGAGTGTTGCTCTTGGAAATTTACTATTACAATTATTGTTCACCATTGTTTTAATTATCTGGAATTTTAATTTGATTTAATTCATTCAAATTTTATGGTATTTCTTCGTTTATTTATTATTCATGCTCTTATTGTTGATTTTACGTCTAATTTCCATTTACAATATTGCCGGTCAATGCAATTGGATCCTATTATTGTTCTCCTTCTCCTTCTTCTGCATTCTATTCCAACTCTTCCTCTTCATTATCCTCTTATTGTTGGGATGAAGCTGATGCCTATGAATTCTTAATACTCGACCTCATTTAAGCAGCCATAAAACTATCATTGATGACAGCCAAAATTAAATTAACTACAAAGAAGGATCCCAAAAAAATTAGCAATAAGAAATAAATGTAAACTATGGCTGTTGATAATGCTTCTTAGTAAATAAAAATTAACTTGGTCCAACCTTCTGTTGTTAAAGCTTAAAATATAGTGAAAGTAGCTGAAATAATATTATTGAAATTTGTATAGCCATAATTAAAGGTTTCATCATCTGATTCCTACTATGGTAGATTATAAGTATTTGGATTCCCACAATATGTTCCATCAGGACAATTTGAGGAATCCTAGCATAATTTCGTGTAGTTTGAGGCTACCCATTCATTTCCCACAGGATGTTCTGTCATTCTACATCTGTTTTCTAATGCACCCATAAATATTTGCAATCCTAATATTCCAAAAAGGATTATGATAAATAGTAAAAAAATAACAACATTACCCAAAGCAGGCAAAGAATCCAATAATGTTATTATTAGAACTTTCATCTGCTTCAATGAGTTTATCGATCTTAGTGGTCTCATTATTCTAATGATTCGAATTGCTGATACTCTGGCAGAAATGAAAAGTGATATGATTCCTGTTATTACTACAATAAAATCTATAAAGTTCCACCCATCTCTTAAGTACGTTTATTTGTCTAGTAAAAACCCCATGGCTATCATTTTCAAAAGGAACTCTATTATGAATATTGCTGTAAATATGTATTCGAAACTGTCTGTCCAACTATTTGGTGCTTCTGAATCTGTCTCTCTCCAGCTGTAGTCTTATGTTGCCAATAAAATCGAATTCAAAAAGATGACGGTGATGATGAACCTATCAAACCAGCTAATATGAAATTTAACTTATAATTACATCCACTCAATCATCCAAATTGCCCATAACCTAATTTTGTTCTCAGCATCGAATAAATTCAATGACTTTCTTGTATACTAAAGATAATAACCATCTACATACTGACAATAGTTTCCCATGCACACTAAATTCTACTAAATCGCCAGGATCATCCTTGCTTTGTCCAATCACCTAATTTTTATATGATCAACTTTTTACATGATTCACTAAACTTGATAGGTGAATGAGTCTCTTTTAGTTCTATTAAGGCTAGCTCTGCGTTGCGGCTTCATTTTGAACTTCTAGTTATGCTGAAATGTATTATACCTTAATCACTCATAATTTTATAATAAATGCTTGCAACTATTTATAATAGAACTCAACTAAAATTTTATAAACCAAATCAAAATCAGTTCTTTTGTAAATTTTGGAATAAATTACATCCAGTTTGAGTATTTAAACTAAAATTAAACAGCCCACCTACTTAATTCTACTGGACTTGTTCTTTTGGTTATTAAGTAGGGAGGTTATTACCAAATAAGGAGGTTCCTATGTTAGGTTATGGCAAAATTGGAACACTCTATGTGGGTTAAGATTATTGTAAAAACAAATTTTATTTATTATTATTAGATTAATCTTCATTTATAATGGGTGTTGTTGTTGAATTTCCAAATAATCCAGCACTATTATTATTTAACAAGCTGTCAAATAATCCTCCCTTTGAATTTGTTTAAGCACTAGAGTTGATTCCAAATGTGAAACTTGAAGGGAATAAATTTTTGTTGACACTTGAGCCGTTTTAATTATCTTAATTTTATTAATCAAGACTGAGATCAGGAATTTAAGTTATATTAGAAGGTTGAGTTTAATTTTATTAAAATAAAGAGATTTACTATTATTATGATCTTACTAATTATGGTTATTATAATTCTTAAGGTTAAGGTTATGCCTATTATAATAATTATTATTATTACTATTACTATTAATTATTTACAATTTATAAGCTATTATTTGATGTCTATGCTTGAAGTTAAGGTATTTGATTTAATTAAAATGTTATGACATCATTTGTATTATTTGTCTTTTATTTTTAAAATAATAGATTATTATTTTATTATGGTGATAATAATTTTGAACCTTTAGGGGATGGATATTTTGATTGTTCATATTCATTAGGTTTTTATTAAAACAATAACTTACCAAAAATATTATTTTCAGATGGTCCATTAAATTAATTTTGCTATTCTTTTGTCTATTCATAAGTATTTTACACCTGTATTGGAAATTATAATTAAACATTTGTATTCTCTGCTAAGCCTTAAGCCTCTTATATCTATTCAGCTTGAGTAATAACACTTGTGATGCAATTATCAGATTCTTTCTTAAAATCTTAGATTTCTGGGACTTCTTTTAAGTTTGAAGATTCAAACTATGTTAATTTTTTGTCAGAAACCTTGTTGCTAGAATTTTGGAGAATTTATTTCGGGCTATCCAGAGGGAAAGAATCATCACTATTGATCTTTGAGTTTTTTCTAAATCTTTTTGCTTCTTGGTTCTATTTTGTAAAAGAGAAATCCTTGTTACTTTCATTTAATTTTCCATCCTTTTTACTAAGAACAGGTAACATATCAAATTATTTTGTATTTTCAATATAAGTTTTCTCTAGAAAATTTTCTTACTTTACTATCTCTAATATTGTTTTCCTTCTTCTATATGAATTTATATCAAAATCATCTGAACTTGAATCTGCATCCTCTGTATAAATTGGTTTTATTATTGCTTTTTTGTCTTCGTTCACTTTTATTTTTTTATATGGAGCCACATTCATAATGAGATATTCAGATTCTTAATCAATTAAGTTCTACAAGTAATTTTATCTCTATCTTTCTCTATATTTTTTTATTAATAGATAAACATTCCAACCAAAGAAACTAAACATTGTTGCAGTTAAGGTGAATTCCATTTTATATAAATATAATAATAATTTAAAAATTTTATTGATAAAAAATAAGAATCAAATGTTAGTCCACTTTTTACTCTCTAGTTATCCCTCCTTCTATTCATATTTATCACCCATACTTGCTGCTTTTGAAAAATATCTCTAAATGCATATTCGAAATTATGCAATATATGCATGATTTAAATTAGAATTCCTTAGAACACATATCCTTTTGAAATTACACTTTATTTATGAATGAAATATTTATTTCATTAAAAGTATACCTCCATCTTAAATTTGATTCTCATTTTATTAAAAATAGTAGGTATTACTTTTAAAATTATAAAATTCATATATATATATATTTATTAAAATTCTTTAACTTTCAATTTTCTTCTTTTAAATTAATCAATATAAATTTATACTTTATTTGATATTGGTTCTACAATTTGATTTCATTAGTGAGAAATGTTTATTTAATGCATTTACGTTATATAACTATTAAATTAACTTTTTATTAATCAATAAATATATAAAATTATGTAAGATCTATATTTGTAATTAGATTTATATCGAAATCAATATTAGCTTATTTAACTAATTTCTAGTTAAACATTTAATTATCTACTTAATGAGGCAGAATTCAATTTATCTCTATTGGAAACTGAACTTAAGTCATCATTCACTTTAGCTATTACATCTTCATTTTTGGAAAGATTTTCAAACAAATTTACTAAATCTTCATCTAAAAATTCAAGTAGTTAATGATCTGTATATGTTTTGTCCTTTTTATTTTTAAGTTTTTTATAACTAGAAAAAGCTGACTCTAATTTAAGTTTCATAGGCATTTCATCTTCAAGCATAAATAAATATTATTTTTATTATTCCAAAGCTTTAATTTTATCGGATACCTTTCTATTAAATAAATCAGCTGGAATTATAGGTTTAGGGATACAATTAAATATATTTAACTATTCATTTGAGAAAAGCACATATTTTAACTTATCAAATTCATAGATTTTACTTATTATCAATGCCACATCTAATTTTTATTAACATTTAGTTTTTGCATATCTAATTTATTATTTAACCTTTCTTTTACAACAAAATGCGACTAATAATATATCAATTATTCCTAAATTTAATTGCTATTTGGATTGCGTTAAATATTTCTAAATTTCAGATTAATTTCTTCTATTTGAATGTAATTTATTTGGTTTCCTTCTTTTCTGATTTTAATTAATAACATCATATTATTATTAAGAAGATTCTTTGTAAATAGTTTAGCTTTTGCTTATGTCGCTTAATGATTCTTCTTTTATTTCATCTTTAAATAATTAAGATCTCTCATTGATTTCAAATCTGAATAGTTTATTAACAAGATGCACATTCATTAAAGTTATTACTATTGGAGTAACAAATATCTTAAACAATAGAACTGCAACATTCCAAAATCCTCCTATTTTTCCCAGAATTGCCTAAATTTTGATATAATTTCTTTAATAAGTAGATTATTTTCCATCCAAATAAATAAAATGGTTAATTAAAAATATATTATTGTAAGTAGATGATTCCTCTCTCCATTAATTTTAAATTAAACCAAAAAATGAATTTCGATTTTCCTAAACAATTCCATCATCAGTAATTATTTAAACTTATTTTAGAGTTTAATAGATTGATCTTGATGTTTTTAGGGAGAATGAAGCTTATTGCATGCTTTGGATTTGTGAAAAAGGCTATTGGAACTCATTCAATTATAATAAATTATCACTCAAATGAATACCATAATATCCTGCTTTTGCTAAATCCTGAATTTCTTCAATAGGAGCACATTCATTATAGGTTGTCGTGTTGTGACATATTTGGACCTATATTTGAAGATATTAAAACTCCATAGCTTGCAATACTCCCTATAACTTCTAAAATATTTATTTTTAATTCTTACTGGTGGATTCGCTTCCCAGGCCTCATTCTGTAAGCATTGAACTGTTCCTAATTAAAGTTTTCCAAAATACTCTTTTTAGCTTTCAGTAACTGCATGATTAACTGTACAAGCTTCGATTGGATATTCTTAGCATCTAAATAATGTAACATGTCATACTATTAAATAACTTATGTAGTATTATCTGTTTTATTAAAAATCCTCTCTCTTTTACATGTATTTACAGAAATGCTAAAATACCTCTTGACATTCTTAAATGGTTAAGTGTTTAATCCAGATAAAGTTACTGCAATTGTAAAATTTTTATTCATCAAGGGAATTTCCTAAGAATATATTATAAAAACTTACACTACTTTCTAGAAGTTAAGAATCATATTGGATTACATTTGGGTCACTGCGATTAAATAACTTTTCAAGTTCAATCCATAAATACAAAAGACAAAATCCAAAAATGATTAGTGTGGAAAAAGCTCCGAAGCTTGTAGAAAATCTTTCTTTTTTTAATATTGTGAACATGGGTAGTTATCCAAATATATCAAATTACATCTACAGAGCATTGAATACAGCTCTATATGAAGAAATATTAGACTTCTAATATTTTAGCATTATTACAAATTAATTGTTATTTATCAGAGCTTAAAAAGAAATAAGTAACAATAAATGATTAAATTATTCAAAAGAAAGATAAGAATCTAAAATAATATTGACATAATTATATTAAGATATAAGTTGGAATTATTGTATTTTCTTCAAATAGTAGTTAGATAATCTATAATTAAGTTATTAAAAAGATATTCTCTAAAAAAATGGGTACTATTCACACTATACCATTCTTTATAGTTTTTTGTGCTTACCTTATTAGAATTAAATCAATTTATTATATATTATATAATTATAAACAATATAAATTATCTTAAAAATCCAATAAGCCTATTGATAAAATTGATTCATGATTGAGATTACCTTTAGTAATAATAAAAAAAGTCTTATCGGATGATGTATACAGGAAGTTTAGATCTTTTTTGATTAAACCCACTATAGGAATCACTTCAGCAATTAACTACTAAGCCTCAAATAACTCTAAAATAAGAATAATCTTAAATTAGAGTTCATTATTATTGTATTTCAAAAACTCTAATATCTAGATACACTCTTTTGCTACTAGTTAATAAGAATTTTAATGTAATTAAGATAAATCTTAAAATTTTATAAAATTTATAATTTTCTGAGTTAGGCAGATAATTGATATTTGGGAAAAAATATACTCATGAGAGTTCTGTTTAAAAAAACCATAAAATTAAGCATGTGATGCTCAAAAAAACATAATGAAATATAATTTTTTTGATACCTAATCATACAATATTCTTTAGTATTATTAATATCAATTAATATATTGAAATTAAATTGCAAAGTTAGTATAATAAGGAGTAATGGTAAAGTTAAAATATGATGATAAAATTCTACATGGATTATAAAGCCATTTTATTATATTAAAAAATTAAGTGTTTTTAGGATTAGAGTAAGCCATTGTAAACTCAATTTTGAGGTATATATTTTTATGCTGATTTTAATAATTGAACTTTGTAGAGGGGGTAAACTGGCAGGGATAGTGAGAGAGGTGAAAGGCGAGAAGGTGAGAAGGTGAAATAGTAATAATATGTTATAATTAATAATTATTTTGGGGGGTATGTGACAAGATTTAATTGATTTAATTTGCTCTAGAAAAAGGTGAAATAATTGTCATCATAATCAATAATATCTTTTATTTATCTGTAAACACATGTCTGAAGAACACCCAGCAGTCGTTATTGATAATGGATCAGGATAATGCAAAGCCGGTATTGCAGGAGATGATGCTCCAAGATGCTGCTTCCCCGCAGTTGTTGGAAGACCCAAACATCAAGGAATCATGGTTGGTATGGACAGCAAGGAAGCCTACGTCGGTGATGAGGCTTAAGCCAAGAGAGGTGTTTTGGCCCTCAAGTACCCAATTGATAATGGTATTGTCAATAATTGGGATGGTATAGAATGTGTTTTATAAATCATGTAGATATGGAAAGAATTTGGCATCATGCCTTCTTCAATGAATTGAGAGTTACCCCAGAAGACCACCCAGCTCTTTTGACTGAAGCTCCAATGAATCCAAAGGCAAACAGAGAAAAGATGACATAAATCTTATTCGAAACATTCAACGTGCCATCATTCTACGTTGCTATTCAAGCCGTGCTCTCACTCTATGCTTCAGGAAGAACAACTGGTATCGTCGTAGATTCTGGAGATGGTGTCTCACACACAGTCCCAATCTATGAAGGTTATGCCCTTCCACATGCTGTTCTCAGAATCGACTTGGCAGGAAGAGCCTGCACCCAATATTTGGTTAACATCTTGAATGAATTGGGTGTTTCATTCACATCATCAGCTGAAATGGAAATTGTTAGAGACATGAAAGAGAAATTGTGCTATGTTGCTCTTGACTATGAAGAGGAAATGAAGAAATACAAAGAGAGTGCTGCCAACAACAGACCCTATGAATTACCAGACGGAAACGTTGTTGTCATCTAAAATCAAAGATTCAGATGTCCTGAATTGCTCTTCAAACCAAACTTCATTGGTCTTGAAGTCGCAGGTATCCACGAATTAACATTCAAATCAATTATGAAGTGCGATATCGATGTCAGAAAGGATCTGTAAGAAATTTAAATTTATGTCTTAGTTATGGAAATGTTGTCATGTCCGGAGGTACAACAATGTTCCCAGGAATCCCAGAAAGATTGAGCAAAGAATTAACATCCCTTGCCCCATCATCAATGAAAATCAAAGTCGTTGCCCCACCTGAAAGAAAATTCTCAGTCTGGATCGGTGGATCAATCTTATCATCATTGTCAACATTCCAAGCCATGTGGATCACAAGAAGCGAATACGACGAAAGCGGTCCAACCATTGTTCACAGAAAGTGTTTCTGAGAGATAAAAATATTAATAATCAATATAAATATCATTTTATCAATGCTCTTCCTATTTTTATCTGTTCATTTGAATTCCTCAATCAATCCTATTAAAACTTTATATTCATTTAAATTTATTCTATAGTTCCTCAACTATCTATTTAATAAATACCAAATCAATTTATTATTACATCTCTACATCATGATAGGATATCAATTACAATTATTAAAGGAATCCTTTCGAATTAATATACAAAATTTTTAGAATATTACTGAATTTAATAATACACTTTTATATTCTATAAATTATTTTATGTCTTAGTTTTTATGTAATTCATAAGAACAGGATTCTGATTAATTTAATAAACTCTCACTTAATAATAATCCGAATGAAATAGTAAATAATAGAAAAAGAATCTAAACATACATTATTTCTAAGCTCAAAAAATCATCAGATTCAAACCTGTTTGTATCAGAAACTTCAGTTAAAAGAGAAACTACTGGCAAAAGACTATTCACTTAGCAAATATTCTAGGAAATAAAAGATTATATGATTGTATTAGGTATCTTGAACAAAATAGATAGCCAATATTGGTCTAATTACTATACGTTTATGTTTATTATTTATAAAACAAAAATTATGGTTATTTTAACTTCAATTATTATAATAACCATGTTTATTATCGTACGTTAAGTCATGGCATACATACTATAAATTCAATTAATTAAAATCAAGTAGAATATTTTGTACCCTTACATAGTGAATATCATTTCAATATTTTAACTTACTAAAAAATTTATAATAATTTAATAATTGTTCCTTCTAAATAACTATTTATTACCTATTGTCATATATTATATAGATTAATAATCTTGATCAGATCATTCGATGTCACAAATGTAATTTTGAACAAGCTCTTAAATTTTATTTTTAATTCTCCAATAACTTTCTAAAAGGATTGTAAGAATTCAGTGTAATAAAATATAAATAGTTATAATTTGAATTATTATTCTCTTATATCCTATAAAGAAGATAGTAAAACTATTAAAATATATAATCAAAATCATAAGATGGAATGTAAATTTTGTAAAATTTTTGAAAACCTTGTACAAATATCTTAAAGCCATTCCTAATGTTTTTCTATAATGTTTTGAAAATTTTATCTATCATGAAGCCCGTAGATAAGGGATTACTATAGATCAATATTGTCATCAGTTATGATTGAGATGTCCTACTATTTGCTTATTTTTATTCTTCTCTAAAATAGTTCAGTCGAACTTTCATCATATTATTTTAATTCAGAAAAGTAATCTTAAAATAAAATTTATAAAATCCCCAAAATAGAGAGAATCATAAACTTACAAAGCATCTTGTGATTTATATTTTGATAAACCATATGATTTGAGCTTTCAATCAAATGCTATAGCAGCAATCTGAAAATGAAATATTCACCTATGATCAATTTTTCTTAATAATTTCCAATTTTAACAGAACTTTTTGTATAAAACTTAGTCCTTTTAGCTACAAATACAGGAGCTTTATTGTTTTAGCTTTTAAATAATGATAAAAATAAAGAAGTTTAAATTAATTCTGGAATTTTATCCTTTTCTGTAAATTTTTCCATATTTTTTAAAATTTAAATTGTTAATAAAACGAATTAATGTTATCTATTTTAAATAGAACTGTCACTATTTGGATTAATGGAATTTTCATTCGATTATTAAATAAATTAATTTGTCGAAAATGATTTAATTAGTGGATCTATAATTTGAGATACCCATTTTTTAATTATTAATTTGCAAATAAGTACGTTTTAATTGCCTATAGTTTAAAGACATTTTGTATACTTCTAACGAATTTATTTCAATTCTTAGATTTTTTGATTTCTTTTTTGCCTTTTAATAATTATAAATAAATACCTATAATTTTTCGTCCATCTAATATAAGCTAGGATTAATAAAAAACAGACTTTTAAGCGAGAAATGTTTATTTTATATCTTTGTTTTCTAAGTTGAAGTTTATTTTCTTAGAATGTGGGTTTTTTGTAGTTCACAGGTATATGTAAGTATGAAAATTTTTCTGATTAATTTTACAATTCTATGGAATTTGAATTCTTTGCTTCTAGTATTTTCTAGTAGTCTGCCTATAAGAAATAGAGTCAGATTAATTGTCATATTTAGGAGAATACTAATATTCATATGATTCGACTCTTCTTGTTTCAATTCCGTTTCGAAATTGAGAATCTTAAAATTCTGAGCCTGTTGATACATTTTATTTTGATTTAGCAACTGGAGGCAGCAAATGATTTTAACACAATTTCCAGAGCTTAGATAATTCTTTTGATTATTCGTTAATTTTTTGACTTAAAAATTCAGTACGCTGCTTTAAACTTGAATTCTCTAATTCTTGCAATTTTGACTTCATGAGTTAGTGTTAAGATTGTCTAGACTTAATTATATTTTTACTCACTACTTTATGAGAGATAACTGTCAGTTAACACGTCTTTTCCTTGTTAGATTTAATCTAATAAGATTGGCTGGTTTCTAAGTTTCAAAATATAAGGTTAATTATAAAGAGCATTTTAAGGTCTATTTATTAGTGCATTTTTGTCTGTAATATGCAGATTAAACTGTCCTGGATACATTAATTAGAGTATAAATTTGATGATGTAATTAAAAAAATTATTAACAATAAAAATTGAAATACTATATCTAATCATATTTATTCGTGTATGTTCATAATAATTTTATGGAAAATCTTGCTTATGTTTTAAATCCAATCCATCTGCTGTTAAAACAAAATTTCAAATTACGATCGATCTTACAACCCTAAAATCAGTAGCTCATTTTCATCTATTTACTCTTCCAAAATCATTAACGCTTTTAAATTTTCATCTAAAACAATCTTTCTTTAATACAATTCCACATTAATTTATTTAACCAATTTAATATCTTCAAAATAGTCCATGTATAGGATTTAAATAAAACTTGCTATGATAGTAACAAAAAATTTAGTTAGCTTTTCATGGATTCGATTATGATATTTGATATTATTAAATATAATCAACATATTCTGTATAATAAGGCGAAACAATAAGTATTCTCCAATTATCATCTTTTCTTATGGACTGGATATTTTAATACTGTTTTTCAAATAAAAATTGGTTCTTTTAGCTACAAATAATGGTGCTTTAGAATTTTAAGATAAAAACAATGACAAATACATCAAATTGACAATTAATTTTGGTAACACATTCATTTAAGTCATTTTTTCAAGTCTAATAAAGTAATCTAAAGTTAATTTTAATATTAGTCCTTGTCTATAAATAATATTATCATGTGAACTAGGATCGTAATCTTTAGTTTGGCAATGCTTTAAGAATTCAGGTCTACAGAGTTCATAGATGAATTCATCAAAAACATTTTCTACCCATTAATAAAGTTGTAATTTTATTTGATCTTCATTAATTAATAAGATTTTCTATTTTGTAAACTAGAATTTCTCTCTAATTTATTTTAATTTTTTTGCTTATTCAATTCTTTTTACTCTAAACTCTTTGCTCCATCTAACATAAGCAAGTACAACCAAAAAGATTACCTTTAGTCTCGTGACATATTTCTTAGGTTTTTAAGGAATTGTTATTTTTTTAATTTTAAACTCATAGTCGTTTGAATTATCTCTTATGGTAGATTAAGGTATAACTTTGATAGTATTTTCTGATTGTTTCTCCATTTTCTCCATTCTCTCTATTTTTTCGATTCTCTCCATACTCTCTAGTTGATTTTCTTTTAAATAATTTCTGAATTTATTTGTCTCAGCTATTAAATGATGCTATTTTATTTAGGAGATAATTGATTCATTATTTATGATTTATTAAGCAATTTGGTTTTAGTATTAGCCATTCAATGCTGGTAATTTCTATTTTGTTACTAGTTTGAAGGTGTTTTCTACATCATGCTAGATTTTTTCTACCTATTATTGAAGCACTTCATTCTGGAATTTCAGTTGCCTATTTTAAATTTCTAACAATTAATGTCTAAGTAATTCGTTTTGAGTATCCATGACTTATTGCAGTTTTCCTTAATATTCAAGTTGGGATTGAGCTAAAAGGCTTTTCCTTAGATCATTTTCAAATGAGGATGAATAATGTTCTCTATTGCTTTTTATTGAAAGGCTATTGCTTCTAGATGAAATTTAATATCGTTTGTGTAAAGATGATCGATTATTTTACCATAAATACTATGGTTTATTAGGATTCATGTTTGCATCTAATACTTTTTATTATAAAAACAGCATATATATAAATAAATATAATTATCAAATATTATTTTAAGATGCTAAATTGGTTACACAATTTCCGAATAAAGTTGAAATATCTTAATACCACTTCTAATTTTATTTTATTAAGTTTTCATAAAATTCGAAATTATTCAAACCTTAAATAATATTCTCATTTTATTCAATAACTTCATCCTCTGTAATATTTAGATCTTAATATTTATTTTTACTTACATTTAATTTTTTCTAAATAATTTTGGATATATTTGGTTAATACCTTTGCATTTCCTTAAAGTGATTCATAAAGAGAATTTATATCAAACTGCAAATAGATACAAGCTAAAATTTCGATTCAGCTAGATGATGATCATTTATGCATACTATCTAATTGGACTATTATATTATTTTCTCAATTATAAATGAAAAGAATATGTAATCACAAATAACAAGTATTTATTCATTTTTAATTTATTTTGTCCTTATTCTTTTGGCCACAAATAAGCTACCCTTTTTATTGATTTATAAGATATGGTATTAGGCTAATAATAAAATTTCTTTGTTGAAATTAAGTGCTTTTGTCATCTCAAATAGATTCTGAAAAAATAATTACGAAAAATTCATTATCCATTGTTTGCGCTTCAATATAAATTTCTTATCATTTGGGTTTTAAGTTTATTTAAAGTGTTAACTAAAACTACTCGATTAAATAGTTTGTAATAAATTTTGCATTAATTTTTCAAACCATTCAATTTTTATTTCTTCAATTTTTTCTTAATTTAAGGCATCCACTCTTGCTCTTAAATCCTTTATATTTTGTATAAATTTAACTTTTTTTTATCTCAAACGTTTAATTAATCTAAATATAAATATACATATTAAGCCCCACTATTTAAATATATTTTAAGGCTATTATATTTTCTTTTCATACTCTTCCTTAGCTAATTGATAAGGTTTGTCGAATCTGCTTTAAAAGAAATTAATATAGTTAGGAATTTATCTACCTTATCTGCTTCCCATATGAGAATAAGTATTTTTTGAATCAACAGATATTCTAAAATCTAAGACCTAATTGCAATCAATCATTTTATTTTTTGATGTAACAGGGATTTCTTCTTCTAATAAATTAAAGTGCTGATATCTTTGATTTTTAATGTTGAAGGTTATTGACCTTTCTCGATTACTGGCTTCATCTTTAAATGTACTATTTATTTGTTTCTAGTTCACAGTTGAGAATTAGTTAAACTGATAATTTAGTTCATTGAAGTTTTTCTGAGGTTTTATTTTTGCAGCATTTACAATTACAGAATGTCTTTATCCAACAAATAGATCTCTTTCTTTTTGGTTGACTCGTTCTTTGAGAAATAATTTATTTTAAATTTCTTTTTCTATCTGATTAGATTATTACTATAGTGATTTTCTTCTTTCTTGTTCTTTTTCAAAACTTCTTTTCATTATTTCACTTTCGATATATTTAGAAAGTTGAGGTAATTAGTTCTTTTAGTAATTTTTAATAGTTTGGCCAGGTTTATACTCCTGCATTGGATTTCTATTGGTATTAAATAAATATGAATGAAACATTCTCGCAGATAAAATATATTTTAATTTTTTTGTGGAACATAATTATATTTTAACTCATTTCTCACTATAATTATCCCAATTAAGTAAATAAATGGGATAAACTGAGTTGATTCAAATTTTTCTTTATTTATTTGAAGTCTATTCTTTTCAAAACTGTATCCCTGCTTAGAATAAACAAATTTTTTCTTGAATCAAAGTTGTACCTTAATTTCTCTATTTTTATTTCATTAAAATATACCATTCCTTCGAAGATTGCTACTAAAAGTCTAACAATTCAATCTGAATGATGCTGGCTAATTTTATTATTTTATTTTTTTAAAGATTGTATTTGACTATCAGCATTGTAAGTAATTCATGTAAATAATTCTCATAATCAAATAATCAATTCACTATTATATTGAAATTATAAATTTCTCAGAAACAAGCTTAAATTTTCCTTTTGAATTAGATTGTATAACGCAACGACAGAAACTTGCAAAAGAAAATAACTTATAGTTTTTAGTTAATTAATCTCGATTAAGTAAGTTAAATATAATGATTATTATGCCCCTTCTTAAATAAGATTCAAGACCTCATTAATTTTGTAGATATTTTGATTTTGTTAAAGATTGTTGAATTTAGCTTAAATCCCTTTTTGGAAATAAAAGTTTTTTAGAATGAATAGTATTTAATTTATTTTATTCTGTTTTTAGTAGATTCTTCAAGACAACATTACATTTCAAAAATTATCAATAGATTATCATAATAGAAATATATGCCTTTTAGAATATTAAACTCAATTAAAGATGAAAGAAGGAGATTGATAGAGTATATAATTCAATTGAAGGATGGAGAAATTTGAAAATGATTTGATAACAAAATTGAATAAAAGTAATTGAATAACAATCATATATCGTTTATTTTATGCTAGTATATATTTTAAACTACTTTTTTAAATTTTTTTGTTAGATTAGAGTACCAACTTCGCCTTTCTAATACCAATCTTAATTAGTCGCTTTTAAAAGTTCCTTTAAAAAACTCTTCTATATCAGTTTGAATCGGAACTAAAATCATTCCAAACTTATTTTTTCCTATTTGCATTTACTAATATTAAAATTAAGTATTAGGTTTTTTAACTTCTGGAATGTCAGAAAATGTAGTTATAAATAATTATTGGAGAATACTAATAAAACCTCTGATCAAAAATTAGATATTTTAATCATCTGAATTGAAAATTTTTTTGTTTTCAGTAAGCAGGACTAAATTTGGGATAAAATTATTCATAAGTACACACTCTGTAGCTATCATCGCCTTTTCTTTAGGTGTTATTTTAGAGTATTTGTTTTATAGGTAGTTAGTTCTTTTAGTTACAAATATGTTATATGATTGTCTATATTCTACAAATTATTCTAAATAAGATTAATATCCAAGCTCCGGTAAAAAAGTTTGAGACTGTGTTGTGATTTCAAGGTTGGAAATAAGATGAGAGCATAAATTTAAAAAGTTAGTTATAGCTAAGTCTTTATAGAAATCTTCGAGATTGCTTTCCTATATTCTTAATAGAAATATTACAATAAAATTCCATTATTTAAGTGTTTAAAATTTTAATACAGAAAGAACTTTAGTCAAGGATATCTGAGTCCATTGCTTTATTTTACTCTAGACCTATTTATCCTTAAATTTAAAAATTTTGCTTAGTTGAAAATATAGCTACTAACTCTATAGCCATAATTTTTTCTTTGGTCTACGGCGTAATATATGAATATATTTTACCTCACTAATATCATCATTCTAAATACAGCCCGAACAACCAAAAAATAGGTTTTAAATTTATTTGTTTTGATTTACAACTGAACTTAGTTTTAAGTATTCTAAAAGGTCTAAAAGATTTATTATTTTTTATCTTAGGATGCATCGTCCTCATCTTTTTTGAATACTTTTTATACTGAATTATTATTTTTCAGTATGAATGACATATGTTCTTCCACATCATATGGATCTTCCTTTTCAGTTGTATAATCTAAAGTTTTTAAATTTTAATTTATTTGAAAAGAAGATTGCCGCTTTTTTGGAGAATGATTCAGGTAAAATTAATTCTATGAAAAATAGCTTTAGTTTGTGCAAAATCTTTTTTCAAGATTTTATTCAGTGGACTATTCATAAAGGAAATTGTGATAAAATCCTAGATTTTCATCACTAAGCTCTTAAAATTGAATAGATTATTGAGTATTTAGTTATATATCTTGAACTGCTGATATTTTACTTTCTTTTTGTGGTTAGATAAATTTCGTCATCTAAGATTCATTCAACACTTTCGCTTATTGTTCTGGACAACTTTCACCATTATATTTTCTGGATAAATGCACTGAAAGATTTAATGCATTATACTGATGAGGGAGAATAAAAGGAGGAAAGAATATATCAGGTTCATTCTAATTTATTTATTTTGGAACAAACTTGTCATCCTTAGCCAAACCTCTCTCAGCAGCACTTTAGAAATTAAATCTCGATCCTTTATAAGTTTATGGTTGTATTACTTTTCATCTAATAATGCACTAGAGATTTTGATAAATAAATTATTATATCAAAGTTATTCAATATGAAATGTTACCATTATCACTAAAGAATTAAAAAAATTATTAATATTTGTTTCGTTTTTATATAGTAGATGATGTTATTCTAATCTAAGCTCGAAACAATATTATTATTTTCATAATAACTCAATTTTTGCAAAAATGTAAAGACATAGTAATGAGACTAATCCAGTGGAATTTGTGATTGATGCTTAGAGTTCGAAGGCACCAAGTTCCCAGGAATTCGAATTTGAGACATAATCCTTTACTAGCAAAGAGGATCTCCTAAATAATTAGAATTTTAAACCATTCTTATAGGAAAGAGATTCCACGGGAAAATTGGTTGGAAAAGACAGAAAGTTACACTTTCTTAAAGGTTAATAAATAGTATTGTACACATCAGACTCTAAGAGACTTTAAGTAAAACTAAATTTATTGATATTAGTTTTCAACTACATCAATTTTAGGTCTCAATCCTAGAGCTGTAACAGCAGATGATAGAAGAATGGCCAAACGAGAGCCACTTAAGAATTTTAAATTAAATTTGTAGGCTGATCAAGGCTTTATCAAATAGTTTAGAGAAATAACTAAACATATTAAACCATCATCCAAAATGAATAGTGGATTTTTAGGACCTCATCGAGATTATTATTATAAAACAGTATTTAGAAAATTCAATTAAACAAGACAAAAACTCCAGGTCCAGGCGTATATTAATCTCTTTATATTACAGCTTCGAATCCAATTGAATTTCCAAAGAGTCCACAAATAAGTAAGCCTGGTTAGCCAGTTTGTAGTAAGGACTTTTACGATTTCAATATGGTTCAGAAGAATATCTCTGGGCCTTCCTTTGTAAAAACTTAGAGTCGTGATAGTGCTTATTAAAGAGGAATTTTCGCTTAAATTGAAATAGAAAAAAGATAAACTTTGAAATAAAAACCAGAAGAATATGATGAATAAAGGATTGATAGAGAAATAGACTATTTATTGCAGCAATAATAAAAATATGGAAAATAATGTATGAACATAATTGATTAATTAGCGTAACCAAATTTAGCTTGGCCAGTTCCTTTATAAAAAATCGAATTGCCAGAGAAAGTACATGGACAATGGACTAAGATGCTGTATTAATCTATTTATTAATAAAACTAGCGAACGCTATGGGTTTAAAAAGTAAACTGGAGGCAGATTAATAAAGAATACAACTGCTTTGTGATTATAATATGTCGAAACAGTATTAATTAATATTTAAATATGACTGATAGAAAGGCCTGGAATTAAAAAGTATTATGATATCAATAAATAAATGAATAGGAAGATATAGCCATTCTTCACTTAGTTAAGCAATATGGGATAAAAAAATGGACAACTGTGGCTGAAAAAATGAAAGAAATATATGGGTTATTTGGTCGATCTGGGAAATAATGCAGAGAAAGGTATCATAATCATTTGGATCCATCAATAAACAAGGATCCTTGGAGTGAAAGTGAAGAGAAGATAATATTTTTGGCACATAGAGAACATGGAAACAAATGGGTAATATTAGGAAATTTAAAGATTTTAAGGCAGAAATTGCAAAATTACTTCCAGGTAGAACAGATAATGCCATAAAAAATCATTTCTATTCAACCTTAAGAAGAAGTTTAAGACGTATAAATAAAATGATTGGTGACAAAAACAGTAATCTGCGTAAATAAATATTTAGCAAAGAAAAGTGTACCCAATAGATCAAGGACATTAAGCCAGGTGTTTTGTCCAAGATCTTCATACTAGCTGAAAAAAATCCATCTGAACTTAAAGATGATCATATGAAAAAGTTATGCATAGCTTGCAAAGGCTTATAAGATTCCATTCTTGAATTTGCATAATCTAAGCAAAAATCATAGATCATTCAATTCAATGAAGAGAAATTCAAGCAATTGATAGAGAAAATTATGGATTTTAAGTATTACTCTGAAACTCTATATTAAGCGGACTTTATACTAAATAAAGAGAGAATAAATTAAAATCAAGAAAATTAAATTTGAAGAAAAGAAAGAATATTGTTGAGGAGGATGATGATGAAGAGGATGATTCATATTCTAGTTTTTATAAAATTGAAGACAATAGTATTTAAATACCAATAAAGAGATCAATTCGATAAAGTTCAAGAAAAAAAATTGTAATAATTTCATACATATTGAATATAGAAATTCAACGATGAAGATGAACTTGATATTATTATTAGGACTAAACAGGGTTCAGTCTTTAAAATAATTTATGATAGATTTTAATTTTAAACATATGAAAATGTATTCAATCTACTTATTTAAAGGAATCTTCATAAGAATCTCAAAATGAATAAAATTCTAATTAGAATTTACAAAATAAAATTACTCAATTAACAATTTCTTCAAATAAACTAAATTTTGAAAATACAAATTCTAAAGAATTAAAAAATGAAACAATTCATTTTGAGAATATTCATACTAGTAAGTCTAGTTTTACACCCTTAATTTTGATCAAACCATTACTTAATGTTGATCATTCAAACTTTGATCAATATTTAGAAAAGTTGAAACAAGATATTGGTTTTAATTATTATTTATAATTAGATGCAAATTCTTAAAAATATCTATAAGGAGAAGACCTTAATTTAGATATCAATATTGATTTTGCAGAAGCGACCAAAGATTTTACGAAATCATCAAGCTCTAAATTTGGATACACTTCAAGTGCATTTAAAAAATACAAAAAAGATCTAGATTTAGATAATTTCTTTGTCACACCAAATAATTATTAATGATAAATTTAATCATGAAATTTCAAAATTATTTCCATGTATTCTAAAAGAAATCTACAAATATTAAAATTTATACATTAGAGTTCATTTTATTAAGTTTGGCTTCTTACTGATAAAGGATTCTTTATCAAAGGAGAATTCAAGAAGTTATTAGCTATCTAATCCATATTCACTGTCTTTGATGATTTATAACTATTTTAACTAACTTTCTAAGATTGTGTTTATTTTATTTATTATTCGACTTTTGTACTGAGTTGGTTACTTTTATTTTTCAAATTTAACGATAAGAAATTTAAATCTTAATCTTAAATCGATACATTCTTTTTGCACTTATTACTAGCTTATTCCTTTTTCTTCTGAATAGGTGAATATTATGATTAGATCAATGGACTTTTTGAAATTCTTAACTATTTATCCTCAGTAAATGTGAAATTCCCTATTCTAGGAGTTATTGACTATTAGATATTGATAACTTTTTCTTTTAAAGTTGCCATCTCTTTTCTTAGCTTTTATTGTTTGCAAGAGCCTAGTTATAAATTTTGAATATACTTGCAATAAGTTTTATCGTCTCAATCGATATATCCTAAGTTTTACTTTTCATAGCTGATATTCCGATTATCACAAGGTATTTGACTAGTTTTTGTGTAAACATAAGATCATAGTCCTTTATAAATGAAGTTAATTCTTTGATATTCATTGTTAATTAATATTCTTCTAACAATTAATGAAACCAAAATTTTATCAATATGTGATCTATAAGTTAGAATTTAATAACATTTCTTTATTTGAGTTATAGCAATAGGACTATACTTCTTAATATAAATTATTTTAAGAAATTAAGAAAAATGATTAACATTTATCATTCTGAAAAAAGAAAGTTCGTATTAATATAAAACATTTAAATAAAAAATCAATGGCAGTTCAAATTTTATAAGAATTTGATAATTTTGTACAAATCTAATACAAACTAACAATGGTCAGTAGTAACATTATTAGGTCATTAAAAGGTAAACCTATTTAATATTTATTACGATATGATATTATAATTAAGATGAGATAATTAAATTTATTTGTCTAATGAAATTGTTTAGCTTTTTAAAAAGAAAAACAAATAATCTTCATCATATCACGTACTCAAATAATGATGAATATCATGGTATCTATAATGTGAAATAATATAGGGGAAATGAAAGAAAGCTTAAAACATGGAAAAGGAGTCTACAAATTTGATAATGGCAATAGGTATGAAGGTGAATGGTCTAAAAATCAAAAACATGGAAAAGGGAAGTATTATTATAGCAGTGGAGAATTATATATTGGACAATGGAAAGAAAACAAGAAAAGTGGTCATGGCTAACATTTCGGATTACATGGCGATAGATATGTTGGATAATGGTCACATAACTACAAGCACGGTAAGGGAACAATTTTTTATGGAGATAATTCAATTTATTCTGGTAACTAAAATTTATAATTGTAAGGTGAATTTTAAGAAAATAAAAAAAATGGTCCCGGTTACTTCTACAGCTCCATAACAAAGGAGTTGAGCTTTTAAATGTTTGAGAATGACAAATTGCTTGAATAAAGTCCAGTTGAGAAAGTTCCAAGTGAATTTGAAAATGTGTTTTCTGCTTATTTAGTGCATGATAATCATATTAAACATCTTCAATCCTAATTAAATAAATCTGATGAAAATCACTTGATACAACAAGAGGCACATGGATTTGAAACACTTCAAGCTTTAAATGAAACTGTTACTGTGAAGGGAAACAAAAAAAGTATTAAATTATTTATTTATATTAATTAGTGTAAGATTGGAATACAAATGATGTTTGTGTATGGTTGGAATGCTTAGGTTTATCCTAATATAAGGAAAATTTCTAGAAAAATCAAATGGTAGGAGAAATCCTACATAATTTGACAGATAAGGAATTGAAAGAAGAATTAGGCATCCAGATACTTGGACATAGAAAACAAATCTTATAGTAGATTAATATGCACAAAAAATACTACATAAAAACGATGTCGAATTAAATATAAAAGACAGAAAGTGAAAATTCAGCTGATTAATCTTCGAAATATGATCAATTGTTTTCTATCATTCAAAAGATCGAGTCTACAACAACTTTAGGAAAGGAAACTAAGATTCCAAAGTAAAAGAAATAAAAGTAAAAATCTACTTAAGGATCTGAAGAAAAATAATCTTCTCCTTTATCTTAAAAAAAATAATCTCCAAAATAAGGTAATTAAGGTTAAATTATAAAAACAGAGGATAATTGTGATCTCAATAATTTTAATGTTGACAATTTGAATAGATTAGATTCTTCAGGGGAAAGCTCTTTCTGTTCAATTGAAATTTAATAAACTCAGTTAAAGGCAGAGAATGTTTATCAGAAATTTTTAGATAAGGGTTACTATAATGCTTAAGAACATAATTTGTAGTAGAAGCACTAAGAGAAAATAATGAGTTTATTGAAAGACTTAGGAATTAATGAAAAGTTATTAATCAATTTCTAAGAAATCAAATAAGGAACACAAATTGGAGAAGGAAATTTTGGAATAGTTTATAAAGGAAATTGGCTTGGATAGGATGTAGCCATCAAATCATATTGTTAGAAATAAGACCAATCTAAAAATAGATAAACTATGGCCGATTTTCTAAAGGAGGTCCAAGTTATCTCTGAATTGAGGCATCCAAATATTGTGCTCTATATGGGTGTTTGTATCAAAAAACACAACTTATATCTAATTACAGAGTATTATTTATTTAAATTTAGATATATGGAAAATGGAAGTTTGTATGATCATATTCATAAAAAAAAATCAAAAAATCTAAATTTTGTTCATATTATTGAGGATATAGCTCTAGGAATGTATAACCTCCATGGAAGAGGTATTATGCATTGTGACTTGAAATCCTCGAATGTACTAATTGATTCAGATTGGAATGTTAAGCTTTGTGATTTTGGTTTATCAAGGATTAAGACCAAGAAAACAAAAAGTACAATTGGAACCTCTTATTAAATGGCTCCAGAAATAATGAGAGGAGAGCCATACACTGAAAAATCAGATGTCTTTTCTTTTGGAATGATTTTATGGGAAATTATGACTGGTAAAATTCCATATCAGAATTTATCCATAACTTAAATCATTGAAACTGTTGGTTGGGGACATAATCTTGTTGAAATTCCCTAACAAAGTAATCCTCCAGTTTTGGCAATTCTTGCTAAAGATTGTCTTTAAAAGGAACCATCTAAAAGACCTAATTTTGCAAGAATTGTTGAAATAATTTAATAAAGTAAAAATAATAAGTGTCAGAACAAAGATAAAGCTAAAAAATTATTGATCGACTTTTTATAAAATTGAAGTTTACATTTATAATATGTATTATAATTGATTGATTGAATTTTAAATTAAACTAATTCTTATACAATATTTACGCTTAGTTTTTTAATTTATTGATTATCAAAGGCTATTCTTTCACTGAAAATAATTGCTTTATCAAATTAAATAATTAAGTTCTATTGATCACTGAAATATTAATTTACTTATTTAAAATATCAAAATTAAATGTAACTCCAAAAATAGTGTTAGATTAAAGAAAACATTACATCAACACAGTCATTTTGTTAAGAAAAGATTCAAAGAGGATTATTAAATTTTAATATTGTATATTTATTTTAATAAGCTTATTTAAACATTTACTTTAAAACATTCAATTTCTGAATAGAAATTGAATTGCTTTGAATTGTGTCACAATATATTTTTAAGCCATAAATATGTCTAGTTCTAATTTCGAGTGTAAAAATTAATAATAAAGTATTTATTCAATGTTATCATAAGAAATTAAGTATTGCTTAAATTTAGATTAAGTTTAATTAATAAAGAAGTGTACATGGAAAATTAAATTTTTATCACAATTTCTTAGAATTCACTATTAGAATTAGTAATTTTCTAAATAAATAATATTTTTAGATATTATGGAGGATGCGGATGAAATAATGTAGTTTTGGAAGGAAAATTTAATTAAATTCTAGAGAGAAAAATGAATGAAAACGATAAAATAATCATAAAAGAGCCGACATAATCTTATTACTTAGGAGTATTTTGTCTTTCGAATTATAATGAATAGGTGGTAAAGAACTGAAATTTGGAGGGAAATTAAATGAGTTTTTGAAATGAGGAGTTGTGGGGAGTGAGGAGAACTATGAGTAATATATGTATGAAAATTAAAGGGGGAATGAAGACATTATAAATTGAGTAATATTTCCATCTAATTTTTAGTTAGAAAATCTTGGAGAAATTAAAATTATCAATTATATTCAATATTTTCATTTACAATATTATAATAAATGAATAATGATAATACAAACAATGATGCAAATTACAATGAATTTGAACTTCAGCTTCAAAGATTTTAATTTTCGCTCTATGCTTTCGGATTTAATTTTTATTTAGACAATCAGGAATTTAATAGAGGAGATTCCTTTGGTGAAGAGGATGATATAGTAAGAGGTTAGAGATTAGCCCAAAGAAGAGAAAGAAATTCGCCAAGGTAATATTTTGATTGAAGTGTAGGGAAAAATATTAAAATCTTTAAAAATATCTTCAAAAGCGCACAGAGCCTATACAAAATGATCATTTAGATTAGAGTTAACCTTACATCAAAGTTACTTGTCAAAGAAATACGAATGTGAATAATCAATATTTTATTAACGAATTTGGGTAATTAAAATAAGGATTTTTATAGACTGATTGGCTCGCTAAAAAACACAAACTCAAAAGATATTTTGATCGGAAGATCTCATCGAAATTAAAATCAAGATCTCATTCCTAATGATATAAGTAGAATTGAAATAACATTTTGATTAGTATTACCAGAAGATCGAGTAATTTCAAGGATTCATTGTAAAATAGTTTGCAAAGACTACTTTAGAAAGGATTAAATACTGGACTAAGGATATCAATTTGCATTAATGCACATCAACCTGCCAAAAATGATCAAGCATAAAATAAGTTAATTTTTAGAGTAAATTATATAATTTATAAAAGAGAACCAAGAAATGTTTACATCTAAGATTTAGGAAGTATATGTGGAACTTACTTGAGAGTATTCAGATCGGAGCCTTACTTATTATCTATTGATACTAAGTTCAGTATAGGTAGTGAGACCAACTTTAGTATTGTTTTGAATGAAACATATAAGCAAAATTTAAAAGAAGTAGATTAGGAATTTTACAGAACCTTGAAAAGATTAAGTTGTTTGAAATCATCATAGAGACATGAAATTTATTTTTAGGACAAACAGAAATAATAGGAATTTCAATAATTAGAGGAAGAAACAACAACCACCAATCCTAGAGAGTATTATTAAAAGTTAAAAGAATATAATGTTCCAATTTTAGGAATCAAATTTTCTGGTCAAGGTGTTGACTAAAATAAACAACATAACATCTTAATAGGCAAATAAAATTTAGATACAGATGATTTCTACATAGGGAGAGGAGCAGAAAATGCAATTAAGATAAATTAAAACACAATTTCTAGAAAATAATGTAGAATTAAATATTCAGTTAAGTAAATAGGTTTCTATATAATTTGTTAGACATCAATCTTGGGTAATTTCAGATGGGGCATTAGATAGAGATTCAGCTAATGGGACTTGGGTGAGCCTTTCAACCGTTGAGTAATCAGATATGAAGAAGGAATCTAATTAGATTATATTGAAACACAATTCTGAAATCAAAATAGGAGATTTCAACCTGAAAGTGGAATTAGTTAAGGGATAGAGGCGCAAATTTGGATAATAAATTAAAGAATTGCTGTCTGTTTGATTGATATATTTTATTAATTAAATAATAGTGACGCTATTTTTGTTATTCATAAAATTATATCTTTTTTAATCTCTAAATAAATTTATTTATCATAATAATGAGCAACGTTCCCAATTCACAACATCCACCTTAAGCTCCATAACAAGGTGCACCATACTAACCAAATCACTTCTAACCTGGATTTGCTCCTTAATATGCCCCCGCTCCAGTGGCTTATGGTCCCCCTCTTACTTCATCACCATTGAGATATTCTCAACCTCTTTATTAGCCATCTGTTGTAGCATAGCCAGTATATGCCCCATAAGTTGTCTAACAACCTGTGTATGCTCCCCCTGTGGTTCAACAACCAGTCTATGCTCCACCAGTTGTTTAACAACCAGTTGTCACTCAATCTGTTGTTGCTCAACCAGTTGTTGCTCAACCCGTCGTTGCTGCATAACCAATCAAAGGAGAAAGCAGAATCGAATATGTTCCATATGAAAAGACTGTTTTGGAATATGAAGAAGTCAGACAAAAAATTCAAGTTCCAAGAGAAAGATATGTGACTGATTATTATGCAGTTGAGTACTAAACAGAATATGTTCCATAAGTATTCCAAGAAAAATTCACAGGTATTTATTAATAATATCATCATTAGAATACGTCCCAGTAGATAGATATTAAGAAAGAGTTGAATACTATCCAGTCGAAAGATAGGTTGTTCATTAATAGGTCCAACCAGTTGTTTAACAACCAGTCTAAGTTGTTTAACAACCAGTATCAGTTGTCTAATAGCCAGTCCAATATGTTTAATAACCAGTTGTCTAATAACCAGTCTAATATGTTTAATAACCAGTCGTCTAATAACCTTTGGTTCAATCAATCCCAGTCTAGACTGTTCGTCCACCAGTTTATGCTCCAGGATCATTACCTTTAGGCCAAACTGTATCACCAAGATTACCCCCTCAAGCTTAAGTATTATTTATCACAATTAAATTAGACCAAACCTACCGGTTAACCATAAGCATAACAAAAATAACCACAATAATAATAGAAACCAAAGAGCTTTTTGGACAGATTATTCGACAGAGATTGATATGGATTATTTTATTAAGATAAATATATCAAATCAAATTTTGAATTTTCTAGATTCCTCAATCCATCTTAAAATTTCTCCATTCAATAAAATAATTCTGTAATGAATTTTGATTTTCTCCTTTACACAAGGAAGAAGGGCATTGATAACACCAATAATAACAACCATAGCATAGTAACCTCCTCTTTATTAAATATCCTATCCTCTTTTTATAATCTATCACTCAAATGTAAGAAAAAAGAGGACTTCCAAATAATCAATATATCATATCAACATTCCGCTAATCATTAGAATTCTTGGTTTTTCTGCCACCCAGTTATGTCTGAGGATCAAATTTTCGTATCTTTTACAAGTTTCTAATACTATACAAATTCTTAAAATTGAAAAAAGATTATTTCTAATTTGGGTTGATGAAGTTCTAGCATAACCATAACTAAAATTAGTAATTATCTTCTATAGAAATAAAAAGACTTCCATTCAAAAATTAGATTTAATTTAAAAAGAATTGATCATGATATAAGATTTTATATATAACCTTGCATAATTCAAACCCATAATTATTCTTTAAGTGTTCTTAATGTATAAATCCATTACTTATTTTATTCTAATTGTTTAAAAGATAATACTAATGCTTTTATATTGAAGGGTAATGCTTCTATGAATTAAAATTTATTATTTACAAAATTCTGGATATTTTCAGATCGGAATGACTTTCATTTATTACAAAATCTTAAAGATGTATAATTTTCTGGTTAACTAATAATCTTCTTTATAAACTAATGGTGACAGTAAATATAGTTAGAAGGAAGTATAAAAAGTATAGTGTGAATTTTTTAAAAAGAATAAAATGGCTAAATTTGAGTTATTTCAAAGATTGACAAAACATTCCATTAAGTAAATGAAAAGAAAACCTATAACTAAAAAGATTGAATGAAGAAAAAATTTCGAAGTAAATTTATTTAAATAAAATAGTAAATATTATTTTTTGATTAATCAATAATTATTATTATTTAAATGAAATGAAAATTTTATCTCTGTGAAACCTCAAAATACTATTAATTATCTTTTTATATTAGAATCAGATTATTTGATAAAATTATATGATTAATATTTAATAAATTAATGTATAAACAAGTATGTAGCATCTCAGGAAAAGTGAATTATGAATACTTCTTTTTAGATACTAGAAGAGAATATTAAATCAAAGAAATAATGTCTCTAAGAAAAATCAATTGAGTTGTTTCGTAATTTATATTTTTCTTGAAGTAATTATTAAGTTGAATTTATAAGAAGAAAGCTATCTAAAGCATGATATTAGTATGAAGTTACTTTATATTAATAAAAAATGAAAGTCATTAATCATCTTTACTTTTGTTAACTTATTCTTGAGCTTATCGAAGGATATAATTTTCTTACTCTAATTTTTCTATTTTTTCTTGGAGCTATTTGTTTTACTCTAAAATATTTTCTAATTCAAAAAATTATTTTAATTAATCTTCCTATTTTCTTACAAGTTCCTTTAAATTTTGATTTTCTTAAGTTAGCTTTTTTATTTCTTATTGTTGCTCATACCCTGTTTTAAATAAAATTTTGGCAGGGCTTTCAGAAGTCTGTATTCTTTATATACTATTAGGATGATAGTAGTTATTTGCAGTTGAAATTAATTTTTGTTTATCCAGAACCTAATTTGGAGTTGAAAGCTAAAATTCTCTTTTTTTAAGTCTAAAATCGGTCTGAGGTGAATTGGAATTATTTTATCCAGTTGATAATTGGGACACATGATGTTTCTAAGTTGGAGTTAGTAAATTAGTAGTTATCTTATAATTTTAAGGTGAGACTAAAGGACTTTTTGATCTCATTATAATTAATTCTAAATAAAAATTTATTTTACTTTAAAACATCAAAAATATTAGAAATAAAAAATTACGTTAATGAATTTTGAATTACTGTGATGTTTGTTTTCTAATGACGATAATCAAGGAAAAATATCAAATCATATTTGAATTGATAAGTATTGTTTAGTGTTATCTAAGTTAAAGATGAAAAACAAGAGATGATTGATATATAAATTATTGTTACAAATAAGAAGGATTTCATTTCCCGACTATTTCTACTTTAGCTCCTAACGTTTTAACAATACAACAAAAATACAATTCCCTTTTATCATTTAGTAATACTACTGAATAACCTTCTTCAGGTTTCTAAAATTATATTAAATTTTTACTTAAACTTTTATCCAAGTGACTCTTTTGATGGTTGGCTCATAAGTCACTTAAATAACATCTCTTTCACCGAATTTAAAACCTTTGGTCTTCCAATTATATTCATCTTGTTCTGTATTTATAGTGTCTATTGTTAAAAATCATGTTACATGAATCTTAAAAGCAAACAAAAGCTCCATTGTTAACTTAATTCAACTAAGGTCTAAAATTTTTTGTTTTTAAAATCTATAAATCACAAATTCCAACTCCAATATCGCCTACAAATTTTGGAAACCTGAATTATATTGTACTAGTTTCTATTGAATTCAGTTATTAATCAGTTAGAGCAAAGCAATAATGAGTTTAACTTTGAGTTTATTCAATCATAATTTCTTCATTTATTTATATGCTTTGAAATTTGTTAGTAAGATCAAATTTGTATAAGGATTATGAATATATCGGGATGATTCTAAGATCCATTTATAATGTCTCTTAAATTTATTATTCCCATAATTTCAAAGTCTTTTAAATCCTTGTCACTAATTGATCACTAAACCTTGGGAAATATTCATTGTTTTTCTGATAGGAAATTTTATTCCAAATTTGAGCTATCTCTTGCACTTCATCATCATTTAGTGTAGAATTATCATTTTCAATAATATTTTGACAAATTGAATCAAGTTCATCCCTTTGAGAAAGCTCATAAATTATAGTTTCTATTTAATTTTCGAGTTTTTCGAGTTAAACTAGAACACTCGATTTAAAATTAGAGTAAATTGATCGTACTTCTTGAATTTTTAGATATATTGCAAAGTTATCTTTATTTGTAAACATTTAAATAAAAATATTAAAAAATATTACAATAAAATTATGCTTTCTTTATATTTAAATACAATAAAATCAAATAATGTGATAAATACTGTTTGCTCAAATCGATTTTTACATATAACAATCATTTCAACTCAAGTTTTACTGTCTAAAATGTATAATTATCTTTTTCATATCATTATTAATCTATTTACCAAGATGAAATCAAATGAAAATTATTTAATAATGTTTAAATAATCAAAATATAAATCGGCTTCACATTTTATGGAAATGCTTTTGTTTATTTAAAGTTTATTAAGTATAGAAATAAAAGTAAAATAAATAGAGTGATTTTAAGATTTTAACATTTTTATACAATCTATATTTATATTACCTAACATAATCTGACGGAAATTCAATATGATAATGTTTCTTGAGTGGAAAAAATCTGATATTTATTAAGAAATAATTTTATGGATTAGAAGAAAATTGATCCTCTGATTTTGGAAGCCTTGACCAATCCAGACCCTGACATTCAATATATGAGAGCTGAAGAACTCACAAATGAGTTGACAACATATTATGGAAAACCAGAATAAGGGATGGAAGATGAAAAGAATCAAAAGTTAATTAATAATTGCTATAGAGTATTTTATTAGCATTTATCATCTCAATATAGAGAAATTCAAGGTATTGGAATCGAATTATTTATAATAGGAAATGCAATTAGATAATTTTAAAGATTGGCTCCTTTGATGAGATCAAGGGAAGTATCATATATTTCTCTAGAATTATTGAAGTCGTCTATAGAAGGAATGAGTGATGTAAGAGAAAATTATCACATTTGCCTTCAAGAAATAGTAGAAAAGATTTCAAGTCAAGTTATCAGCTTAGAAGAAGTTTAAGAAACAATTATATAAAGTAAATCTAATTATAGATAATAGAATTGGATGAATTGAAAGTAAATGTTAAGAAGTTGTAGGTGTCAAATTAAATAGTCCATCAAGAAATCTAGAAAAATGTTGAAATATAGGCTGAACTCCTTAAGATTTTAAGTTTAATAATGTCTAGATGGCCCAAATTATACTATAAAGACTTTGGAGATTTATTATTGGATAATATCACAAACTCAAATGAATTGTCAATAAGAAAAAATTCATGCGTATGTCTCGGTCATTTGGGAGCATGCCTAAATCAAGAAAGTCTAAATCATTTAATCCAATAAAGTATATAATCAAAATATATGCAATAATAGAAATACTTCCATTTACAAAGGAATTAAAATTTGATTAACAAAATTTCACTAAAATTCTTTACTTAAATTAGAGTTTGAATTATTTAGCAAAGAGTTCTGGAAAATATTTTGATAAAACCTTAGTGGAATAGATTTTTTATAGATACATTTAGACACAAAATGAACATAGTAAAATAGATTTAGACAATATTAATTAATATGCTGAGATATTAGAAATTTAATTGCTTACAATAAATTACTTACTATCAAATTATTATGCACGTTCATTTGACCTCTAATTAATTGAGTAAATAACACCTTTGATTGATTTTGATCCCTTAGGAGTAGCAACAATCGAAGAAGAAAATGCATATGAAGATGATTATTATGCTGATGAAAGTAAATTTGTATAATAAATTCATTAGCCTCTGATTCAACATGGAGAGTAAGAAGATGTGCATTATATACATTCTAAGAGTTATTGAAGATTCAACCATAACTCTATAAACTAATTCTGTCGGCTCTGTTTGGACCAAATCAGATCATTATGAAAAGGATGAATGAAAAAAATCCAGAAATTAAATTATCTATTATTTAATTTTTGATTGGTTTGGTTTAAGCATCTGCTATTATAAAGGAGGATATAAATATAATGGAAGTTGAATAATTATCTTTGATCAAGCAAAGATCTATCCCAGCCTCTATCTCACTTATTGAATTGGTAGAATAGTTATTGGAATAAATTTAATCTATCTTTAAAGACTCTTAGGAACAATAGTCTTTAAAATCAGAAACCACAAAATTATTATTAGCAATTGGGCAATATTTCCACTCCCAAATTTAGACATCACATTCATGTTTTTCAAAAATTGTTGAAATCATCAATGAATCAATTACTGGTTCTTCTATGCATTATTCTAATGAATAAAAAGTAATTCTATATCTATATAATATTAGCTTGCTTCTATTTTAACAATGAAAACTATACTTAAAATTACAGAGTCAGCAGAATTTTAAGTGTAAATTTTGCAGCAAATGGTTTTGATACTTCTTGAAGCAGTCAATTAAAAGTATATCAGAATTCAGGTTGAAGGTTATAATACCTTAGAAAAGATAATTGAAGTGTTTAAATTGAACTTTGAAGAGGTAACATTCTCATAGTCTTTGGCATAAATCAAATAAAATCTGATCACAAAAATATTGATCGATAATTTAGATCAAGAGATCAAGTAAAGCTTATTTTCACTTGCAGCTACACTCTTCAAAAACTTTGGATCAATATTTTCAAAAGCAGAAGTTGAATAATTAGCTTAAATCTCTTTGGTCAGATTATAAATTGAAGCCCTAACTAACAATATCATCAATCTTGTCTAATATTTCAAAAATCTAAATGACCCTAAAGTGTTAATTTCAAATATTGCTAATTAACTTTAGAGAAATGATAAGGCTTAAACATATAATACTTTAATTCAGTTAATCCAAAACAATAAAGTTGATCAATAGTTAGCAGTTGATATCCTAAACAGGTTCAAATAGATCACAATAGAAAACTATGATTTGTAAATTTAGACTTTACAAGTATTGATTAAAGTTACAGGCATCAAATTACCTGAATAACTTATAAGGGAGTCAGTTAAAATTGGATTGTATCAAACAAAAATAAAGAGTGAAATTGAAGATTACTTCCATTTAATAAATTAACCTTAGATAATTGAATAGGAAGTTTCCAGACAACTAGGAAAGGAAGAATTATATCCTGCTGGATAAATATATTGCTAGATATTAAAAAACGTTCCAGGCTCACTCAGTTCTTTATATTCTTCAATAGGCACTAACAGATAGTTAAAATTATCAACTTTAAGATTCTTGCATAAATATTAAAAAGACTAAAAAGCAATAGAGATTTTATGCAAATTAATCAAGGATAATTAGGACTCTGATTTAGCTGCTATTGTAATAGGATCAGCTATTTCTGATATTCAATAAATATAAAATTTGATTGAATAAAATCCTAATTAATACTAGTTTTATCAAGCATTAAAGGAATTCACAGAAATTAATACTATTTCTAATCCTGCAAATATTGCTAGTTATATTTTGAATTAGGTTAATGGAAAAGATAAAACAATATCCACCATATGTGGTGACATTTTGGGTGGTTTAGTAAAGTAGAATTATAAATCTTTAGAACAAATTTTGTTTGAGAGTCTTAAAAGTCCTTCTTAGAATGTCAGATTTTCTTGCATTCAAAGTCTAAAATATTCCAATCAATGGGCCAGCAAATCTTAAATCCTATTTGAGATGTTGTAAAATGAAAAGGACATTCAAATACTAACTGCAATCATCAAAGCACTCACCTAAAACATATAACATATTAAATTAATCAATTTAACTTAATATTTAACATTTACTTTAAGGAGATATGAGGAAAAAGAATTAAATTTTGGTAATTTTGTTGAGAAAAGGGATGATGCTAAGGATCTAAGATCTCTGTCCTTTGATTTATTAGAATTATTCATAGATAAATACAATCTTGAAATGAAACCAATTTTAGTAGAAGTCTTTGATAAATTTGGTAAGAGTTATCTTAATATTTCATAGTTGAGGATAAATATGACGAAACTAGAATACCCAGATTAAGAATTATCTAGAAGATCGTTAAAAAGGATCCTGTGATATTGGGTCAATATTATGAAATTTTAATCAAAACTTTCGAACCTATTCTTAAGACATTGATTTAAAATTTACAAAAATAAGATTAAGTAAAATATTTTGAAATAATATAAGAATTTAGATAAAGAAAAAGAAAAAATCAGATTAATAGTCTAGATACTATAAGGACTAAGGTAAAATTCCAAAGAAGTAGATGAAATTTACAGAAAATACGTAACTAAATAAATTTAGGATTTTGTATGCTAATGAGAATGAAAATTTTATTAAAAAAAAGCCAGTCAAATAAGTTATTTTAATTAGTAATATAATTTCAATAATATCTGTGATTTCATTATTCCTCCCATGAAATTCGTTTCCCTTTTTACCAAAGTCCATATTTTCCTTTCTTGTTAATAGAAAAATATCCTCGACCGTGTTATTTACCGTTTTCCCACTCTCCTTCATATTTCCTTCCATCTCCCCAGTCATAAATGCCAAAACCCTTATTATAAACTATTGAATAAGATTTACATGCTTTTTATCATTGAAGTATAATCCTTCATATCTTCTACCATCTGGCCAAGTATATATACCTCTGCCATGCATATTACCAAAATAAAAATCTCCTTCGTACTTTCTTCCATCTGCCCAAATTAAAATTCCCTTTCCTGATATTTTATTTTGAAACCAATCCCCTTCGTATTTTTAGCCATTGTTCCAATTATATTTACCTTGGCCATGTTTATAAGAATTCTAAAAATAGCCTTCATATAAAGAGCCATCAGGCCATATTTCGATACCATATCCATGTTGCTTATCATTGAACCATTCCCCCTCATATTTTGGACCAGCAACATGTTAATAGACTCCATATCCATTCGACATGTCATTTTCCCATTCTCCTTCATAAATATCCCCATTAACGTGTGTAAATTTACCTCTTCCATTGGCTTTATTATGTTTCCATTCCCCCTCATATTTAGCACCATCTGGCCAAATTTGGATTCCATATCCATCCCTTGAATTTCCTCTCCATTCACCTGTATAAGTGGCTCCTCCAGGGAATCTAGCTTTAAGAATTTTATACGTAAAAGTAGGTTTTTCAATTCTGGGTTTGTCATCTTGATTTATTGTGATTCCGCTTTCCACAGTATCTGTTTCTAAGGCACAAAGTATTTTATGATCAGCTGCTTTAGTACGCTCTCTGTAACTCCTCCAGTATTTTTAGATTACAATAGCCATTTTACTTTTTATTAACCAAGTCTTCTCAGTTTTAGAAGGACCTGTAGGAATTGAAATACATTCCTAATTGATTCATAAGATTACTTAAATATCATTCCCTCTCTTATCACAATTACATTGAGAACACTGAGAACCCATTTAAAAATATAATTATATTTGACATTACTTTCATTTGAACAATTTATTTTAATAAAATATAACGATTATGTTAGCTGACAAAACCAGTGCTTATGTGAATTAAAGTTCTGTTTAAGCTAAATAGCCAAGCAAAAGAGTGGTAATGTGTATTTATCATTCTAGCAACTTGACATTCAATATGTTGCATAAACCTTCGAAAAAACTCAATCCATTAATAATCTCCAAGATATGTTCCCAGATAGCAAATCCACCGATTTAAGACATTCAATTACAACTGAAGAAAGTGAAATTGAGAAATTATCTCAAGCCTATGCAGATAAATACTATTATGAGATGAAATTCGAGTAATACTAAAATTTGCTTACATAATAATAAGGCACAATCACCAAGCTATTGAATGAAAAAAAGGAACTGCTTGGGAGATTAGAATCTGCTAAAAGTAATGAAAAAGAAATTAGTCTGTTGTAATAATTAGAGGTTAAATTTCTTGAAAGCCAAAAAGAGAAACAATAGTTACAAATAGAATGTTAATAATATAAATATTAAGTTGAATAACTGCTTGCTGCTAATAATGAATTACAATAATCCTTTCAATCCTTACATAATTAATTTGTTGAATACAAAGATAAATAGGATAAGTACTCAATTAAACAATAAGAATTAATTGATAAATTAACTGATGATATTGGAAACAAAAAATATTTACAAGAAATTCATTCCCAAATGAAAACAATCAAATAATAAAACAATCAACTTTCTTAATAATTATCTTCATAGGAACATAATTTCAAACTCAAACTGTAAGAAATACAAGAGAAGTATGTTATACAAAACAATGAATTGTAATAAGACTGTGAATCTCAACTTGAGTAAAAGGAAGAAGAATTGCATTTACTAAAAATGGGACTTGAAAAACAAAAATCAGAAACTCAAAAACTATTGAATGAAAATATATCTCTATAAAGCCATATTTAATAATTGACATAGAAGTATAAAATTTAATTTATCCTAGTTACCAAGATGATATATAAGCTTAAGCATCACTACTTTCAGATTAAGTGGCAGAATACAAAATAGTTATATAAAATCTTGAAAACCAATTATATCAAATGAACCTTGAAATAAAACAAAGAGATCGATCTTCTTCGAAGGATAGCATTATGAATTCAAGATTGATTTCCAATTATATTAGCAGATGTAAGCAATGAAAATCAAGGTCTATTCTATTGATATTTTATTTTTTAGATAAATCCTAAAGATTTATCAAAATCAAAGACTATTTTTATTAATTTATATAAGCAGCTCTAATTTATAATAAATTTATTAAATGTATTTCTATAGAATTTGTATCACCTCATTTTTAATAGAATTACCATATATCCATTTTCATTATTTAAATTATCTAATGAATATCTTTTTAAATGGCTAAAACACTCCAATAATGGAATCCACTACATTTTCTGAACTACTTTAACGTCTAGGGATCACTGATTATAGCAAAGTTATTATTTACAGAAATGATTCACAATTAATATTATAGAATTATAACTGCTAAGTCAAAGGCTTTTTATATGCTAATGATAGGATCTCAATACAGGTTAATAATGATATGATCCCAATGCAGGCTAATGTTCCTTATAGGCCAATAATTAATACAACTCCAAATTTTTATAGTTCTGAACAGAATCAAACCCAAAATCCGTAACACAGGGCAACAAATGCATAATTTCCAATTAATAACTCATAGGGATTAAACCCTTCATTTAATTAATAATTCAATTTTCCATAAGGCTAATAACAAAAATTTTAATAATTCAACCAACAACCCTCCCAGCAATATAATCAAACATTAAACTAACAATAAAACTAACAATTTAGTCAACAATTTAGCCAACCATTTAATCAAACATTAAACCCACCAACAAACCCAACACCTTAATATTAATAGCCAAAAATTTAAACAAGTGGAACTTTTTAAAATAATTTTCAACCTTAACCTTAAACATAAAAAATTGATTTTCCAGTAAATAATAATGTAGAGGAGGATGTTTTTTCAACATAATTTTAAAATTAAACTTATGATCAATAAAGATAAAATTATTTGAATAACAAAATGAATAATCCAGGAGAGTACAAGTAATTAAATTGTGTTATTTTAGTTTATGTCGCGATATTGATGGTTTTAAATTCACTCTCGATAATTATGGTGATGTATTAATAATTGAAAAAGCTGATTAATCATTATAGTTACGAATAACTAGTGCATATAAAATGAATAAGGGTAAACGTTAATCGACTCCTTTAAGTACAAACGAGTTTGAATCTAATGTACGAATGGAACTCAATTATACTCGAGTGGCATTAATTCAAAACAAAGACATATTGGCTGTGTAATTCAACACTGGTGACAAAATATTTATCAACTTGCACATGGAGTGAGATATAATGTTAGATTTTAATAATTATTGATTTTCTTTTTTTATCCATAAATTATTATAAAAAATGACTTGTTGTTAAAAAAGTGCTTCCTTAATTTTGATCAGAGATGATTTTAAAGTCTTGATGTTAAAAAGAAGCAATGAAATTTCATTTGGAGGATCCTTTGTTTTTCCGGGAGGGATTCTAGAAGAAACAGATTATAAAATAGCTCTAGCAGATTCATAATTAATTTAGCAAAATCAATAAAGATACTATTGCTCTCTTAATCAAGATTGGTATGATGCATCATTGATTGCTGCTATAAGAGAAACCACTGAAGAAACTAATATATAGTTAGAATATAAATAATTATATTCCAAGATCAAGCCATTCATGAGGATAGTCACTCCTCAGATGATGGAAAAAAGATATGACACTTAGTTTTTTGTTTTAAATTTAAACAATTACGATCAATTAGAAATCAATAAGACTGAGAGCGCCAGTTATGAATGGGATAATCCTGTTGGATTTTTATAAAAATTCATTAATAGCTAGATATACTTATAACCACCAATATTCTTGTAGTTGCTAATACTAAATTAATTAGGAAGTTATTAAAATATCATTAGTTACATTGATTCAGGAGATTAATAAAAACATGCCCATCCCCATATTTTCTAATTTAGTAAGTATTATTACTAGTTTTTAATAAGGCTATAAAGGAGCATTTAATTATCCTGATCCAAATTTCAATTTATAAAAGTTGCTGGAAGCTGAATAAACAGACTATTTAAAAAAAGAATTCAAAACCAGATATACTCAAATGGAGAGGTCAGATTTTAGATTTGAATTTGAGGCAAACTTAAAGAGTTTGACTGGGTTTATAGGAAAGTTTAAGAATTCACCATTAGCATTGTTGGATGGCCAAATTATAAATAATGGCCAATTCATACAAAATAAGGCAAGGTTATGAGATTAAAATATAAAATGAATTAATTAATGATATTTGTATTGTATAATCACTAAAATTGGAAAGTTTGTTAAGCTTTTGGTTTAGACTATCGTTAAACACTACCCGAATTAATATTAATTCTGTTGTTGTCTCGCAACACATCATGTTACACAGCAGGACTTTATGCTTTAGTTTAGATTAAAGGATTATCTTTTTATACAGCATAGAATTTTTGTTTCATAACTAATAAATCTTTTTCCAATAGTTTAATATTTAAGGTTTTTTCCTTCTTAATCTTTATTCCTCTGTTAAATTTCTTATTTGCAATCCTAAAATTATAAATTAGTCTTACAATCAACTCCTAAATAAGTAATTACACAGATTAGATGATCTTGTCTCCATCGCTGCCTTTGATTGTTGAAAATTTATTTTTAACTCCACTTAAATTCAAAATTTAATTAAGTTTAGTCATCTCATTATTGAGTCTCTAATTTTCAACTATCAATTTTTGCTATGATAATCTAACAACATAAATACCATATCTAATTTAGATGTATTATATTAATTATCTGAATCAGTGTTTTTTCTTGTCTATTATTATTACTATAATAGTTTATTTTTTTCTTCAATTTCCTTCTATAATTATTCTGATAAGTATAGTTTTTCTTATTTCAAACAAGAATTTCTCTTGTTTTATAGTATTTAAGTATCGTATTTTTTATGAAGGATTATTATGCCCTCCAAGTTAAGCAATATCTTTTTGCATCTCTTCAATTTACTTATAGAGCATAGATCTTTCATTGTTCGATTTGGTTAATTTTTCATGTTACTCTTGTAATTCCTTCTTTAATTTACCATTCTCATCTTCTAAAGCGTGCATTTGCATCAGTGCTTGATCTTTTTGGTCTTTCATTTATTCATTTTCATCTTCTCGTTCTTAATTTTAGGACTATTAAGATAAATCTAACAATTACTAATATAGCATTATGTTCAGCCTCTAATTTTAGATACTAATCCTTGATATCATTAATTTCCTTCTCTTATTACTTACAAAACTCCTTTGCTCTATCATGAACATTTTTCAGTGTCTCTTCGTTCTACAAGAGAGCTTACTCTAATTGTACAATAATCTTTAAATATAATAATAAATTATACTTATTATTTTTTATCGATCTTCTGTTTTAACTCATTGTTTTCTTTTGAAACTTTTTCAGCAATATGACTATATTGTTCTCTTATTTAGGACTCTTATTTCATTTAAGATTCTAATCTAGTGAATTGATCCTTTAAGAGATTGTATTTATCTTATTATTCACTGACTTAGATGTTTTATAAGTCATTTTATTTTTGGATTGATTGATATTTATGCACATTTTCCTAAATCTAATAACTACTTTCTTCTAATTGATTTTTCAATTAAATGTTGGCATTTTCAAGACCTTAGATTATTTTCTAATAATAAATAATAATATTACTGTAAACTTATTTTAATCAGACTTTAATTTATCTTTGAGCTATTGAATGTCTTTTTGAGTTTACTGATTTACATCCTCTTTTGTTTCAAATGCACATTATAATCCATTTACTTATTTATTTAACTATTCAATTTATTGATCCTTCTATTATAATTACTTCTAGTGAATATCCAATTAATCTACTAACTCTTAAACTTCCTTTTTGTGTTAATCTTCATACTTTTTTAAATGCAGAGAATATTGTTTAATTTCTAATTCTAATTACTTAGTTAATTTCTTAACGATTGATTTATTTTCATCAACTTGAGATTATTTTTAATCCAATTCAACTCTCATCTAATCTATTTCTTCATGTTATGAATCAATATGTTGATTTAATTATGATATTTCCTTTTTGAGTTAGGAATTATCCTTAGAGGTTAATTCTAATTATTGTTGTAGGTTTGTATTTAGATGATTTAATTATAACTTTAATTAATCTACCTATTGTTCTTTTTATTGCAAATCATTTAGACTAGCATTTAATCGTTATTCAAGTTTGTGGATCTCCTTTTACTTATCATTGATTTAGAGTTTTAAGATGTTGTTATCAATTTCCATTTAATCTGTTTCCTTCTTCCAAATTTCAGAACTTTTATCAAGAATCTGATTTTATTTATTAAATTCTTATTGCATGAATTCTAATTCTGAATCTTTTTCATTGATGTTATTAGTCAAACATTGAATTTGAGATTATAATGAATTAAATTTAATTGACCATTCATTACATTATTGTTCTAATTGGTTTATCGTTTATTTAAACTTATTTGATTCACATTCAACCTCCTTTATTTTATCATTTAAAGCTGTTTTTTCATTAGTCAATTATTCGATTGTTCTTATCTTAATTTATAATTTTTAAGTCATATCTTACAATTTACCTTACTATTAAATTTCCATTGTGTTTCTGCTTTATTAGTTCTCATTCTCTATCGAGACTATTTTTTATTATAACTATTGTATTTCCTTTGACTAGCTCTCTATTTTGGACTTATGCTATAACAAATCTCTTTTCAATTCGGAATTAACTTAGTCCTTTTGTTCCAACCTAGCTTACAAAGAGATGTAGAGTTCATGAACTTGGTTATAATGATCCGATGTTTCTTGAATTACAGCCTGCTTACTTTCTAATTGCTTTTACAATAAGTCTACACTGGACATCTGCTCTTTTTGAATATCTTCAAACTCTAATTTCTATGTTTCTATAATGCTCTCCAAATGCGAAGCCCTTTACGTTTCATTTTGCAATTTTTAATTTAACAACTATAAAGTTTATCAAATAAATTACATTTATTTAGAATTCCTATGAAGACTACAATTCAGAAATTTAATTATCTTTTTCTTTAATTATGCAATTCAATTAATGGATCTAAAAGTTGTAAATAATATATTACTTCTTAATTCAAAATGCCTAAATCACAATCATTTTTTGCACTCAATTGCGATAAGAACAATTCAAAATCCTTTTTCTATTGTTTCAATTAATCTTAGTAATTCTTCTCTAAGTCTGAATTTTAAATTTATTAATTTTATTAAAATACAATCATTTCTTCCTAATAATTTTATTAAGTTTATTAAAGCTATAATTAAGTATTTAAAAGCTCCTAATTTTTTTACCTTAATTCTTGAACCAAACCATCTTTTTCCTATTAAATTTCATTCTTAGTCTTCGATAAGAGAGTATTCTCTTATTATAACAATTAGTTATCATTTTATACTTATTATAGTTAAGTAAATAATTCCAATTCTGAACTCTCCAATTTGCACACTGATAACCTTAACTAGTCTTAAACTACCCCTAATTCATTTTAATAATTAGAACATTTTTATTTTAGATTTTCATTTTCAGATTCTAATTCTTAAATTTCTTTCTCATTTTATTGAAGTTTAGTTTTTTAATCACTTAAATCATTTTTAAATTAAGTCATATTACTTTCATAAAATGCTAGTTATTATTTTAGTTCTTAAATTGTAATATCATTGTCAACAATTATTTAATTAATTTATCTTAGTTTTTCTTCATTTTCTGTTAACTCTTAAACAAGCTACGTATTTTAGTTTTTTTCATTTAGAATTTATTATTTGAATTCTTAATTTTATTAATTGAGCTATTGATAATTATTAGCTTATAATTGATTTTAATCCTTCAATTGAATTATTTATTCTTCAAATTAAGATATCTATTACTTAAATTCATCTTAGAACTATTAAATATTTGTTTATGATTGTTCATAATTAATTTCAATCTCCTATTTTTGAGTTACAATTTATTAGTTTTCAACCTTCAATTATTAAATAACCTACTCTGAGTTATTTAATATTTCTTCTAATTCTTAATTTGAATTTTTGAGTTCTTAATTCAGGTCACTAATTCTGCTTTTTAAATCTAAAATTTATTTATCTCTAACATCAATGATTTAATCGTTTTCATTAAATGTAATTCCATTTTCAGCTAATTTTTGTAGAATTGTTTTTTCAATCTCTTTGATTTAATCTTCCATTTATACTAATTTTTATGTTTACTCTGATAACAACTTCTCTTTATATTCTGATTATGTTTCAAGTTCTTTAAATTTATCTAAAGTGACATATTATGAATTAAATTAAGTATCTATTTGCTATTGAAATTGTCTTCTTTCATTCAAAGAGTTCTATCAAATAAATACATAAAATACTTAAACAGTTTCAACTATTTCTTTTAGTAAATTGAGATTTGTATCTACTTATACCTAAACCTTGGATACTGTTTATGTAGCTCCTTACTGCTCTTTTAAAGTTAGGTTTTCGTAAAAAGTTTTCATAACTAAACCTTGACATTGCAAGGCATATGCTAATTATTATTAAATTTATTGTTGTATTTCATCTGCTGATTGATTTAGTTTTAATTTTTATATTTATTCGTTCTGCAACTTAATAACAAATTTTAACTATTGCTCTAACTATTATCCTAATTAGAAGCCTTCTTTTAATTATTTAATTCCATTCAAATATTTTTCAATTTCTAAAAATAATGCAGTTTCACTTTCTGTTGATTATTCTAAATAGCACTTCAAGATTTCTTCAAGCTTAATGTACTTTTAATCATTAATCATCAGGCTTTCCAATTCTAAAGATTGTAAAACTAGATAATAATATGAAATTGAATACATTGTTCATTAATTTGGGATTATTATTATTTCTATTCAAATTTCTTTGGTGATTCCCATTTCTGTTATTGAGTAACACTTTTGGCAAGTTCTTATTTGAGTCTTTTGATTTCATTTTTCAGACTCTCTAAATTACCACTTTCATCTTCGTTGATCCTTGCTTTGTTTTTAACTTATTTAACTCTTTTAGAAAACAGAAGAGTCGACAAGGTTTCTTGATAGAATTGTTGAGATTATTAAATATTGGCAATTAGATGAGTTCTTGAATTGCCTCCCAAAGAATCCTTGAGTAGAAATGTCAATTTAGAGTCTCTATAATGTACATAGGATTGATTGTCTTCAACAAGAGAATTGATTACATTGCCCAAGATGTGTAAACTTTTATTTATATTGCAACCTTCTCTCAACCTCTCTCCTTAAACTTAAGATTGCTTCTACCTTTCACTACCAGCCAGATCTACAAAATGAAATCTCGAAAATCTATGATTGATGACCTAGGTCTGAGATGACTATCTTCTTGATTCAAGTTATATAGTAAACACACTGTGTGATCTTGATGATTCTATGTTCATCTAAGTGGATGATATGTGTCTATTAAGACTCCCTCTCTGGAGTACTTCCAATGATTCAGTCACATTTGTACAAACTTCTTCGCTTAACTATTCTACATACACACCCTTTTTGAGATCTTCTCTCAATTATAAGTTTCCTAACTAGGGATTTAAAAGATCTATTATATGTTCATTATAGATTTCCAAATAACTGCATTTGACTAAATATTCTACATATTCTGAGGAGTCCTCCTAAATGCAATTAAAAAGAAAATCAATCACTCTTGGTAATAAGCCTGGCTGCTTCTATGTACCCATCATTGTGTATGTTTTACCACTTCCAGTTTATCCATAGACAAACACACATCCATTATAACCATCTAGACAATTGATTGCTTATTATTTTCCCACTATATTAAATATGTCTTCTTAGGTTGAGTCTTGTTAAGCTACGTAATCAAAATAGAAATATTTCTAGTCTTGCTGTTATTATTGATTGCCCTCAATAATAATAGTATTTTTTAAATTGGAATCCAACTTAATACATGATCTTCCATCTTCTAGTAAAGGTCTTTGATAATTCATAAAGGGATGCTTACTTAATTCTAATAGAAACTTGAATATTGTCTCGTTCCGCCTTAAATTTATCTGTCATTTTTCAATTTTTAAATTTGAAATTATTATAATAAATAACAATCAGGAAATTATTGCTGTTGTAAGGCTTGTATTATCATGGTAAACGTAATTGTAATCCTGAGAATTTTTGTTCCGAAATAGCAAAAGGGAACAGTTCCTTTAGCAATTTGAATTGCTAACTTCATTTTCAATGTAACTACTTTCTAGTAAACTTGATTACTAATTACTAAAAGATTATATAACTTTTACTTAAATCCCCTGTATTTTTTGCTAAGTCTCTCAAAGGTAGTTCTATTATAATACATATTCTTAAACTATGTGCATAGTAAATGGCTCAATAACACAAAAAACATCAAGGTTATTAATAATTCCAAGACTATATACTCAATCTAAACGCCTTTGGAAAGGCTCAAGTACTTTCTGAGGTCGGTTAGAGACTTAAATAAAAAATCAAATGTATCCCAGTAACCTAAGTTTGAGGAGAGTATTCCAATATAAGATTATTTCCAAATAATATTGATGAACAATACAATTGAAACAAACAATTGAAATCCAATTGTTAAGAAAGTGATCCAGATAAACATCATGAATGCAAAATGGTTTTTTGCCCCTATGCAATTATTTATCCATGGGCAGTGATGATCATAGACCATAATACATCTATTACAGAAATCACAATGACGACTTCTTTTGGCCTTAAGTGTTTCGCATTCTGCACAAATTTCCAATTTCTTGGGATTATTCTGTAGAATCTAATAAAATATTTGACCTTCTTTTTTATATTGGACTTGATACCCAGGATCAGAATTAATGATGTAGACAAATAAACAGATTTGAAATATGTCTAAAAGGATTTATATGTAACCAAACACATTATTTCCCAATGTGAAAAGAATTTAGTAGATTAGATTGAGTATTAACATGAAAATGAAAGCGTACATTTATAATCTAGTCTTTTGATTCTATATACGGATATTAATATAATAATACAATCCTCGGTTTATTTTTCTATCCAAATAGATTGTTGCATTTGATATCCCCTTCCTAGTATTCCATGATCATTTAGCTGATAGTTAAGAATTCATTTTATTCAGACAATTCATAAGCAGTCTTCCCCTACTTATTTTTTAATCTTGTTTTGGCATTATAAAGCAGTAACTTTCTAGTGATTTTGTATTCTCCACTAATGGCTGAGACATGCAAAGGAGTGCAACCATAAATATTCTTAGTGTTAATTTTACAACCCCAAGCTAGAAGCAAAGCAGCACATTATTCACTACCTTAGTAACTGGCTTAATGCAAAGCAGTGCTATAATCATTATCTGTTATATCAATATTAACGTGCGCGATTTTAACTAAATAGTATAACATAATAGGTTAATCTGATTATGACGCTATGTGGAGAGTTGTTTGTCCTTGCCTGGTTTTGGCATCCAATTTGATTCCTAGTTTGAGAATTGCATCAAGAATTGCTATATTGCCTTTTTGAGTGGCTAGATGCATGCATTGATTTCCAGATTCATTTTATTGAGTGACCCATTATTTGGTATCAGACTCACTAGAATTGCTTAATGAATTGTTACCCAAATGATTTTAAGGAATATTTTAATAAGTCTGTAAAAAGGTTGGTGTGATCTTTCCAAACAGCATGCATGAGCAAGGTATTTTTTTTTTCATCAGCGATTTTTTGAATATTGATTGGTTGCATTTGGCTAAAGGAATCATTGTCATTAATTCCAAGGAGATACCTGACTCCCTTGAGATCTCCATTTTTGACTTTGGTGTACAAATCTTCATAAATTCTCTGAATGTCAGAGGCTTAATCCTATTTGTAGAATGTGGATTAATACGTTCACAAAAGTAGCCTATGACAATCCGAAACCATGAGGATCCCTGTTTATGTTGGTGGAAGGATCTTCTGATTATAAAAGAGGCTGCATTATAAATTAATTAATTAATCGATGCTTTTTATATGAGATTATTTAGCAATTAAAGAGTGCATATTTAATTTGAATATATTTAAGTGAAATATTTATGATCGATAATTCATTAATAAAATTAAATAATATAATGATGATCACTTCGTCCGTGTTTTTGATTGTTTATGATATACACTTGTCACTACTCTGAAAATAATCTATATCTATCTATATATATATAATTAAATGTTAAGAAGATTAACTGCGTCAGTCCCAATAGTCCACAAATTGTACTTCACTTTCTCCGTCAATGAAGGTAATCGAATGTTGCTAATCAGAATACAAGATCTAAATCCTCAATCGACTCAAACAAATTAAACATTCCGATTCTCACAAAGACATCGTCTCCAATGGTTACGTTGAAAATCTATCCATTGACCAAGGTATTCCAATGACCAAGTACTTTAGATGGAAGAGTCATCATTGATCTCAAATTGGACTAAGATTACAGAAAGATGAAGGCTCTTTGCTCAGATGCCCTTAAGCAATTCGAATGGATTAAGAATTTGGATATTCGCATGGCCCCAAAAAAAGAGAATGTATTTACCCAAGCCAATACTCAGAAAAGAGGCAATCTCTAAAATGTGAAGAAGATCATTGCAGTCTCTAGTTGCAAAGGAGGAGTGGGTAAAAGCACAATTGCATTGAACCTTACTTTTTCCTTGTAAAAATTAGGCTTCAATGTGGGAATATTTGATGCTGACGTATATGGTCCATCTCTCCCTACCTTAATTGGCAAAGAGAAATAGTAATTATATGCTCCAGAAGACAAACCTAAAGAAATACTTCCCATAGAATTCAACGGTGTTAAAACCATGAGTTATGGTTATGCAAGTGGCAATTAAAAAGCCATCATCAGAGGTCCTATGGTTAGCAGCATCGTTGTTTAACTAGTACAACAAACTCAATGGCAAAATCTAGATTATTTGGTTGTCGATATGCCACCAGGAACAGGAGACATACAAATAAGTTTATGTTAAGAATTAAATTTCGATGGAGCAGTAATTGTTACAACTCCCCAGAGATTAAGTTTTATAGATGTTGTAAAGGGAATAGAGATGTTTGATGTCCTAAAAGTGCCAACCCTAAGTGTGGTTGAAAATATGGCTGAATATGTCTGTCCAGATTGCAATCATGTTCATAGGCCATTCGGATAAGGCTATATGAACATGCTACAAAAATAATTTGGTATTGCCACAGCAGTCTCTATTCCCTTATATGGAGATATTTCTAAATATTCAGATTTGGGAAGTCCTGTAGTACTGACATTGCCTGAAGATCACACCATCAATAATATTTATAGACAATTAGCCAATAATGTTGTTCATGAGTTAAGCAGAAGCGATTTGACTAAGACTCCTACTGTCAGATATGATACAGGCAAAAGAGTGATCATTATTAGGGATTTCGATGGCAAAGAAAAACCTATAAAATCAGTTGAACTTAGATCTAAATGCAATTGTGCTTTATGTGTGGATGAATTTACTGGAAGAAGATTAAATTAAGTAATATTCATTCACAACTTATTTAGAATCAATAACTAGATCAGGAAGTCTATCCATACAAGATTGAACCTAAAGGAAACTATGCTGTTGCAATCGTTTGGTCTGATGGTCATCGTTCTTCAATATATCCCTATAAAAGATTATGGAGTGATGAGATTATTGAACATAAATCATGATAATTATATATATTAAAATAAGCGTATAATAAAGGTTGTCAATTAATGTATTATTCTAAGGTTTCTTTTAATACATTTTATTGTTCTAAGCTTAATTGATGAGCCTTTGCAAATCCTTTTATTACTTGTTCTATGTCATCTCCTTCTCTAATACAAATTCTAGCTTTCCTATTTTTTGAAATCCTTATATCCACATTCAGTAACATATTCTTTGGATTGGAGACTCGTTTACTTAAATCAAATGGTTCAGGCACAGTTTAATGAGGCCTATTTTGAATATTGGTTTGTTCCATAGAATAGAAGTTTTCTTTTTCATGTTTCATCTGTCTTGCCTTGGTCATTCTCTCTAAAATTGCAGATTCTCCTTTCACAGGCTTAAATGAATATCTCTATTTATTTGTTAATTTTGGTTTAAAGGTACATTCCATTAACTCTTCTTCATCCCTTTATTTATTCAAATTGTCCTTCAACTTTTACTTATGCATTTTAATTGCTTCAGCATTTTAATACAACCTATTAAATGTACTTACATTGTCTTGTCTTTTTGTTTAATTCGATGTCAATTAAGGCTTAAATAGACATTCTGGATCATCTTGTATATAGGATTCCAACTATCTTTTCTTCTCCTACAATACTTTAGAATGCTCATATAGCACTTCAAATCTATTTATTGTATCTGATAAGTGGGTGTCAAATTATTGTCTTTGTTTCCCATTATTTTAACTATTATTATTATTCCAAGACTCCTTTTTTGATGAGGATTGTCCTCTTGATCCAGTTGAAAACCTCACATTTAATAATTTAAATTTATTAGTCAATCTAAACATCAATTCTTATAACTCTTCAAAATTTATCACCTATTTTGGTATATTCTAATCTTCTAATTCAACATTTATAACATCTGTTAATAGTACTATTGATTAGGTTTGTGTTAATTATTTTTCCAATAATATCACAAGAATATTAAATACAAATCCAATAAATGCACTTTCTAAATCTAATCCTAATGTTAATAATTTCCATAAGTCAATTGACACATGATCATTTTTTGTTGATATCCCTAAATCAACTAGCACATTACAAAATCTTTCATAGTCCAATTACTCTTCAATTTAATGACGATTCAGTACTGTATTAATTTGGGTTTCTAATTTCTTCAAAAGGATTTTTTAGGAGTTATAGTCAATCTTAACTTTATTTGCTTATTATTTAATTTCTTCATTCTTCTCTTCTTGTTTTTAATTGATTCTTTGCTATTTTTCTATTGCTTTATTATATAGTGAAGAAAAATGATCTTGTTGAATTTATCCACTGATTTCATAAGCATTCAAACTATCACAATTTCTCAAATATTAAGATTAATCGCCAGATTCAATATTTTAATCATCAATCATGTTCGTTAATTTAATAAATATAAAAATTATTATTACTTTCCAAATAATACTTATAATATTAGTCCAAATTTTCATTAAATTCAATTAAACAACTCGGTTCTAACTTAACTTTGAGATTTTCTCATGCTACATTTTTATTTTAATCAAATTTAAAATACATTTATTATTAATCCAGATTATTTCTTTTTTCTATACCTATTAACTTATAAATGGGAGTATTTGTCTACAATTTAGTTAACTATCTTTTATTCCTACTTTAAAACACCTTTCTATTCCATAATGATTTAGTAATGTATGATACAAATTTGTACTTAAATCATATATATTTCTATCTAAAAAACACAGAAACATAGTGAATAGATTATTGTAATTCAATTTTTGATAAATATTTGTAATGAATTAATAATAGTATATATTAAAATAAACTATAAATTTTTTAATCAATGACTACTTTCATTTTAAACGTTCTATTTTAAAATAGACAATTTATTATCTGATTTTAATTGCGTTATTAGAATACTATTATTTATTTTTAAAGTTTAGCTAAAAGTATAATATATTTGTTGAATTATGATAGTAGAATAAAACAAAGTTTATTTGACTTAATTCTATCTAAATAATCGATGATAAGGATCCTAAACTCAAATTATTTTGTAGTTCAAGTAGATTATAAGAATATAGAAAATAGGCATTTTAGAAATAAATCTATTTGAATTAAAGAATTTTATATAATTTAGACATAAATCCATTTCTATTTTAAATAAAGGTTGTTAAAATGTTAGTGGAGATTTCAATCGCTTAAATTGCTACTCCAATTAACAATGAAGTTCAATTAATTATTATACTTGCACTATCATTAGATATTGATAAATTTATTTAAATTAACATGACAGATGGTTTTATGAGAGCCTCAAAATCGTTTATGCTACAAAACGGTAGCAAATAAGATCTCTGCTCTGTTGATGTGTCTTTAGACCCATTCCGACTAATAAGACCTATAGCAGCTGTTTAAACTTCTTTTGAAAAAATTATGCATTATTAGTCTACTGATTAGCCTTATTCCCCCAATCCTTATTGTATTAAATTTCTGTGTTATTTTTGTAGATATTCAATATTCTAATGATGGGCAGGAGGTGTGCAACATAATGAATAGTCAAAATAGATGCCTATTCAATAATTCATTAGAAGGTAAATTGTGGTTACAAAAGCCCACAGATATCTAACTATCACAGGTAAAGCAATCTACCAGTGCTCAGCCATTAAATGTATCGCCTTTAGCATCTTAACTTCCGCATGTTGAACAAGCGCAGTAGAAACATGTTAAATCTATAAAAGAAGAAAAGCACTTTTTAAAAGAGCAGCTTAAATTCTTTAAAGAAGATTCTATATAGAGTGAGGAAGTACTGAATGCAGAGGAAAGCAGTATTTGCTAAAAACCCAAAAAAAAGAACAATCTAAGGGGCAAGCGACATAAGCATACAAGTGATAGTTCTGAATCCTTTAGAATCAGTAGAAAGAAAAAAACATCTAAGGTGAACGATACAAAAAACATTACAAAAAATTACTCAAAAGCCATAATTTCATACATTTTCAACAATCCTGAGTTAGTTTAAAAAATAATGTCTAAACATAGATATGACGATTTCATTAATTTCTTAAAAAATAAAAAAAATCAAATGACCAATATAAAATAACTTAGAGACTTATGGGTGGATGGTGGCAAAAATTCTGAGTTTAATCGAGTCTTTAGAATTATAAGGTAATATAAATTTACTATTAAGTTAACAATTTTTAAAATCTCAAGCTGTCTCTTATGTTTATAACTCTAGAATTTCAAATACTTAATGGCATTTGAAATATAGATTCAACCTACTCAGAGCACTTAGAGAGCCAGAAAACTTCAAATTCATTAAAGATATCTGACATAAATTTGATAATATTTATTAAAATTGTAAACTAGTCCAAATTTATTGATAAGAAAAAGTAATTTTCCAAACTATTTCTTTTAAAATAAAACATTGTATGATCATGATAAATGCAACAATTATAAAATAATCAATAAGTATATTCGAAGTAATTATTAAAAATCACTAATAATCACTGAATAGAAAATTGCATAATTCGCCGATTGAAAATAAACTCTATAAAAATATTATAAAAATCTGTATATTTAAAATTATACATCTAGTTAATTATTTACTATGCCACATTAATCTCTTAAACTAACTATGCAAATAATTTAGCAAGCCTCAACTATATACTTTTCATCCTTAAATGAATGAATGTAAAATAAGTTCTTGAGTTATTTTGGGATATAAATTAATCAATAATGAAAGTGATTCCTTACATTATATATATGAATTAATTCAATAAGCCTATTACTTTATTAAGATTAAAAATGTCAAACTAAAATGTTTTATTATCTTATCCTATAAAGTAAATGAACATAGAAGGAATTTTCCATATGGTTATTCAAAAGAAGAAAATGTCCACAAAAATAAATCACTTATATCTTTGATCTGTGTATATTTTCTAACATCTAGAATGAATAATTGACTCATAAATACTAGAAGAATTATTAGAATAGATAACTCAATTTATGGCTTAAAAATAAACATTTCTTTTGCTTATGGATTAGTATCATTCATACTTAACTTATTGTATTCCTTAAGTATTCCTAGAAATAATTAAGTGAATATTTTCTACTTTCAACCTATTTAAGAGATAAATTAATTTTTTTTAAAGTTCCATTTTTGATATGGAAATTTAAAACTCTCTTCTTTCTTGACTTCAGACTAAATTTAGATTTATTATTAGTATTTAATTATAAAGATGATATTCCATGATTTATCTATTCTCATCAAAGATTATAATATTCTAATTGATTAAAAGAGATCTTTCAATCTATTAGATGAAGATATGTGTAGTTGATATAGATTTGAATCCTTCATGCAATTGTTTTTCTTATTTGTTTTACATATCCTTTGATTGTATACTATATTTAAAAAAATAATGTGTCAGTCAATAATTCAATTCAAAGAAATAGCCAATCTAAAATCTTTAAAACAATATTGACTCTCACTAGAGAACCTTTGATGTTTAACTAAAATCCAAACTCCATTTTTTGATTTTTTTTCTTAAAATCCATCAACCAAGAATATCCTTCCATTCATGACTTTAATATGAGCATGTTAACGTGATGAACACATGGTTGGATTAACCATTTAAATTTATTCAAATTTAGAGTCTTATTCTGATGTCTTTTTATCAAAAACAATGTTCATGCTCTCTTTTATCATAAAAGATTGATTGTCAATCATAATATCTCCTTACTAAATTTGAATAAATCATTTGTTTTGTCCTGCTGGTAACCCAACATAATACTCTTCTCCTCTGAATAACTCTTATTATTTTGTAACTCTTTCGTAGATTCCATCATTTTACAAATTTACGACCACTTATATAGTATGATTATTAATTATCCTAAAATTAAATCTCATAATAATACATAGGGTAGATTAAACTCAATATATCATCTTATTAATAAGTATAATTAATTTCTTAGAGTAAATCCTTATTTAAATTAGTAATGGTGGATTATTTTAATACAAGACCGCTATCAATATCAAACTTTTAGTGGCATTTATTTATTATATTAGTTATAACCACTCTATTTATTAGAATGAGATTACTTTTACAATTTCTCTTAAGTAAAACTGCTTAAAATGTCAATTGAGACCCTTGATTTAGTTTAATAATCCATTATATATAATAATAAATTCTAAGTTATTATCAAAATATAAAACTAAATATTATAACTCCGATTTTTTAATTTTATTGAAATGAAAGGAGAAAGAATCTCTTTTTTTTGTTTTCTAGTCGACAATTATTAACTAAGAATTAATAATTGGTGATGGGAATCAATAAATTGTTCAATATTTATATGAAATTCAAAAAATATGGTATAATAATCAAAGTATTAAACCTTAATGATGAAATTTCAAATTTTATTAATGCATCGCATGGATCTTTGGATATTGTAACCACCAACCTGCACAAATTCCTAAAACAATTCACTTCAGAGTAAATTACAAGAAGGAGTTGATATTTAGTTATTTATCAATTTTATTTGAAATGCTTCTTCTCTATAAGCATTTTAGCTTTCTTTAAAGCCGTTAAGATTTAAGTGAAGGTAAATGTTTTTAATTATTTATTATTTTTTATAATGGGTAATAAAATTAATCGTATACAAGACGAAGAAGATTCTATAAAAGTTTATTTGGAGTTAAATTAAACAAAGTTATAGTTGAATAAAAATTTAGAAGGCAAAGTTATCTTTAAAGTTCCACCCTAAATATAAGGGTAGTTTGATTTGAATTTAAAGGTATATTTATTTATCCCAATTAGATTTATGGTCTTGAAAATGCTGAATATAACTTCAAAGAAAAAAATAAAAGCATTTATTAATATTCTGTGAAGAATCATGAATTCTTTGAGAAGACTCTAAGCCTAGTTTATAATGAAAGGTAAAAATGATTATTAAAAGGCATTAAGAATTTAAGTTGATGAATATCTGTTCGTACCCTTTGATTGGAATCCAGAGATTTCAATCCCCTCGCTCGATTATAAATATAGTGCGGACTTGATAGTTTCTAGAGAATATATATTGGAAGCTATATTAATTGTTAAAAATCAACGAAATAAAAAATTTTAGTAGAAGTGGCAATAGAAAGTTTTATTTTATAAAGATTCTGATGAATAACTCTAAATAATGAAAGATTCGGAGAAAAAATAAAATCAGAAAGTTGATGCAATAACAACATATAAATGGTTTAGATAATAAAAAGGGGTATTGGATTTAATTTAAATTTAGTTAGTTTTTGTATCGTTTGAGGCTGATAAAAGCATAATTTTTAATGGTGATTATTTAAATGTGACTGCTGACGTAGATAACACGTTTGGATATCTAAAAATTTAATCTGCAAAAATATTATTCTATTTAGAATTTATTATAAAAGAAGAATTTTTATAGGGAATGCCGAAAGTACTACTGTGTGAAGAGATGTTAGTAGTAACAGATCAGAATAAATATTTTGGGAAGATGAATTTTTAAATAACTGACAAATTAAATCTACCTTATGAATCAGTTTCTGAAAGAGTAGGTTGCAGATATATTGTAGTTTTGTAATTGATTTTTGAATGTAAAAATATTACTATTCTGAAGAACTTTGTTTAGGATCAGGAGTTGATAATGTGGAATTTATACTCCCTTACATGGATTACTGTAGAGACAATAAGGACAATGCAGAACCATAATTGGAATGCTACACAGAAATAAAAAACATAGATAGTCTTAATAAGTTTATGAGTCCAAATTATCAATTACTATCTGGAAGATAACAAATTAGAAATCAAAATACAGATTTTTTAACGAATAGAGAAACTAGAGTGGCATAGCAATCATAAATTCTCATATGGAAGAATTGAGAAGATTTATAATTTAATGATTTTTGCTGATTTTTATTAAATTAAATATTTTCTAAGCAATAATTTATTTAATTATTAATTATGGAAAAGCTGAGTGTGGAAATATTGAAACAAATAAAATCAAACACTCAAATTAGGTATTAATAAGATGACAATTGTGTTGTAATATCCGTACATGGACCTTACTAAATTGGATCATAAAAAGCAAACTAATGTATTATAATACAACGATTTAGAGGCTATCCTTGATATACAGATCAAATTTGAGTAGGATAAATCTTTAGAATATCAATTGAAATCCATTTTTGAACAAGTTCTCAATTTACAAGAATACCCCTAGTAACAGATAAGGGTTTCTTGCATTATCTAAATTAATACAATCAATGTATACATCCATTTCAAACATCAAATAGATATTTTCAACCTTATGCAATGGAATCATGATAGCCTTATTGCATCAAGGCATATCCATGAGCAAATCCATCTATAGTATCACAATAAATAACACTCGTTTGGTATTTCAACAAATCACTAATGATTTGCTCTTTATAGACAACAAAAAGTCATAACCAATTGATTAAACCATGGACTAGATTAAGGAAGGAATAAGTAAAGCTCAACTGTTTGAATAATGGCTTCGCAGTTATTTATATGAATATTATGTAAATAATAATTTGTTATGACACAAATAAATATAATTAGACTTCTTCTTCCAATTCATCAATAAAATATTCCTTAAGCGAAATATTAAAACTTATCATACCTAAACATACACAAATAATATAATACCATCTAGCTCTCCAATTGTCCAATGATTTATTAATCAGTCCTTAAACATAAACAAACAATTCAGCATCGGATGCCACTCTTGGATTGAATCTATTTTCTAATTCCTTTAAGGCAACTTCACCTTTTTAAAAGCAAGGTAGAGTGGTTCCATGGCCAGTGTACATCATTTCTACCAATAATAATATTTCATTTTAATGTTTTTGGCAGGCTTTAAATCCTCTAATAATAATTAATAAATAATAAAACTTGTAAAAGAGTTTCCTGAAATGATCTTAAAACAAAGTTCCTTTTACACCTCCCAAGACCTTAATGTAATCGGATAACAATTTAAATGGTACTTTTCCTTCAAATTCCATTCCTTTACCTGGAGATATCGATAAAAAAAATCCAAAGTCAATATGAATCAAATGACCTTCATCATCTAATAATATATTTCCATTATGTCTGTCTTTAACTTATAAAAAATAACAAACCAAACAGTAGGCTGCGAGTGATTAAACATAATTTTATAATGCTTATTCGATATTGTTTCTAAAAAAGGATCTGAAAAAATCAGAGAAATCACTAAATTGAGTATATTTTTTTTGAAGATTCTTTTACAAACTATCGATAGTAGTGGCATTTTTAATCATCTCAATCATACCACAATCAGGTCCCAATGATAAGACCTCATAATATCTTAATTTTAAAGGTAAGCCTTCTTTCTTAAATATTTGATCAAATTAACATATCAATTATAAGGCAAATTACTCTTATTTTAAGTTGTCTCCTGTTTTGATAATCAAATGAACTAGTTTCCAAGATCTCAACGTTTAAAAAGGACTTTGTCTTTTAATTCTTTCTGATTAATCTATAGAATTTTCTCCGAAAATAGTCTATTTGATTTCAAGATATTCTTCCTAATTTAATACTAATCCTTTGCCAACTTGTAAATAACTGACTCTACTATTAAATGAACTTATTTCTAGATTGCTTTAATCGCCTAATCCAGATAACTTCTAACTGCTAGTTTGTTCAGCTACTTTATCATTCTATTAATCATCAGTTGCATTAGAAAATAATGATTACTAGACAATAATTTATTAATCTATCATTTCATCTTATTAATCTGAATCTTAATTTTGATTATTGGTTTGTCGATAATTATAAAATAATCCTATGCCATCTGACTCTGGCTCGTTATTTTAATAATTAAATTAGTTGAACTTGATATTTTAAAATTCATTATTAAATGTGTTTTATGCTTCTGCCAGAGAGAAGGTTCTATTCATTTGAGTATTTTATTATTCTGAGATAATGACTTAACTTTGACAATTTCCATCCGCTTTAATCATCTATAATATGAGATAATAAAATACATTAGTTTTAATGGCTAACGACATTTACTTATCGAGTAATTACTATTCAGTGTAATTATCCTCTATTTCAGGGCGATAGATTTCAAGTGTTAGACTGTAAGGACTTCTCATTTTGGTTGAGAATACTCTACTTTCTTTAGATACTATATTTAAGACAGCGTAGTTTCTGATTGAATTCTTAACAAAAGGTACATAGACAGCAGCTGGTAAATTAGCATTCATTTTATTTAGTAAACTATGTAAATATTAAGTTTTCGTATTGGATTTAGACAGCTCATCACAAATCTTGGTGATATCATTCCAGAAGTTGATATTAGATTAAAAAGCAGTATCAACAGGTTGAATATCTTCATTATTATCAAAAGTAGAGGTGTAATCTTCTAATTCGATATCTTCATAGTTTCTCACTATATATTGAGAGGGACTTTTATTTGCCATCTCTTGTTCCCATTAATTGGTTCCGTAAAGTTGCACAACCTCATTTTATTTATAGGATCTGATTCTTACAGACCCTTGATAAACTTCCTGTTTAATTTTTTTATTTGATATACTTGTTATTGATTTTCGGAGTGAAGAACTCTTTATAGAATCGTCAAGGTGAATCTTTAAAAATTGGGTTGCTATTAGTAAATTGCCTTAATAATTTATGGTCATCTTTTCTTCAAATTCCTATACAAACTTTTGCACTATCTTGAGTTCTACTCTGTTACTGTGCGCAACAATTTATGATAAACTCTTCAGTTAGAAGTAAACAAGATGCGCAAAAAAAAAGTCGATTTGAGATGCTTTAGTGATGAATTGGATCAACCTTTCATCTGAAAGTTGTTGGTGAAACACTAAGAAGTTAATTAGCTGAGGGATAAAATATTCCAAATCATTTCTAATCAGATTGGCTTCGTAATTCGGATTGATACGGCATCTTTAAAGCATTTCAATGGCTTTGCTTTTGTTCTCCGATATGTATAATCTGATCATCACTTCCAAAATAGCATCATCTGAAATCTAAGAAAATGGTAAATTAATACATCCAAACTATTATCTTTATATTTCTTAAGGATTTTGCCAGATTTCTTGAAGGTCTTAGGAAATTCCCCTTTTTGTTTCTTCCCAAAACATAAACAACCTGCGTTTTAATTTTGATCTTTTTATTGCATTAGTTTAATACAATAATTATGTCTATAATCAATTAAATTATTTCAAGATTATAAAAATAGTAAATTATTTTTAAGAAATTGAATCAAATAAGATTGGTTGGGAGTGAGATACTAATAATGTAAATGATGTTAATAATGTGATTTTAGATTTGAGTAGCTCAAATTAAAAAAGTTGTTCAAAATGTGCAAGAATAATTACTCTGAGTAATGAACTATGGAATTGATTGTAATATGTTGTCAAATGTAGAGGGAGTAAGTTGAATCAAATAAAAATAGAAAATATGAGAGATTTATTATGAATTAATTAATTAACAGTCATATGGGTTAAGCTAATTGTGCTTGTGTTAAGACTGTCAATTTTGATCACAATCAAATTGAGAGTGACAAGAAATTAAGAGTGAGCAGAAAAGAACAATAAATTGAAGATGAGGAGATTAAATTATTAAGATGCATTATCAAGATTTAAGCATTATTGAGAGGATGGATAGTCAGAAAGAAATATCATTATGTTTAGGTTCAATTATACAACAGCAAAGTGAACAATATCTTAAAATAATTCTCATTAACACATTTATCCAAATTCAGCAAAGTATTACAATAGTTGCACCATTTATTTAGATGGCTCCATTTCCTTTCTCAGAACATAGATATTAAGATAATGAAAGTGAGGCCTACGAAAATAGATTTTTTAGGAATGCTGTCTTATTGGAAAATGGAGCAATCTACATTGGAGAATGGTTTGGAGATAAGAAATTCGGAAAAGGCATTCAAATATGGAAGGATGGATCAATATATGAAGGCTTTTGGGTTAAAGATATGGCTAATGGAAAAGGGAGGTTGTATCACGCCAATGGAGATATCTACGATGGAGTATTAATACATAAATCATTAGGATTGGGAAGATCATAAATCTAAAGGTTATGGAATATATATTCATTCTGATGGAGCTAGATATGAAGGTAATTGGAATAATGATTAATAAAATGGATTTGGTATTGAAATCTGGCCAGATGGAGCAAAACATGAAGGAGAATACTAGAATGGAGTTAAACATGGAAAAGGGAAGTTTGGTAATTATAAATCAATGAAGATTTTAGTTTGGGCTGATAAAGCTTAGTATTGTGGTCAATTCTTAAACAATCAGATTAATGGGATAGGCAGATATTCTTGGCCTGATGGTAGAAAGTACTGTGGAGAATGGCTAAATAATAAGATGCATGGTTTAGGCCTATTTTAATGGAGTGATGGAAGAGTCTACATTGGTGAATATATAGATGACAAAAAGCATGGATAAGGAATTTTCGAATGGTAATAGACTTATCTTATTAAAATAGGCCTGATGGTAAGAAATATATTGGATTTTGGGCTGAAGGTAAATAACATGGGAGAGGCATCTTTATAGCTGGGTAATAAAGAAAATAAGGGGAATGGAAAAATGGGAATAGGGAAAGATGGATCATTTTTGATTCAGATAACGAATTGGATTTAATGGAAAAGAAGATGTCACAGCTAAAAGTGTAATATTCTTAAATTACTGAAACACAACTATTAGATAAATCAAAAAAGGCATTGCCATTGCCTAATAATTCTTTAATTAAAGGAGAGAAGTTCAAGCCTCTTCAGAATCATAATTCTTGATTAATACAAAATAGACTCATGTTCTTAGATATTTTAACATTATTTTATATCAAACATAGATCATCCTTTTAGATATAAGATGTTCTTAACATATAAAAGAACATTTTTATAATTAATTAAATGACGATTAACTCTAAATATTTTATAACTTCATTTTTATGCAAATTAAGAGAACTCTTATTTCATTTATTGTTCTTTTAGTTTTTGTTCATAAAAGATCTTTTCTTTCAATTCTCCATTTTATTCTTTAGCAAGTCTTACTTATTCTTCAGCCAACTTTCTTGCCTCTTGGTCTTTCTTTCTAAATGTGTTAATAATTCAAATTTACAATTTTTCTGGATCAGATTCATATTAACCTATTTCTTGCATCAAAGTGACGAAGACTTCTTTTAATTTTTTGAACATGTCTTTCTTAATTAAGTCTTTGCACTTATCAGAAATGGCTGTTTTAGTATTGCAGCTTATGTGAATTATTTCGAAATCGTTATCCAAAGAATTCAAGTCTTTAATTTTATATGTTCCCTCAGCCTCATGATCTTAATTGACACCTTAATATTCAACTTTTATATATACCATGCCATTCAACTTCTATATCGAAATCGTAAATCAAAACTTGTTTGCCCTTCCTGATGTTAACTTAAGCCTTTCAATAGTTAAACAATCTTACATCTCCAGTGATTGACTTCACAACCTAATTGAACAAAGTTATATCTCCAGATTCAATTTTGCATGATTTGATCTTAGATTCAATCAATTGCTTTGAAATTGGAGTGTAATTTTTCTCCTCCCAATGCCAACTATTTGGATTCCAAAGTGAACCTGCTCCTTATTGTTTAGCCATTTGTTATATTTTTAATTGAACTAATTAATATTGCTGGATTCATTTTATTGTCATCATAATTATCTAGAACTTTCGATAATTAGAATTAAGATGTTATAAAATTTCCATTTTTAATCTCGAGAATACTTTTCTTATAAGTACTATTTCCTATTAATTATTCAACAATTTCCACTAATCATCTAACAAAGAATGCTAATAATTTAATTATGAACAAAAGAAGAACATGAATGTGTTAAAATCAATTATTTTTATTTAATATATATATAATTTATATATAAATACTAAAATAAATAGTTTAAATGAAATTATCTTGAAAGTTATGAAATAATTATAATTATCATAGAAATTAAATTTAAAATTTGGAGGCTCTCCCAATTAAAATAAGTTCATTAAAGGCTAAAAAAAAAAGTATTCAGGATTTGAAATGCTTTGGATGTATGATTTTTCAGTTTTAGAAATCAAAAACGCGATTATCTGAATTTCTAAAATTGGTTAATTTGAATTATTGAATTTCTACTCATAATATCAATGAATAAATATTTCATGATTAATATTATTTTTGTTGATGTTTAAGAATTATTATGATGGTCTTTTGATTAAGCTCATTTTCAATCCTTAAAACACTATTTCTAAATTTTCACCTATATTCATTTTATAAAAGTACTGATATTTATTTACTTAATTGGTTCATCCATGTAATCTATTTGATCACAATATTTTTTAAATAAGTAATATATTATTAAAAGGTTATACAATAATATATAAAATAGTTATGGATGAAGTATTAATGACTTAGCGAATGGGACCATCTGCACTGACTCAATAGTTAACTTCTAAGTAGGAGTCGCCATCCAATCTAATGCAAGAAGATGAATATCAAGCATAAAGCTAAAGAGATATCATCGAGAACAAGAGCATAGATATGAATATGTCTAGGTTAGACAGTAAAGTAATAAAATAAACTTATCACAGACCGAATTTAAGAAGCATGCATTATTCTTAACAAATAGAATCTCAAGAACAATTTAACCATAGAAGTAATCCCATTTTTTGTAAAACTTTAAATTGTAGTAACACGTTCATCGATTCATTAATAATTTATTTACAAACTCTTATATTCTGAGAAATACTCAGAAGTAAAAAATAAAAGATAAGTTACTTGAATAATAATTTATTTCTTAACATAAAAAAAGGGGTAATTAAATTTTTAATAATCAAGATTATGAGAATGATTCAGTTATTCCAATATTTTTGCCATCTACAAATTCAATTATTTTATGGGACATTCTTGGATTTGTATGTAATCTAATGATGCTTTGGCTCACTCCATTCCTTGGAGCCTTTAATAATTACTACAATGAAACAATATCAGTGCTGCAATCAATTATATTAATATATCTAATTTTTGATTTTTTAGCACAATTTAATAGAGGAATATTTGTGTCCGCAGTTTTGATAACGAATAGGAAGATGATCATTAATCAATATTTAAAATCAAATGCTTTGTCAGATTTTTTAAGATTATTTATATGGGCTGATCTCAAATATTCATTGTTGTCTACTTTTTGGTTTGAAATCATGATAGTGCTGCAAATAATATTAATATATTAGAAGCTACTCAGATATTTATCAGAGTATTATTATCAATATATCTATTCAAAGGGAGGATAAAACTTTGTATTAGATTTAGTTTAGTTGATCATTCAAATTTATTATTTTGCCCATATCATTGCATGTATATGGCATTACGTCGGTGAGAATACTTACTATTTGCAGAATTCATGGATTATATAAAACTAATTAAGCGAAGAAACAGTTTGGCATAGATACAATTCTGCTTTTTACTGGGCAACAATGACAATGACAACTGTAGGCTATGGAGATTTTTCGGCAAAAAACTAAGTTGAAATGATTGTCTCTTCTTTGATAATGTTTTTTTCTAGTTATGCTTTCGCTTATACAATGAGTTCAATTGGCATAATCCTCAAAAATGTTTATGATACAAAGCAAACTTATAAGTATGAATACCAGTATAATTAGAAAGAACCTAATTTAAATGATTTAATATATGAGTAAGAACTAAGTTGATGAATCTACTTAAGGAAGAATAAGGGATTACTTAAGATTCTAATAGGCCCAAGAAAAGAAGGAGAATTAGGATGAAATTGCAAACATTATTAATCAATTGCCTAAGAATTTATAATAAGATTTAAATTCAGATATATAATCTAGAGTAATTCGAAAGATGAGCTTGATTATAAATCATTTCTCAAAGTTTACATAATAATAGGTTGCTAAAAACCTAGAACTGATCTAATTTATTCCTGGAGATATTATATATAAATAAGGTGATCAACATGAAGATAATTTGTAATATTGTAATTAATTTTAAGATATTTTTTATCAACTGGAGATGCTATCTTGAAAGAAATTCAAACTGACTAATAACTCAGATCTATCAAATCCTCTCAATATTTAGGGTATTATTGTTTTTTTACTGGATTTCCTCCAAAAGAAACCGCTATTTGTCAAAGTCCAAGTGAACTATATAAAATCAGTAGGAGGAAATTTCTGGATATTGTTCGATAAAACCAAAAGGATTTCGAAATCTTCCATCACATTAAAGAGAAGTTGATCTTTTAAACAAATTATGTCCTTTTTGATCATAAATGTAACTTTTGTAATAGGTATATCCATCAAGAAATTGATTGTCCTTTGATTTAATATAAACCTGATTTAGAAGCTATAGTGAAGAAATAAGAATTTAATCAAATTTTAAATCTTAGGAGATCAATTATTAGAACTAAGAGAAAGCATCATGCATTAAGCTAAAATCAACCTATTGAACAATAACTGAAATTATTTTAGTAAGACAATCAATTTTGTGATGATACAGATTCTGAATAGGATGGTAAATTTAGGAAAGAAAAATCAATATTTTCAGATCAATAAAAAAGTTCATTATAATTATTAGTAAATGAAGAGGATGGTCTCATTGAAAATAATTCATCTAGATAAAATTAAAAAAGAATATCATAACATTATGGTCCATTAAAATTATAAAAAAGTATCTTGTATTTAAATTTTAGTGTCGTCATTCTCAAAGTAGAAAATAGGATATGTAGAATAGAAAACTTCTATTAGAAGAACATACCTTTAAAATGAAGAGTAGATTGTAATCAAAAGTTAAAGTATGATTGAGGAAATGCAATTGTTAATATAAAAATAATTTAAATCCTCTTTCAATTTGGATAAGGTATGTGATGCATTTCATAATTATATGCCTCAATATACAATTGAATCATAAATAAGAGAATTATAAAAAGTATAGAAAAAAAGACAGAAAAGATTTTGGAAATAAGACTAAAAACTGGGGAAATACACATTTTCTAATAATGTTAAAGTGTTGGCGCTAAAAATACTTAATTAAGGCAGAAGAGTGAGCAAACTTTGATTTTATATTTTATAATGATAATTACATGAATTATTTTAATTCTGATCATCAAGCATCTTTAAAGATAATGAAGTTTTCAAATAAAATTATATAATATAATATTAATTTTAGATATTATAACTAATTCATTTTTTTAAATATGATGCCCATATACTGCAATTAAAATTTTTTCGAAATAGCACTTTTAAACTTTTGCTCATCTTCTTACCAATACCTGCATCACTTCTTCGATAAGAATGTTGAACAACAGTAGCAAATCAAATAGGAAGAGCTGCTGCCTGAGGTAAAAAATGAAGAAAACTCATAATAACAAGAGAAAAATCTGAAACTTGTCGAATATCAAAACACAAACTAGAGGGAAGATAAAAAAATACATATATTTCCTGGATAAAGTAAGAATTATTATAAGAACATGAGTTAGAAGATAGTAAAATTCATTTTTGAACACTTTTAAGATGATGAACGAGTTATGAATGACTCACACATTAAAAAATTCGTCAAGATACCTAGCCAAAGTTTCAATAGGGATTCAATTTTAAAACTTAAAAAATCTAAATTAGCTAGAAGAATTCTAAGACTATTCTTTGCTAATTTAAAATGGGTTAGACCCTTCATCTCCTAAAATAAAGCCGAGCTGACTCTATATTTTAGATATAACAAATAGCTTTATTGTCCATAGAAATCCTAATAACAAAATTAATCACATTAAGCAAGGCAAGACTGTATTAAACAAGAAGAATGATAAATATATAAAACCAATACTATATAAATATATGTTTTATATAAATTAAATAATTACATCATTTGTAAATTCTTTTTCTTTTTTGAAAATGAACATAAGAATTTATTATAATAATAATAACAATGATTTTTTCGTTTATAAATTTCATTAGAATATATGAATGATATTTTATGAATCCTAAATACACTTATCGCAAAAAGTAAGTGACCAATGCAGAAAAATAACAGATACTCAAAATCCTAGGAAACAACCCAACAGATAAATAAATTGAATACATTGCTCATGAAAATGACTTGAAAACCAGAACCATCAAGGCATGGCTAAAAAACAAGTAGCAATTTTGTTCTGAAAATAAACATACCTCTGATTCAGAAGACAATCAATACAATAAAAAAAAGTCCAAAGAAGATAAAGCACTTTTTGATTATGAGAGGCACTTTAACCAAAACTCAAACTAATACAATTATGAAATTACTAATTCAGATTTACTTATGAAAAAAAATGGCAATCTCAATGATTCCAAGTAGTTATAGAATGGGCTGGCATTTCCTTTATCACATATCTCTGCACAAGGAGAGAAAAGTTAGTAAAGGTAATAGGACAAATATGCCTTATAAAATTTTGAATCATTAGCCTTACTATTAGATCAAAACGATGAAATTCATTAACTCATTTCTTTATTTTAGAATTAAGAGAGATAAATTGAAAATATCAAAAAGGTTTAACAAGATATTTTGGAATACATGTGCTCTCATCTAACCAAAAAACCAAAGAGGATATGATTATATCAATCTAACCAAAAAAAAAGGAGAATTTGATCTTATCATTATCTATATATATATGGATAACATTTATATAAATAGTTCAATTTACAATATAAATATATATGAAAAGATAAATATTAAATGAACATTTACAAATGAAAAAGAACAAGAGTTGTTAAATTTCCAGATCCTAACAGAATGAATTTTCACTAGAAAGAATACAAAGTATATCGTAGAACAAAAGAAGTTCTGATAAAGGGTCTATGTAAATTGTTGAGATGTGGAGCAAGAAGATGAAAAAACAATGTGACAGTTATTTAGAGGTGCTCAAATAGAAACAATAACAAGAGATGTATTATTATATTTCAATTATACAAAAGAATGAAATTGAATCATGTTCCACCAATAATGTTGAAGAATATCGATGTCATGAAACGCAGCGATAAAACCACTCTTCCAAGATCAAGGATTACATCTTTCAATTAGCAGGACCCAAATTTAAGATCCCATAAGGAAGTCATTCAGAAAAATGAAGATCCAATTGGAACTTCAATTTTTAGCAATTCTGGGAGGTCAAATGCCTAACCTTTCTTTTTCTAAAGGCTTAAACTATCACCAATTCGAGAAGTTCAAAATTGCATCGATTAATGTGATACTCTTCTCCAAGATGTCTAAAGTATTAGTAAGTAAATGATATAAATTACAATAGGGAGTTTTATTAGCCTAAACAAGATAGGTTTAAATTGTATGCCTAAAAAAGATAAAAAGAGAAACTCAAGGAAATGTTTTTATTAAGAAGATTATAGTGATTTTATTCCTTTTTATTTATTTGTTTAATTGTTATTCTTTATTAATCTAAGATCTAAAAGAGAAACAAAGAAATGATTATTGAAATCACTGAAGAAACTATAAAAGAAACATTGTTATTTAATTTACAATAAAAATTATCGTAATTAATTATTATCACAACTTGAATCCAAAATGTACAGCTACAACTCCATCCATATAATTCTTAAATCCTGCATATCTAAAACCAGCTTCCTCAATTATTTTTAATAACTCTTATTGACTATGGAATTTTTCAATACTCTCTACTAAATATTAATAGGAATGTCGATCATTAGCCACTAATTATCCCATTGCGGGAATAAAACTGAATTAATAAAATTAATTGGCTAGAGATAAAATAGGATTCTGAACTTTGCTAAATTCTAAACATTAGAATTTTCCTCCTTATTTCAACACTCGATGAGCTTCTCCAACTGCTTTTGGAATTCTGGGTACATTTCTGATTCCAAAAGCAATCGTATAAGCATCAAAAGTATTAGGTTCAAATGGTAATTCTTCAGCATTTGCACATACAAAATCAATTTCTATATTTCTCATATAACAATAATACAATTTTAGTATCCTAACTCATTTGCTCTTTTTTATCCTACATCTAGCATGGATTAATTGATATCCAAAACTGTAATTTTCAGATTTTCATTAAACAAATTTATTTCCCTTATGCTTTTCAAGAATACGAAATGCTATGTCTCCAGTTCCACCTGCAACATCTAAGACTCTAATTTATTAATCTCCATTTTTCAATTGTCCAAGTTCTTCAACAAAAGAATTCTTCCAACATCTATGTAGTCCAACACTCATTAAATCATTCATCAAATCATAACTATCTCAAACCAACAAATACTTATTTGCAACATTATGAAACACCTAATTTACATGTTCTTATTTTTCTTCAAGTTTAACCTTTTTGAATCCAAAATTAGCTTCTTGACAAAATGTAAATACTCTCAATTTAAATAGTTATTTTATCATAAATAAAATATTATATACAAAATATCTACTTTTCTGTCTAATTAAATGCTCAACATATTTACACAATGAAGAGATACAATGTTTCTCTCAATTTATTATTCGATTTTCTTGATATGTGAATATCATTTTTTTGAGCAATCAATTATTTTATTAATGATAATTTATCAAAATCTATATATTTTATCAATAAAATTCTTAGAGTTGTGAATTAGACTTAGCATGGAAGAGAGATTTAAGGAAAAAATAATTATTTTTATTAATTTAATTAGTAAACGATTCCCATATATTATTTTTTTAAGTTTTTGAAGTATTATATGAATAATTCAATTATAATATTTTAAGCAGTGTGGCAATGAGGGTTATTTTCGAGAATGACAGCTCAAATTCCCAACACATGCAACATTAAATATAAGCTTCCCATAATTATACGAAAATTCATCTTTGTATAAATATAATAAGCTGAGATAAAAACTATTTTTATGAAGTAACTCTAATTAATTTAGAGTCTTTATTTCTTTTGACGGATTTTGAAAATGAAGGCTCTAGAAAGAGAATATAAGGATTTGAATTTATAAAAAACAAACATTAGGTATAATGATAATAACTAAGAAAAATATTATAGATCAACATACTAATCTCTCAATTTATTAGTTTCTTTTCTTCTTTTATTTTATAAGCAGCCTCTAACTATTCAAATATATCATCAAAATTTTCATCCACTTAAATAGGTTTTGGTGATGGTTCATATTGAACTTCATCATTGAAACGAACAGTAAGTTCCTTTTTAACAGATTTGACTTAGGATTGTTGTGTATTTTATTTTTTTAGAGATAATTTTAAAGGTTTTTTTTGTGAAACAGTAGTAGAGTTGTTTTGTTATGGATCTGGTTAACTCAAGTTCTGATCATGTTATATTATGTTTTGCTAATGCTGTTCTTCTTAGATTACTGAATTATTGGCAATGGTCTCACTAAAGGTTTAATTGATGGTCTGATCATTTATCGGTTATTCTCCTAATGGATTAAGTACGAAATGCCAGGGGATTAGACCTTTGTGAGCCTTTCTGAGGAATTATAGGTGAGTCTTGAAGTAAGTACAAATATTACTTAAACACTATTATTCCCTCCAAATTTTTATAATCTATTTGTAAAATAGTCAAAGTCATATTTAGGCATTATTTGATAATGCCATTCTTCTATGACATGCATGTATTTGTTTAGTTCGTCTAGTTCATCATTGCCAAACCGATAGTCTTTACATAAATTATAGAGGTAAACGACTCCTTTCTAGGGATCTGTAATTTATTCAGGTTTCAATCGGAATTATTAAGTTTTCTTTTTCTTCTTTTGATTTGGTAATATTTTAAGCATTTTCGTCTTCTTAATCTTTTTTATTTTCCTCTTCTTCATTTCTTGGAGATCTGTTCTCGAGATCCTAATCCTCGTTTTCTTCTTAATTATAGCTCATTTATATTAATCAAGGGAATTTAAACTAAAACTTAAATAATCTTAAATAGAGAGTTATTTTAATAGCTATCTTAAAAGATAATGAAGAGAAACCATTATTTATTCACAAAGAGCTATAAATAAATATAATCTTGAGAAGCAATAATAATATTGACTTATGTTGATATAACATTTTCATTTTTAATCTTGTAGAATTTAGAAATATTTATGATCTAATGCTTTTAAAACTGTTACTCCGAGTTAATGACATTGGCGTATTTACTATTATTCATTTGTGTATTTTTCATGAACAATCATATCTATTGGATCAATAACATAATTGAGGTTTTCAGTCTTAATCAAGTTTTCTACTAATGCTTGAGCTTCAAAATGTTTTAAGTTCAATAAATTGGCTAATGAAACCAAAGACATTCTTCTGAAATTAATGATATACTAATTTATATAAAATACGATTTACTTATTTGAGTAATGTATTAATGACTTTTTCTTTTATTTATGAAATGAGTGGAGCTGAGATAACATCTCTTTCCAATTCAATCTAAAAATATGATATAATAGTACAATGAGCAATTAAGACTTCTAAATTAATTGAACGAAATCGTAATCTATATAGCAATTCAAAGTCTCCAACACTGAAGGATCTGCATCAAGTATTCTAATAATGAATGGATTCTATAATATTTCAATGATATCCTTAGGTAATTTTGTGATTAGACTAGCTATTGCGAAATATTTGCTCAGATCAAAATAGCTTGTGATAAAGTCCACTGATTCAAGATGATTAGTATCAATTTGTAATAAGTCAATTAAAAAGTTCTTGTAATCCATTCTTACGTAGTTTCTGATGGCACTCAATAATAACCACTTCTGATATCCTTTGACATCTGAGTCTTTGGGATTGACATTAATAACTTTGTAGTGCATGTAATTATTGCTTAAAATCATGCAAGTCACCCAGGAATTGGCATAATTTAGTGCTTCTTGGGTCTAATTATTCTCATGGGCCTTGTAATATGCAGCATAAGCTTCAACTAAGTCTCCATATTTCAAGTATAAGTCTCCTAATTAGATGAAGAGTTCTTTTAAAGCATTTCTATTTTATAAATTTTTGGTTTGGTTGATCTAATTCTTTTTCTCTGAAATGGTCTTTCGAGCCTAATTCAACTCATCTTTGGAATAAGAAGTTTTTAATTTTTCTGCCAAATTAGCTGCTGCTCTATGAAAAATGAGAATATGTTTTACAAATAAAGACCATTTTCCTCAAGCTTAGGTATAATTTAAGGAGTCAATAAAGGATAATTCTAGCCCAAAACAAATAGCCTATAAGCAAGGAGGGAATTGGTGTAGACTGTTAGTTTAGAAAAATCTAAATTCATATATATATTATTTATCTATTTAAAATTAATTATCATATCAAGAATCTAGAATCGATTTTAGACTGATCAGCCAAATTGCGTTCTCCTACCCATTAACGGAAATTAAATATCCCAGCTGAAATCAAATAAGTTAACATCAATGAAAGGTATGTATTATTGGTGAGAATCATCCAAAAGTTGAAGATCATAGTATCCGTAATCAAGAAAAAGAATTCATGTCCACAGAAGAACATGGATTTAAATGATTGATCTGGATCTCTGAAGAAAACAGGCATACTTTGATCTTTGAAATAGTTTTCCTCCAAATCAGCAGGAGGATAATCAAAGAATCTTTGGACAGGCAATTTGTCTCTGACACACTTTGCAAAGTTAGTTCGAACCTAACATTAGAAATGAGAATACTTAAGTCAAAACATCCTTCAAATAGAATGAGAATGTATCTTTGATGGCTTATACCAAGGCCATATCTAAGCCATCAGGAACTCCCTGTCTTAAAACTCGACTTAAAATTATAATCATTGAAATACATTTCATTGTAATTCTGATATTGAGCATTGTCAGTTTTTTGTTTGAGTTCCTGATTGTAGACTTTCTCGTATGCCTCCCTGAATCGCATGGGTAGAAACAACTCAAAGGTTTGAAGATCCACATCATCTGAGTGTTATAAAGACGATTCTTGGATGAACCCTCTTTTCTTTCCCTTACCCAATGCTTCATAGTGTAGACAATTGGCAAGATGCTCACTTGAACCCTCAGCATAGCCAATAGGATTCTCTCCATGTATGTAGTATCCATGTAGGACATCATCCAAAATGAGTATGGAAACATTAGATATTGCACACAAATCTACAAAATCTTCTACGAGGATGGGGAACCAGATATCAAACAGTTTTTAAATGACTAAAATATTATGAATTGAATTTATACTGATTTAAGCTAATCCAATTGCCATATAGAGAAAAGTACACAAAAAATATTATAGAACATAATTCTTTGGAATAGTTTTATCCAATGACAAATTAGGTTACTCTTATCCTAGATTAATCCAATTTAATCCTTCCAAAAAGAATCCTACAAATAGCAATGTCCATTCAACACTTACTATCCTATAGATTTGTAATTCATTGAATTCATTTGCTATCAAGATCATCCTCCAGGCACTTTGTTTTGATTAAGCTTATTCGACCATTCTCAACACATTGTTATCTAGTTTCTCTGCCAATTCTCTTGGTCTCAAGACTTCAGATTTCTCCCAATCTATAAAGAACACTTGAACATCAGCTTATCTCAGAATCAAATTGAACATTGATATCAATCTACAAGCAAACATCATGTAAAATAGGATCTCAAACGGTCTATAATTATTAGCATAGTCTGAAAGATCAGGCATCAAGATATAGATGGTCTATTGGAATTTAAAGAAACAAAACAAGTATCCTGTGAAAATGGCCAAATAATAAAAGATTACTTCTGCCCAAGTGTCTAATAAGACATAAAATGATCTGATGGTCAAATACATACACCAATCATTCTGACCTGTGTAAGAGGGATTCCTCTTAGTCCATACATATATACGTATAAACCAAACAATAATAATGAATATGTGAGCAACAATCAACAAGGCTGAAGCCACCGTATAGAAACTGGTTTTAGCTTAATAGTAATAGTGACCATATTTAACAGGATAATACTTCTCATTTTCAATGGTAGTAATAGAAATAGGTTCACTATAAATTACATAAAAGTATGGTAGGAAAGTCTTATCATCCTCTTTTGTAGACAAATAACTAATCAATCTAATAGATTTTGCATAAATGATTTCTGATGGACTCTTTAAATTGTCAACCATAAAGAATCTCCACAAAAACTTAGTATTGGTATAACCGTACTAATCTTCAGTCTCCCCATTTCCATTGCCATCGTAATCAGCAATCTTTATTGGCACCTAAATGAAACTTCCATCTATATCTTTTATCCATACTGAATAAAATACTGTTTAATAATTGCTATTCAAATATTTAGTAAAGTCAACATTGCAACTTAAAATAATATTTATAATATATTTACTCATTTTTGTAAGACACTCCAAAATTAGATGCTAGATCAGTATCTCCGTAACTGGAACTGCACAATTAGAACTAATTCTGAAGAGGCTTTAATTCACTAACACTTCCATCAATGTAATACTCCATTACATAAAATGGCATTCTGTTAAGACTAGTGGCTCTGTCCTCTTTGAAATTCACCTACATTTAGATAGGAGTGTCTTCTATTAATGTTACAGAAGTAACAGTCGTTGAAACTTCATGGATGATGCTTGGCATATTCTTTTTATTTTAAAATGTCAGAACCGCATTATATAAATAAGTAAAATCTTTTTCTGTACTCACTGTTGATCGTTTCAAAATGAATAGATTTGCCAACTACTAACAGGATACCATATCATTATAAAGATTGCATCCATCATATGCTTTAGGTCCCAACACTTGAGATATATCATCCGAAAACACATTTATATATAAGCCAACACAATAATTATCGCTTGCTAATGAAGATGCCGAACATGAGCATTTCCCACTTACATTTACCTAATTGTTAGGACATTATTAGCAAAGATTTGTAGGGAGGGTAATTGCATGACCAGAACATGAGCAAGCTGAGCCTTACCAAGATCCTGTATCACTTACACACAAATTAGTTTCTGCAGGACATGCTGAGTTTACAGGCACTCCATTTATGGTCGAATCACAAATACACTAATAATAATATTCAAATTTCAATTTTACCTAATTATTTATCAATCCCGTTCCAGCAGGACATGCTTCACATTTTGATGTCAAGGGATTGTAAAATTGTTCAGCTGTTTCGCATAACTATCCATTTATTGATTGGATAATGAATAATATAAATAACATTTTAAATTAATAATATCCCTTTATTAATTAGAAATGAGTATTCCATTGATCACAATAGAATCCATCTGAATTTGAGAAATTTGTTAATATTCTGAAATCTCAATTTTCATAGTATTATAATAGATTATCACTTGGTACACTTTCAATCTCTAATCCTTTACGATATGAATAGGATAAAATAAAATAAAATCTAACTAATTATTATTGAAAATTTATTATAATAATGAGATCCTAATTAAGTTCAAATTTAATAATAATTATTCGTACACCTATGCATATTATTTTATTTATTTAATTATTATTAACAAATAGATTTAATTTATCAAAAAGCATAGATCATCATTTTATATTCTATAGAGTTGATTAATTGAGTTTAATTCCCTATTCTTCTTCCGCCATCTTCACCATTCTCAAACCAATAACTGAATCTTCTCTTGTCATTTGGATCCAAGTCATCACATAATGTTAGATAAATATCTTCTGTTGGTGAGAATCCAAAGGCAACCGGATAAGCCATATACCAATAAATATCTCCCGATGAGCTTTTCCTTGCATGTTGCCAATGGTACGTGAATTAAAATATCTCTTATTGATAATCACAACCTACTACCAATAATACCTCTGGATTCTCAACCTTCATTCCGCCAATGCATAATATTGTATCATTTTTAATAATACTCTAAATTTCTCTGACTATTTTTCTATTAAATGTTTTGGTAAGTAACTCGTCATAAATGATCACAAAGTTCTCCAATTCTTTAGAATTTAAATCAACATGAATTTTCCCAACTAATTTTTTGGCAATTTCGTCTCGATTTTGAGTTTCAATTTGTCTATTGTGAATTTTCATTAGATTATTAATTAGCTATAATTTATACCATTCGATTGCTTCATAATTTGCACTAATATTCTTATTAACCATACTCAAATCTTCTTCTAATTTCATAACCCTTATTTATTAGTAATATAAGACGGATGATGTTCGATTAGTATCTGAAAGTATCTTATCATTCATTTAATTTTATGCTAAAATTTATTAAGTTATTTGTTTGAATCTATCTCCTTATAGATTTATTCTTTCAGATAATGAATTATAGACAGTTTCATTATATTGTTTTAATTTTGTATTAAAGTAATTCTTAAACTGATTGTATGGTGTTTCAGCTTGATTCATTTATTAGTTTATCATATCTATCTGTTCCTGCATTCTATTCATTTATTACTACGCATTACTATTCAACTCCTAACATCCATAATTCTCTTTTTTTTCCATTTATCCTTGTAATTCTTTTACAAGAGTTTGAAATTCATCCATCTTTTATTATAATTCACTCCTTCCATTGAAATCTTAATACATAATTATGGGATTCAATCCAATGACCAGCAAAATCAAAACTACTGTAGATTTGAATATAAATGAATTTGTTATACTTGGTTATTTTATCAACTACTGCATTTACTGTTCTAAAAGTTATTATTTTTGTAGATATCTAGAAAATAGAAATTAATTTACTTAGCAATCTATTGATGCAAATCCAAGTCCATCTTCTTGATGTAATTGTTCAATTTGCCTTAGAGTTGACTCTTTTTTTGTAAAATATCTTCGGTGTATTAATTTATGGGCTGTGAATAGAGCTTAAGCATAAACACATGGTGTTGCTACTAATATTCTGTAAATTTATTCATTTCCATAATTTATTCATAAAACTTTTGGATCAACTAATCAATCTCCTTTTCCACATAAGATTTAACTTATTCTAAAAATTCTTTTGGATTATTTTAATAGCCTTCGATAATTTAAAACTTCTCCTTCTTAAAATCATTGAGTGTTGTAATGATTTGATTCAAAAAAGTAATTCTTTCTTTTTTCTTTTTATCGACTTCTTACATTATCAAATTTATTTTCTTGAAATCGTCAAGATGATTGACAAAATTATTATTGTTTTGTCGATGGATTTTGGTGATGCACTCATAACAGTGAAGTTATTTTCTATTAGAATTGCAGCATTGATCATTCATACAAATATATTCTTCCTTGTTTTATGTAATTGAGCAAGTCTTAACAAATTCGTTGTTCATAACTATTTAAACTTAAAATAATAAATATCCCTAAATTAAGTAAATAATATTATTTAAATCACTCTCATCAAGCTCAAGATCAGCTTATCCAAGACAAATCAAGGTCTCCATTGCGATAGCGAAAAGGCAAATTTTTAAGTTATTCTATCTGTTTTTATCTTACTAATTAAGCAATTAATATCTTAATTAATCGATTTATGAATGTAACTACTAAGAGATGACAAAAATTAATTTATAATCACAGTAAACTATAACAGAGTAAGAGTGTAAATATTATATTTGAGACATTATAAATAAAATATTGGCTCAGTCATTTTTGATAACAAAATAATAAACTAGTTATATATTTAAAAATAATGGAAAATAAGATTAAAAAGGCTAACACTTTTTATGTAGTTAGTCATCGACCATCGAATGAGGGTTTGGTATCTCCTTCGGGAGAATCTATTAAATTTGTATTATAAAGTCCTATTTCAAAAGAGCCTAAGTATAAAAACAGAATAAACAAAACATCACTTCTTGAATTAAAAAAGTTGTTTTTATCCACATATTCATTAGGTCTAGGAAATTGGCATTAGAATAATAAATGAAACGATTGAACAATAAGAGAAGATTGATGAGGACTTTTAGAAAAGTATATCTAATAAGCATGTTTCTTTCGATTGCCAAATAAATGGACTCCAAAAAATTGAAGGGAAACCATAAAAAGAAGATACAAGAATCACTCATCTATCCAGTAATTTGGGATAAGTATTTTAGCTAAGGAGGATAGGTTTAAAAAGTTATGGGATATTTTTATGTTGATTGTGTTGATATATTGTTCCTTTTACATCCCTTTTGTGGCAGCTTTTGAAGATGAACAAACTGTCTATAATGTTAGTAAATGGATATTCTCAATTATATTTTGTAATACATCATCCATATTCCTAGCTGCTGATATCATTATATTGATGAGAATGTGTTACTATGATGAAAATAATAATTTAGTTCAAGATTCTATTTCAATAGTCAAGCACTATTTATTTGGCTGGTTTATCATCGATATCATATCAGTGATTCCATTTCAGTACTGCTAATTAATAAAGGTGTTCAGAGTCAAAAGAGTCCAATAAATAGTAAGTTCTTCTTCTCTGAATTAAAATAAGATGTAACCTTCTATATATTTAATAGCTTGGAGTTTATGTTTGATTTTTTAGACGTGAAATAAGCAGCCCTATTTTAGATTTTGTTTTTCAGTTTAATTGGATTCCACTATTCTACTTGTCTCTGGGCTTTATCAAGGTAATGGTCAGATCAAGGCATACCTCAATATATCGATGCTATTTACTGGGCTATGTAAACTTTATCTACTACTGGATACGGCGATGTGGCTCCTACAAGCATGATTGAATACATAAGTACAATTGTTTGCACACTTTGTGGTGGTATATTTATGAGTTTGGTGATTGGCAATTTGAGTTCTATTCTTGCTGATATTGACACTGAAAGTTAATTTAATACGACATTAAACAACCTAAAGATCTTATTTAATTAAGTCACTATACTTCCTGATTATAAATCAGAAATAACCAATTTTATAGTTACTAATCATAAACACAATTTGAGTTGGTCTGTGAATTAAGAAGAATGGTTCAAGATTCTACCTCAAGATCTATAAAATAAGATATTGTTGGCTGTAGCTAAAAAAGAATTGCTGGGGATCTCTTTATTTAGAATCTCTATTCCCTTCTCATTAAAAGCCATTAGACATATTGGTCTGATGAAGGCTAAAGCAGGATAGCTTCTTTGGTTAAAAGGAGATCCAGTAGATGAAATCTATTTTCTTGTTGAAGGAATGGTTCAATATCGAAATTAGTTTGGGAAAGAATTACTGGAAATTCAAGCAGGATCAATTTTTGGAGAACAAGAATATTTTAACAGACGATAAATAATTAAAAGATAATAATAGCGTGGTTAATATGCAATAGCAAAGTAGGATTGCTATTACTTGATTATTAGGAATTCTCATTTTTTTAAATATTTAAAGGAGTTTCCAGCCTTGTAGAAATATTTGTAAATGCTAGCCGAACATAGATTGGATGATATTTTGATTAGATTCAAACAATATGAAATTGAAGCAGAAAAAGAGAGAGCTAGTGCTTAGAAATTAGAATTGATCAAATCTGCAAATAGAATAGAAGTCAGAGATTACAAGGGAATTATGAAACATAAATAAAGTGTGATATATGACACTAGGTAAAGCAATACTGAAAGCATTCTAGAACGCTTATTAAAGAATAGGATTACAAAACTCAATATGTTGAAGGATAGGTTTAGAAAGGTTGTCTAAATGATCATATTTGCTAATAGAACCTTAGAAAAACAATATTTGTCATCTAAAGCAACATCAGTTCAAAATTCATAGTCGAATCTTTTTGCAAGAAAGGTCAAAGCCAATCAAGTTGTACCTATGGGCATCTTATTGAAAATGAGATAAAAGTTCATAGAAATCAAACAGCATAAGAAGATTTCTTTAGAAAGGAGAAATGAATTCAAAAGAGTATTTTAAGGATTATTCTAAAATAAAATTGATCTAACTAATTCATTACCCAAAAGTGATAGTTAAGAATTTCAGGAAAAAAAGAAGAATGTAATATCAATTCGCAATCCTTCTTAAAAACTAGATGAATTTTTTACATAAATGAAAACATTAGAAAGAAATCTCAATTTAGCATAGTGGGCAATTCATGAAAGCTAAAAGGATTTGGAGAAGGAACTATAGAGTATAAACAGATTGTTTGATAAATAAGACTTCACCAAATTGATTTGAATTAATAGATAATACTTTCCCTTATTGTAATCAATAATTATAAGAATAAAACACATTACTACTCACTTTTTTATAATTTAAATCAAATTATTTATCTGTTTCAAATATTAGTCGTTTTAACTACTCCAAAGATTCCTTTAGTATTGTATATAAATTGCCTTCCTGCTTATGTTGTGAATTGACACTAGAATTAATCTTGATCAAAGCTTGCAAGTCATCAAATTCTTTTTAGCATGAATACTCTAACAATTTAAAACATTTTGAAAGTGACTTACTCAAACTCTAGATTTATTGGTCAATTTCTTAACCTAAAGTGATAAGATTGCTAGACTATAAGAAACTGAAGGAAGTCTGCAATTAATTCACCTACTATTTTAGTTATTAGTTTTCCTAAACTATTTTTGAGCAATATTGTTCTAATTATTCCATTTCAATTGAAATTTATTGATATTTTTCTAACTATAATTTCAAATATTCATTTTCTTTGTTTAACTCATTAATCTTGTATTCTTATTCTTTTATTTTGCCATCCTTTGAAGTTATTTAGGACAACAATTTTGTTTTCTCTTTCGATATTGTTGACAATATTTTTGAACTTTGAAATTGCGATTGCAAATGAGTTTCTATATTTTTGACTTATTCATTTGGATTCTTGGCTTTGATGAACATTTGGTTAATCTTATCGTTGATTTCCTATAATTTGTTTTTGACAGGAGAAGGAGGAGATGTTTGCTTAATCAATTAAGCATTTAAGGTAATATGAGCGGAGGTTGATCTTTTTGGTTTCATAATTTAAATAAATTATTTTTATCATTTAAAACTAAATTTATAAAATATTAACGATCATCTAATTTATTAAGAAGCCATATAACTAAGTTTTCTTTTGATATATTGTATATTGATATTATCATTAGTTATATTAATAAAGTAATTTATCTAATTTCTGTAAATCCTCATCTTCTTCGATTTCATTCAAATGCATCAACTTTTGATCCATCCTTTTATGAATCCCTGCTATATCAAACGTTTCAGTATTTGTCCCCTTTTTGATCATTGTCATGTCAGGAAATTCGGAGTCCAAAGTAATTCCCTTATAATTCAATTCCGCAGAACCTAATATACCATGAGCTGCACGGCCAAAAGCAGAGGGTGGTCTCTAATTGGTTTATGAAGGAGGCCTGTTTGTGATAGATTGTTATAATTGTCTCTAATCAAATCCATTTTTTGTAAATCCCGAGGGAGGACGATTTAAACTTTATTAAGCAGGCTTATATTTTAATAGATCATCAATTTCTTTTACAAATTCAGAGTCAATAGAAGGAACATTCCAAGAAGGATGCTATCCATTATTACTAGGAGGTCTCTTTTTGAAATTGTCATTTCTTATTTGATATGTCTCCCCTATCCCCAATTTAAGACTGTCTTCAAAATGAGCATTCAATTCATCTATCTTATCTAACTGAACCTCAGAAACCTTCTTATTCATAGGTTGCATTTAAGGAACCAAAGAGGCATTGTGATCAATAGGAACCATATTTGAATCTGAAACTAATGATTAAAGTCCGAATTGTTCTCTAAAGTGCTGTTTTTATTCTTTTGATTCTTCTTTCAAAACAAGAGCTGAACATATATATATACAAATTACGTTTGCTTTCATAAGCAGGTGCAAATGGAGGTGCTTTATTTTAATTAAGATTAGGAAAATTAAAGTTTTCATTTAATGCTGGCATTGACAAATCTTTGTATGCTCCAACTTCAGCTTAAGCTAAAAGATGTGGTGGAAACACTTATTTCTCCCACTTTGGATCATTCTTTACTAATGCAATCATTAAATCATCATGATGTCTCTCTTCTTATAAATACTTATTCTTCACTTATTCTTTCAAAGAAATTAACTCCTACTCTGCTTTATTTCTACCTTCAATTGCCATCTGAGCTTGATTCATAACTTATTATATCTATTATTGTAAGTTTTCTTATTGTTACAGCATCTACCTTTTAATATCATCTATTTCTCTATTCTGTTATATTTCTGCTTTATTCATTTGTTGAGGTCCATTTCTATAAAAATCAAGGATACTTTAATGCGGACTAACTCCTTCCTTCATTTTTTCATTCATGAGGAACTCCTTTAAATAGTTTTCTGATTTAGGTTGAGAAGGAGGAGGATTACGTGAGGGTGGTGGAATATACTATTATTATGGTTCATATGCCTAAAAGTTCTATTGTGGTTAATCTTCCTCTTATTATTGATTTTTTCTATTCTTCCTCTCCTAGATCCTTTCCAACCTTCTTTTTTCTTTCAAATCAATATTATCCTATTCAAATTCTTAATTAATATTATTAAATAATTTTACTTCCTTATTATTATTTCTTCATATCATCTTCTCGCTTCTTTTCCATTTCCTCTTGTTCCTTTTACCTTCGAAATCTCTCTTCCTCTTATTTATCTTCCATCTCCTTCTACATCCTTTCTTACTCTTTTTTTCTCTTTTTTTCTTCAATTTACTCTTATAAGACTCTCTGCATTTCTAGTTTCTACAATTCTTTCTTTTTTATATCATCAATATTTTAATTTTCCAACATTAATCTATTTCTACCTTATTTTAATTAGGGATCTGCTTAAGGTTCCATCAATATCGGTTATTAATCAAATCCAGATGGTAGACCTTATTCTTGATATTAATATTGTTAAGGAGTGGCAATGCTTTGTTAATACGGAATCTATTATATAGGTTATTAGAAATTCTGTTACTGTTGAATATATTATTAAGGTTGTTACTATTAATAATTTGGCTATTGATATATTTATTATTAATTATAATTTTGAGGTACTTGATTATTGGCACCTTTTTAATATGGTGCACCACTTCCTCCCTTGCCAAAAGGAAATGCATCCCCGGTTTCCATTCTTTATTAAAGATTCTTCTTTCGGTCATTTTTTTCTTGCTCTTTTAATAACATTTACATTCTTAAATAATCCCCATATTCTTATTTTTGTTATTTATTCTAATCAATTTATTAAGGCTATTGTTGTTAATATGGAAGATTAGATTATTGATTACCTTAGGAATAACCTTAATTTATTTCAAATTGTTATGGCTAGTACATTTATTATTAGTATTATTGAGGTTACTATTACACTTAGTATTGTACCATTTATTATTATTACTGTTATTAATTGTTTTGATTATTTCCTGACTGAATTCTTCGTCTCTTTTATTCTTCTTTTTCCATCATTTATTATCTTAGAAATTCTCCATATTCTTGTTTTTACCTGTTTACAGGTTAAGCTGGGAGTGGAGCTGGATTTACAGATTATTACTGATATTAAACTTATTGAATTTATTATTGATTATTATTTGTTCCATCTCTTCTTCTCCTTTTCTCAGCTTCTTTTTCTTCCATCTGTTTTTTCAAATATTCTCTATACTCGTCCTACTATTGCTTAATCGGATTTTTCAAAGGACTTTATTAAACTGCTGATTGCTATTAAAATTAACTATTTGATCTATTCTCTCTCTATTCCCTGAATTCAGATTGCTGAGGAATTGATCCTTAATACATTCTGGGTGGATCAGGGTTTCTATTCATTTCAATTGGTACATAAGGTTCCGGAGGGATGTAAGGTTCATATTCCTAAGATTGAGAAGGAAAAGAGATAGGAACTTGATCATCGAATCTTGGAGGTGGGAGTTAAAATTAATTTGCATTATTTTCTTGCATTTATCCTTCCATTCCTACATTTATAACTATAATATACTTAATAATCTTTCTTCTCTTTGTCTTCTCTTTTCTTCCCAAATTTAATCGCGTTTAGACTTCGCCTCAGTCATTTAATTATTTTAAAATTTATAATACAAATATTAGTGTAACTATAAAATTATAGATTATTATGAAGCATAGAAATGGTTGGCTAAATGCATTTTTCCTTTATAAATATTTTAACTAACAGTCTTATAATTTTATAGATATACAAAAATAAGAATTATGTGTTTTTATCATCATGTGTTTTTTATTAAATATAGAGTAATTAATATTAGAAGCCATTTATTATATCTAGTACAATTTAATCAATATTAATGTAAGAAGAGCTAAGTTCTTCTTTAAATAATAAAGGATGATTAATAGTTAAATTAAACAATAAAAATACGATATATATTTAGAATTAGTATTGGAATTAATCTGGATTTTCGACAACTAATTTTATCTCATTTTTAGAAGTCTCTTAGTATGGACTAAAAAGAGAAGGGAGGTATAAGATTTGAGGAATTTAACTATAGAATTTCAAAAAACTCTATTAAAATTCAATAATTTATTTACTAATTAGATATACATCAAAATTTTAAACATTTATTATCAGTCATATTACAAAGCATTCCCCATATCTACTGAGAATCTGTTAAATTTATACTATAAATTATATGATATTATTTGAGATAATTTATGTAGTTTGGATATTGAGCTATTTCATAAGTAAGATTATCAATCAGATAGCCAGGTATTAATTCAAAAACTGAATTGATTAGTTATTTAAAGTCTTAATCTATTAAAAAGCAATAGTATTCCAAATATTTGATAATTCCTATAACAAAAACAGGCTTGTATTTTAGACAGAAAATTATAGCTGATGTAGCTTCCTCTGTTTATTGAGATCCAATGATTAACAATTTTACTACTTCATAATCATTTGAATCCCAAAAACAAAACTCTTAGAGATTAGGTAAATCCTATATCAAATCAAGGAGAAACATTTTCTAAATTGATTCTAAAGAGAGCATCTTAATTTTATTTAAGCTGATTTAAAAGTTGATGTTTAAATTTTGAATAGCGTTTTGCTTATTCTAAAATAAAATTAACTCATTGTTTTCTGTTTCAATCATCAATAATACAGTATCAGTGTATGGGAATTGAGTGTAATAAAATAACTTCTTTTGTTTTTGCAGATTAACAACTTAATAGGTACTCAAGTTTTAGTAAAATATGACTGCAGTTCTTTATTTAAACAATAATAAAATCTCTCTGTTGTAAAGAGTGATGTAATCGATTTGGTTGATAAAGTTATTATTATTAAGTGGATACTGAGATTGTTTTAGTTTTTCTACTTTTTGCAAGAGATCATTAATATGATAGATAGATATTAAGAATTAGTCTTCACCTTAGAAAACTACATAAAATAGTTCTAAGTATTTATCAACTAAAATTTTTGCTTTGACATTATGTTTTCCTTAAAAAACCAATTTAGGATTCTTCTCTTTATCAAGTGAAATGTGATAAATATATTAATACTTTTCTCTTATATGTACAATGATAAAATTATTATGTTTGATCTGCAAAATGATTGGCTCAGTTTAACCTTTAAATGCTTTAATTTCCTTGAATTATCCATATTTATCATTGAAGCATTTCTATTCCTCAATATTTTTATCATCAGATTAATTGAGAGAAAATCTTAAAAATTGAAATGTCTCTATTTTAATGCCTTATTCAGTAATGATATATTTTTCCTCCTTCTTAAACCATAATAAATAATCTGATTCAATATTGTTTTATTGCTATAAGGTCATTATTTTTTTTAATGTTGTCCCCAATTTTTTAATTCGTGAATAAGATTACATTAAATAATTTATTTTTTTTAAGATAATTTTGTAATAGATGTTATAACATTCTAATTATAAAATAAATAAGAATAAAAAGGTTTGAATCTAGTCCAAAACAATTAATTTATACATAAATAATGAGATGCATTATTTTTATTATATGGAGAAGAGAAAGTTCAAAGATAACAAATAGTTGATAACCATTCTATAATCTTCAAATCATCCTAATAAAATGCTATTTTATATAAAAGTTTGAGAAAATATATAATTATAATAAAAGTCTTATAAAATGCATACTAATTATTTGCAAAATTAAAGAGCAATCGATATTTGGATATATGATTAATTCAAAAGATAGGATTGCTTAAATAATTTATCAAAATAGCATTTTTTAATATTAATATAATCTAATAAAAATAAATATGGGCAAGGATAAGAAGAAGGAGAAAAAGAAGGATAAAAAGAAGGATAAGAGTCATAGAAAGGACAAAAGAAGAAAACACTCATCTAGTTCATCTTATTCTGATTCCTCATCTAGTTCGGAGAGAGAGAAGAATTGGGGGGGGCGGGGGAGATAATCTCGTTCAAGTTCATTAGAGAGGGAGAAGGAGAAAGAGAAATGAGTCACATAGCCTTAGGGGTAGATCAATGATAATGAGGGTGAGGATGTTACTGATATTGAGGCTTTAGTTCAGGGATTTGTGATTGAGTAGTAGGAGGATAATGTTGCGTAGAATTGTGTTGTGATTGAGGGTGTTCGAGCGCGGTGGGTTTTTGTTTAGGCGGGGTTTGTGCTTTCAGAGGCTGAGTTGGCTGGGGGGTGAGTTGAGGGTGCTGTTCCTGCTCCGTTTTTGTTGGTAGAAGGTTATGTTGGGTGGGGCATTGAGCTGTTTAA